AATCGAACCCTTAGGTACCGTATTTACTCGCGTATAGGTCGACCTGTTTTTCAAAAATCGCCTCATCAAAACTGGGGGGTCGACCAATACGCGAATCCCGGTCCGTTCTCATCGCACGCGTCGGCACTCAGCTGACTCAGCGACAGCTCGCCTGTACTATCACTCTTTCTTCTAGCGCGTAAAGTCCCTTGATACTTCTTATACAAGTAACGACAACCCATACAAATGACAAAGCAGATTCCACTGGAAGCGAATGGCGGCATTCAGTTCAAACCTCTGCTGTGCGCCGCCATTCGCTTCCTAAAACCTGCACCGTCACGCAGTCGGCGCTTCAAAGAATGTCGCTACTTGTAGGAAGGTCTTATCTAGGGACTTTACTAGTGCGGTGCTTGCAGCGCCCCCTACCGGGAACATTAAAGCGGCCCCACGGCAAACAAAAGATGAAAAGACGATGACTACCCAGTCACATGATCACCACGCTTGGAGCCAGTCACGCAATGCCTCCCGAACGTCGGCGACCGTTCTCGGCAGCTTTCAAGAAAAAAGTGATTTTACGTGCGGAAGCGTCAAACAACTGCGTGGCTGCACGGGAGTTCGACGTTGCAGAAAAGTGCGTCAGATACTGGCGAAACCAGCGAGAGCGCCTTTTTGCGTGCGCAAACAACCGCCAAGCGTTTCGTGGACCGGCGTCTGGAAAATATGCAGCGCTGGAAGCGGAGGTGAGCGCCTTTGTCATCGGGCTTCGAGACAGGTCATTGGCAGTGACTGTGGAGGCGCTACAAGAGAAAGCGCGTGCCATCGCCACAAGGGACGCAATACCCCGCAGCGAGTTTTCGGCGAGTCGCGGGTGGGCGACTCGCTTTATGCGAAGATCCGGGCTGTGCCTTCGTCGCCGGACAAGCATCTGCCAGCGCCTTCCGGACGCGTACGAAGAAAAGCTGTTTGCTTTTCGGCGCTACGTCCTTAGCCTACGGAGGGAACAGGGATACACCATCGGACAAATCGGGAATGCCGACCAAACCCCTGTATACTTCGACATGACGCGGAGTACCACCGTCACCAAGCGCGGGTCCCGCCAGGTCAACATCCTCTCGACTGGAAATGAACGAAGCCGATTCACAGTGATGCTTGCGGCGACGGCGGATGGGTGGAAGCTGCCGCCGTTCTTGGTGTTCAAAAGGAAGACACTCCCGAAAGAGCGGTTCCCACACGTCATTGTCAGAACAAATGAGAAGGGATTTTTCAACGACGATTTGGTTTTGGAATGGCTAAGGCTGGTGTGGGACCGTCGTCCGGGTGCTTTACTTGGTCTTCCGAACATGCTCGTTCTGGATTCCTTCCGCGGACATCTGACAGCCAAGGTCAAGGAAAAGCTGCGCTCATCAGGAACCGACCTCGTCGTGATCCCCGGAGGAATGACGTCGCAACTACAGCCGCTGGACGTGATGTTAAACAAGCCATTTAAAGACCGTGTGCGAAAGCTGTACACGGAGTGGATGGGGAAGACCGACAACCCACTCACTCCAACGGGCCGAGTTAAGCGGGCATCCCTCGCCGAGGTTGCATCATGGGTCGCGGCCGCCTGGTACAATCTTCCAGACGCGCTTGTCGCAAGATCTTTCAAGAAGTGCGGTCTTTCAAATGCCATGGATGGCACCGAGGACGACGCCGTATACGAGGACAGTGACAAAGAGGACAGTGATTCGTGCGCATCGTCGTCCGATGAGTGATTGCGAAAGTGCAAAATAAACATTTCTTTTAGCCCTGTATGATCATTGCTTCCGTGCTTGATATGTTCGCGTAACACATCGGCGATACTGCGGGCGTTCGAGTCACGCGGTGCCAGGCACCGCGTAACGGCGGCTCAGAGCTTGCGGGGGTCGACCTATACGCCGTTCCAACTTTTTTTTTTTTTCGGGGGTCCCGAAGTTAGGGGGTCGACGTATCGACCAATATGCGAGTAAATACGGTACTTTTTGGTAGGGAAGCTTGTCAAGGCTTTACTTTCTCTTGCACATGGCAATGCTGATGTTGAAAGGGGGTTCTGCAAAACTCGATGTCTGTTGAATGAGTGCAGCAAGATCTCTGTTGCAAATGTGAATGGCTTATGTGCCACTGGGTCTTTTTCTAAGAGGTATGGTCAAGGTCTGTCTGCAGCTCAAGTCAAGCTGGAGATGATCAGGGCTAGCAAGGGCTCGTACAAAGGGTGTCAAGAGCTACTGGCAGCAGAAGATGAGCTCAGAAAAAAAAGTGTGACAAAGGTTGCAACTCCAACAGAGTATGTGGAGAGGAGAACATTGAGGCAGATATAAAGTCGGCTAAAAAATGCTCAGTAATGCCAAACTTCTAATCACAAAAGAAATGAGGACGAAGAGGTTCCATGACATGGAGAGTGGTGAAACATTGCTCAAAGAAGCGCAAGCAAGGCTTGCGTATGCTCCGCAGAGGTTGGACGCGCCAAAAAAGAAATCCAGCGCAAATGATCGAAAGCGAGTATTCAGTTTAATTATGACTGTTTTCATTACGTGGAACTGCGTTTCGTTGTACACTTTTGCTATTTGCCTGAAGAAGACATTTTTAACCGTTATGATTGGTTTTACTATGCATTGGAATTACCAATCTTGAATCTCTTAATTCCTGCGAAGTATGTTCATGCTGTGTTCTTTTAACACTATTTTTTACATATTTCTACTATGTAGAACAATAAGCAATATGTTTCAGTAATAAAGACGGGGTGTTCCAGGTGCTTTGCCAAATGGTGCAATCATTATTGAATTTTTTAAGCGATATTTTAAGCTAACACATCCTGGATTCTGCTCCAAAGCATTAGTAACTGCTCCAACCAACATTTCGCCTGCTACAAGACCTGCTGCAAAGGTCAAATACCACTTCCATCACTGAATTTCGCCAAAATTGGGTGTTTGTGAAAATCAAGTTGTGTACAGTATGTGTCCCCGAGTTATGCGTGTTAGGAATCAGTTTTAGTCTCAAGGTCAGATGCGAAAGCGTCCTTACTCTGAAACTGCTTTCCAGAGGCATACCCCCTTTTTGCCTCCAGTCCTTTGAACAAACAGTAATAGTAGTAGTAATTATAAGAATGCTCTATTTGTTGCCTCGGAGCAACCATAGGTCACATTGCGGTGGTACATAAGAACAAATAATAATGCTGAACCCAGAACAATGTGTATGGTCAGAACGAAATTTGATGCAGGTAAGGAACCAAAAAGATATAAATCAAGACTTCCACACAAATCCAAAAAAGGACATCGACATGATGCGACAGGTCATTCTGCTTCAATGGAAAGGCCAAATAAACACAAGCATCGGCATACGTGACATGACACCAAACCCTCTGGCAGCAAACTCTAGTATAAAAATAAAGTTGTCACAGGCACTTGTTTCTCTTATGACAAGTTATGTAGTGAAAGCTCTTCAAGAACCTATTCATAACTATAAGAAGCACCTATCGAGATATCTATCCTAAATAAAGCGGATAGAGTCTTTGTTTGTTTGGGTCATCAAGTCTTTTGAGGTCTTTTGCTTTGTCAAATGCTGGAGTAGAGACTTGAGGAGACTTGCAAATCGTGAACGCTCGCATCAGTGGCACCGGGGGAATGAGCAAGAGAAAAGCCGAAACGAAGCCTATCATATGCTAGAAGTGTTTATTTTGCCGTGTGTGCTTGTTAGTTTTCTTTTTTTATTTTATTCAATGCATGACACCTGTGTTATCTTGCAAACGAGCTAAAAGGGGCTTAAAAGGGCCCTGCAATCATATTTAAGCGTCTACCTTTTTTGCGGTTTCCACCTCCCTTGGGGTTTGGGTAAGCCAGCGGGAACGGAGAGAATAACCAAATATCAGTGCGTAATATTTTAACCGGATGATGCGAAAACCTCTTCCACCTATGGGGGCGACCCACGGTGCCGAAAGCGCGCGATATGTGACGTCTTAAGTCTTGGGCTTGCTACTGGTCAGAGCCGCTAAAAGCTTCTTTTTTGTCGAAATACAAAATATAAGTGGCACGAACCGTTTCAATTATTTATAAAAGTAGTTTTGGTTCGCTAGTTTAGATCAGAAAAGAAACAAATGCAGTTTAGAAAGTATGGAAACAAGAAATGACCCGTCGACATACCTGCCACCAAGCGGTGGAAAAGGTGGCACATACTACAAAGGCGTAGTGCGATGAGGCTACGATGGAAGGCAAGCATAGAAAGGTCCTGGATGTATGCGGCGGCGCTGCGGTAGTATACCGGCTCGAGGATCCGAACGGTTCCAAGCGTTCCGAAGGCCTTCGGCGCAGGAATTGCCTTTCGATTTGGCCAATTGGCGGTGTGGCAGCGCGAAGTGGCTCCTGTTCTGAACTGTTCTGTACCCCGTGTTTGCTGTCGTTTGTGGTGAATGAAGTGTCATGCCATATTAGTGTTTAATCGCGCAGCAAATGCAATGCGAGCCGCCCTGGCTGGCCGCTCCATACAGCCTAGCCAGAACACTCTTTAGTGGCGCCCTCTCAAGCGTCCATTAAATTCCAGTTAAGAAAAACAATGATTGAACATTTCTTTTTGTCTCTTATCAAACAATAGTTTTTTTAAGTGAAATTTATGCTAAAAAGTGGAACAGGGAAAAACTTGTTCAGTGTGTCGACCCTCTACCTTTCTTTAGCATCCGTGGTCTTCAAAGTATTTATAAACAAATAACTGTGTAGTGTAAACAAATGAAGCTTTCTAGGAATACTCTCTAGATCTTGGCAACTGTAAATAGGAAATTTTTTTTAAAATAAAAATTTGTTTTTCTGGGTAATATCTAGTACCCATACCACATGTGGTAGTTTACTGCTGCTTAGTTCATTAAAGCCTTGCCAGTTGCCTGCCTCCACGCTCTGCCGTTCCAAGGCAGCCGAGCTGCAGATGGTTGACGTTCTCTCGATATAGGACACAAACTCTGTGGTCGCACGGCTCCCTTCACACCTTTGTTTACGTGTTCCGGTACGTCTGCCCCGTCCCAGGTCCCCCTCCCGTGCTCCATCCAGGAGGGGACAGGGGCGTGGCGCACGCCCCCTCGGGGGAGGAGGACCTCAGGCTTGGTCCCCCGGCGCTCCTGGGGCCCCCGCAGGGGACGGCGACCGCCCCCGACAAGGGCCTGGTGTCGCGGAGGCCGCACAGTCGACACGACTTCAGGGATCTCCCGCAGCCCGCCTACCACAAGGTGAGGGGCGCTCCCCCGCCGTCCTTCCTTCCTCGTTTCTCGACACGGCTCGCCGGTTGCTCAAACATTCACCAACTGCGTCGCACAGCTTTTGTTTCTTTATCCGTATATTTACTCTGTCCGAACTTCTCTCGAGTTGGGGGGACGGAAAATTTCTTAATACTCCCCCCCCCCCCCCCCCAATTTTTTAATTTTTCTTTAAGGAATCTAGCTGAAGCATACGTCACGAAACGAACGTTCCCTGAATAAAAAGAGTTTTGCGCAATGTTTAAATCACAAGAGTCATTTTAAGTATTGCAACATGCTTTTTCGGGAGGTGCTGAAGAGGGGGGGGGGGGGACTACCCAAAAAAGTGATTCTTTGAGCCACTAGTCCAATTTAAAAGCCATTTACAGGGCTTGTTTCTGTTGATGTTGAGAACATTTGTGCCAAATTTTGTTAACCTCGGTGAAGTACAAGAGAGATTGCAAATGTTCAAACATGAAAATGGGCATGTTTGCATTGGAAAACTATCGTTTTGAAATTGCTTATAAATTTTTCAATTTCTTGTGTTATATTGCTTTGTGACAGTTCAGAGCAGATAACTATGGAGCTATATTTCTATATTATACCATCTTTCATGACAAAAAAGTCAAATGAACACAAATATTGTTTTTTAGATCTTCATTTTTTGTCAGAAATTTTAGTTCTTGTGCATGAAAAATGACAAAAATAAAAAAAATTACAAGCTCATAGTTATCTTTCCCTTAAAATTTCACACCAAAAAAACTCATAAAAATGAATCCATGTTATGTAATAACAAAACAATAGTTTTCTTAAAGTGAAATGTATGCCAAAAAGTGGAACAGAGAAAAATGCATTCAAAGTGCTCCAACCCCCACCTTTTCTTTAGCATCGGTGGACCGAAAATAATTTATAAAAATTTAACTATGCAGTGTAGACTAATGGAACTTTCTGGGAATACTCTCTAGATGTTGGTGGATGTAAATATGACACTTTTCAAAATCAACTTTTTTTAGCAGAAATTGTTTTTTCTGGGCAGTGTCCCTCCTGAAATGGGGGCGGGGGAACCTTTCAGAATCACTTTTCACACAAATTGAGTCTCACAAAATAAAAAAAAAAAAAAGACATCTTTTTATGGGAGTTTAGTGTCTTCAGGCGTGATGCTGGAGCATTCGTCCATGTTGGGTCGATTTACTGAAATTTAAGAAGTGCTCCTCTTAACATGTTTTGCAGCGTAAAAGTATTCTGCTAAATTTTTTTTCTTCTCTTGGGACAATGTTTGTTTGGTGACGTAACATGTCTAACCCGGGCGCTCGACAAAAAGACGTCTCATCGAGAATTCCCGGAGGTCGTGTTCCGTGCAAATTTGAGTGTGGCCCAGAAATGAATGCAGGCTTTGTTTTTAATCAAATGAAGAAACACTAGTGTTTCCTTCAGTGTTTCTTGCCATTGTGTTAACTATTTCCTATTCATAATCCAACATTGTTTTTCGCTTTAAGAGATAATTTACCTTTTTACAAGGAGCACTGATCGGTGCGTCTCTAATAAATGATATGCGTCGTTTTGCCCGTCCTTGCATTCATTCTTTCAGCAATGTCAAAGGACTGCCTATGATCAAGTGTCTTAAAACCTCTTTTAAACTTTTTTATATTTGTCTTTTTTTTTGTACAATATTTTTTTTAAAAAAACATTTGACAATGTTGTACACAATCATTTCTCGTATATGGTGTTGCAAATACTGCAAAACCTTCGCTCTAGGGAAGTGCAATTTCCAGGGCCTCTTCGTAGGTAGAGCCAGCGTGCGCTCTTGTCTTACCTTCTACTTGAAGACGAGACATTCCTAAAAATGTTTTATTAAAATTTAGGTATTTTTTCTTATTTCTTTTTTTTTTTTTGCAGCTGAGTCCAGCGTCCAACAGCAGCAACCACAGTGCCTACCCAGTGGGCCACGTTTCGGGAGGCGGACTGGGCCCCGGTGGCAGCAAGAAGGACCTCGCGGGCAATAACTTCAACCAGGAATTTGTGAGTTTGTTTGGTCCATGCTCGCTTGCCGAGACTGGACTTCCGGCCGCCAAAAAGCTCAAGTTAAAGGGGTACTCCGGCCGTTTTCTGAGCTACCTAAACAAACTGCATTTTCCGACCACCCGGACTTCAGTCGTCATGGTATGCTATTTATTTTCTCGAAATTCAACATAGCAATTGAGAAAACCGTAAATAAAGATGATGCCGAAACCAGCATTCAAATTTTTGTGCGCTCTGCGGTGGTGTGACGTCACATATGCTACAGACTTTCAGGTCGTGCATGTAGTCTTAAACAGAGTATGTCGAGTGTTTTTTTGCGTGCTTCTCAGTGAATCGGTTACCAAACATTCTTTCCCCACCATCAAACGTCTTATAATTAGTTGGGAACATAGCTTACTGCCCACTTTGTACCATTTCTGTCGTCACACTTCAATGTTGCCAGTAGGGGCTCCCTGTTTGAGAAACACGATGAAAACGAAATTCGAAAATTCCATAACATCGCAAATTTTTTTTTCTTTTCACGCAATACTTGGGGAACTCGTAGAGCCATGTCTATCGGTATGTTGAGCCAATTTTGAGGCAAATCAGCGACCATGAAAAAATCGCTGGAGTACCCCTTTAAAAGCGTAGATGGCGCAATGACACGGACAGAGTAAGAGGAGACAAACAGCACAAACAGCAGCGCCGACTGACAATTAAATTTATTGGTGCTGACATCCGGGTATAAATACCACATGTGTCACAACCACATGAGTCAGTGAAAGAAAACATAGAAAGGATGTCGTGTGCTCCTAAATTCACTTGCACGCAGTGACCTTTTCCGATTTTAAAAGCACTACTAGCTATCCGACAGTGATGGAGAGTGGCTCTTGTGTCGTTGTGCTGTGTGCTTTTAAGAATGAACCAACTTGCCCAATCGTCTACTTTAGTCAAGTTCGAGTGACAAGCACTTGAGCGAATACCCTCCCCGGGAAGATTGCCCATTAGTTTCCTGGCTATGCATCCGTAAGGTGCAAAATGCAGTCTTATTGTCCACCCCTTCTAATTCACGTGCTATTCCAATTGAGGAATGCCTGTAACATGCATCTGAACCACATAATCCATACACATTTAGCGTGCATGGTCTTTCGCAACGACAATGTCAAATATAAGGCTGCTGATGTACAGATTAATTTCTGCAGTGGTCGCCGTCTCTTCGAATGTATATGCGACAGATCGGTGGTTGTGTGCTCTGTTGTAGCTACTCGTGCGGGTATTCGGTGTAGCTATGTGGACTTTGAAGCAGCTAATATTAATAAGTGTTAATTTGACTTTGTAAATTGTGTTTATTTGTATTCTTTTTCTTTTCCAGCCAACACTCCTGGGAGCTGATCAAGCTCCCCCTCAGCCACCGGTCGTCACCAGCGTCTGGGGTAGGCCTTTGCTTCTATCTTTGCCTTTTTTGTTTCTTCCTATTGCACCGCTGTAATATCCTGAGTCATCGCCCACTTACCCTCCTGCAGCCTAAAATTGATAAAAGTTGGGGGGGCCATGTCTCAATGGGTAAGCGCACAAAACAAAATGAAGGGCCCGTTTCTTGGAACGTATCTAGCACTGCTGCACAGGTGATACATTCAACTCAAATTAGTTTCATTGTTTTATAGAAAGAATGCTCATGAAAGTGCTTTACTAGTGCGAGGTCCATTACTTGCATACACACCATGAAAACTGCTTATGGCGCGAATGTTTGTTCCGTGAAAGCACGTTCATAGAAAACCGCCATGCTCTCTTTGTTGGTAAAAAAACAAAAAAAAAACAGTCGACAAGAAAAAAGAAAAACCCAACAGGGCACTACGAGCGAACGTGTGAAAGAAGCGACGAAGAGCGATGCTGGGGATTCAAGAAAGCCAGTGATCGTGTTGGCAAATACTTTGGCGTTGGGCCAAGTCGGGCGCTTTGACACGAGAAGGAGCAGGCTCTTCCACAACTTTCATGCGTGGTGCATACATGCGTGCTTCCGTAGGCGGCGTAATATCAATGCAGGTTGAGGCGGTGTTGCTGTGTAGTGTGGATGGCACCACAAACATGGAGCTCGAAATGGAACGCTTTACAAACGTCTGTGTGCGGCATTAGAGCAGATCTTTATTTACCCATTGGCTTTGTCTCAAACATTGCACAACCTTACCAACAGCGGCCCCGACTTTCTAGAAGAACGATTGGGTATTCGCGGTGGCCTTATTTTGGAGGAGACGGACTTTGGCCTTGCACTCCTCTTTTACATTTGAGGATATGGGGTGTTTGCTGACCTCGCAGTCCCTAAATAGGCTACTGCTTGTGTTATCTTTACAATTTTTTTCTTTCTCAGAACAAACTTTTTGTGAGCTAAGCAAGGTTTAATACTGTTACCCCTATTGTTTTTCTTTCACACGCATGTGCTGCGACCTTGGGGTTGTGGAAATTGGGGAGGAAAGGTGTGAAACAAAGTGAAGTGTCTTTCCTTCTTTCGTCTTACTTTTTCAAGGACGTCAACTGCAAGGTTCGCGGCTGCGTCATTTGCGGGTCGCAATGTGCGTGTTGGGTTATTTGTAGGCGTGGGCCGTCACTCTGTTCGCCCAAAAAGTGAGGTGGGCAGTGATCCGGGATTTTGTGCTGCTCCTTTTTTTGTTTTAGTATGGATAGGCTCTACTCCCTCTGTCTGTAGGCTCGTGCTCACTCTCACTAATATTGGATCACTTGTTCTTTCACCGCTCACATAGTCTGTTGTACCCCCGTTGCACATGAAATTTAGTGTAGCTTTCTACACATGCCACTTTACGCCTTGCAATTGCACTTCTTGCTCGTACTCACTTGTTGTCAATCACTGATACTCACGTTCACTCCTCAATCGTCTCATTTACATTCACATCTCACTCACTTAACTCATTCACTTATTTAGGTTCACTCATCTCTGTTACACTCGCTCGTAACTCACACTTACTTAATACACTCTCACTCACACTCACTTAGATTCACTCATACTCTCACATTTGCTCCAATGCACTTTCACTTTGTACACTCACTCACTTAGGTTCACTCATACTCAATCATGTGACTCGCCCTTAAGTCACACTTAGTGTACTCACTCATTCATTCATACTCACTTAGATTCACTTACACTCAATCATACTTGCTCCTAATTTGCACTCACTTAGTACACTCATTCACTCTTTGATCCTTATTCCTCACTCATGCTCGCTCGCTCTCACTCACTCCTACTCAAACACAGACATTTACACACATTTCCTAAGCATGTCTCTAGATTTGTCTTTCTTTCCACTGTATATGGAGTTTTGAACACCTCATATCCTTTCCACTGCCGGGCGCGCCTGATCGAAACGTCTGCGGCGTTCTCCCCCGTGCAGAGAACCCCCGCAACTCAAAGGTGCACGGCACGGTCCTCAAGAAGGTGCACTTGGTCCAGAGGCCCCTGCGGAACGACTCGGCGACTCTGGAGGCGCGCTCCAAGAGCCCCTCTTCTGGTGCGTGCCTTCTTTATCCTGCGCCATTCTCCGCTTGACCAGTTTCATTTCTTTTTTTGTCCGTATCGTGGTCCTTCATTGTTTGCTGGTTCTATTAACGACCTTCTCAAGGAAAGCTGTGCTTTTTCTACTCGTAAAGCCGGGTTCCATGCCTGGGGAAACACAAAATGTTGGAACGAAAACCAGAATAACATGGCCAGTTGTCTTTACAAAAGGCTGTGCTCCCTGGCGGGAATTGAACTACTGATCTCTTGCTCAGTGATCCGATACCCCATTCTCCGCACTAGTGGAGCGGCTTTGGTTGGTACACACATAGTGCCCGTGTTTCTGCTAAAGCTTTGTCGCCTCGATGGTGGGAGGGGCTCAAAACAAGCTGTGCATTCTGTGTCTCGATTTAGTCGGTAGAATTTAGATAAATTTAAATTTGTTTCTGATGTCTTCTTGAGTCCCGTTTTTAAACAGAGTTCATTTTTGATTTTGTCTTTTTCGTTCTCCGCCTGGCAGTTCTTTCAGACGGGTGCACAGGTGCGGGGTATATCTGAAGAATTTTGTTATCTGTCTCTCTCTCCTTCTTTTTGCTTTCTTTTATTTTTCATTCACTTGACTGCACAGTCTGGTGCCAGCCTGCTAGTAAGGTACCCTCTATGATAGTGTATGGCATGCTGTAGAACCCCATTGATATGTTTTGAAGAAACCATGAGAAAAAAAAAAAAACATATTGCCAAGGAAAACATACAATCTAAACTTACCATTTTCAAGCACACACATACACACACAAAAAACAAGGAATAGTTCAAAAACAAGCAGCTCTGTGATGGTGTCGCTTTCACGACAACATCGCAGAACACGAAACGCGTTCGGCAGCTTTGGTCTCATGGAACGCGAGACCAAAGCTGCCGAAGCGTTGGCGGAACTTGATAAAGAAATCGGAGCTGAACCAATGCAAAGAAAGAAACAAAGAAATGCCAGATTCGCTCATTTACTGCTACCGCTACCACTCCCTTGTACGTCCTAGTCTAGAGTTACTGTTGTGGACTCTTGCAATTGGTGCTTTCAACCCTCCGAACAATGCCTAAAGTGCTTGCTGGAGTTACGAAGAGTGACCCAAAATCACGTGTTTACTTCGGAACCGCTTGAAAAGCCATAAGTGAACATGGTGCTCTGGTGTTGACAACTGGGCCTCTAAACTCAGCAAACACAAAGTTGACGGTGCGTATCAATTGGCCTATCACGAAGTTGACTTTGCGCTTTTTTCGCCAACGTCTAATCGGCGTGCTCCGCAAACTTTCGTCTCCAACCTGGTGTTCGACGAGTTAGGGAGCCGGAAGTAAACATACGCTTACACGGACGAAGCTTGATTGGTAGACAGTCATATTTGGGTTTCTATTTTTAAGCTGCTGCTTCAATTGCCCGTTACGACAGCATTCGCACCACTTTCGCCGGCGGTAGCACTTGACGAGAGGAAAACGAATGACAGCATCAGATGGACGTGCTGTTGTTACGAGCGGTTAGCACACCGCCGCCAGAATTGCAGTCGAGATGCGTAAAATATGTACCCGGAAACTTTTGTTATTATTTCATGGTAGAGATTCTTTGACTAATCTAATAATGAGCTAAGACAGTAAAACCATGCTGTGTGTTTTGTAATTCCAATCAAAACGTCCTTGTGCACCCGGACGGCTCTTGGAAGTTGCGGAGAACAATAGATGCAGCGGTGGCGTTATCAGAGGGCAGACCGCTTCGCATACGCGCGCCGTGTCGTATGCCATTGAGGTCAGGTGCTCTGTGCTCATTCGTCGCAACCGGATGTTCAGAGCTTGATATATGCGAGTGCAGCATTGATTGCCAAGAAACATATAATCTGATCAACATTTGGCAGAGTGTTGAGCATACTTTCCGGGAAATTGTGTTATCCGGGAATGCATGAACCGGGAAAAAACCTGTGCAACTCTGAAACGTTTCCCGTGCCCTCACTCATGAATGTATGAACCGGGAAATCATATGAATTGGGAATGTACCAATTAGGTTCTACTTTAGTAGATTGGATTACCCCTTCAGTGTGTACCTACTATAGTTGAATACAACATAAGAAAAACAGTGCAGAGGGGGAAATGGGCGGAAACTAGGAAAGCTGAAGTGAAGAGGGTCGACCTGCTTTCCACAACGTCTTTTCTCTTGCGTGCCCTTTTCCCCCTCACGCTGTCTTTCTTAGGTTGCATCCGAGTATAGTCCTTCCACTGCTTTTTTATCTTTTTGTGTTTCTGCGGCCCTTGCCGTCATTTCAAGGGAGGTTAAGGTCCATGCAGCTTCTGGGACCAATTTGGTCTCCTTGATTTCGTCTGTAATCGTAAATAATTCTTTCAGGATCCTTTCAAATCATGTGACACCACTCGTGCCAGCTGTTTGCTGTGTTTTTTTTTTTTTTTGTGGCTTTATGATTGTTTGCAATTTTTACACAGTTTATGTCTGCTTTAGTGCTGTTGGCACGGGTCTCGAAGATAAACAAATTTTTAATTTATGCACACTCTGCCTTTGAGTGTTGTGTAAATGACTGAAGTTCTTATTTCCGATACTTAACACTGAGCATGCTGTCTATGTGGTGCAGGGGTTTCGAGCGTGGTGTCTGCCGGCACGCTGAGCCCCAAGCTGGCGCGTCATCCTGTCGTAGCCGTCGCCCCCACCAGCAAGGCGATGCCTCCTTCCGCCCAGAGCTCCCTTTACCGGGCGCTCGGACCACCAGCCAAGGTGGGCCGCTTTCTCTGCGCCAGTGTCTGGGGCGTTTCACAGAAGGCTATTTTGCACGGCGGTGTTGCCAGGCCTAAACCACAATGTCCAAAAATGTTACGGGTGGAAAATGTTCACTACAGTACAATTCTAAGAAATGAATTACTTTTAAAATTTGTGTGACCACTTTGACCGTTTTCGTGTGGTTGTAGGTGGTCTTCATTTCACAAAAGGCCATTTCATGAACCAGTGCTAAAAGACGTAAACCTCGATTGCAAAAATGTGACCTATAGAGTGGGCTGCTGACAGTATAGCTTTGTTATGTGTATTATTGTTTCAAGTTTGGTGGACTGCTTCAACCATTTTTATAACTGACACTCCAACTAGGTGGCGCTCGTCTCCGCCTAATTCAAGGTGTTCATATCTTCCATCTTCTCCATCCGTCTTGCAGTCTGCAAGAAGGATGGAAAAGATTGGTGGGGAAGTCAAACGATTTGGGGCACCATTCCCTGCGCCTTCAGTCGCAGCCTTCGTGGCTGCAAACGAAGGCAGCAGAATTCTGTCTTTCCCATTGCTCGTAGTTCCCACTCCGACTGCCGGGTGGCGTCACATTTGATTTCTTTCTCGGTAATTGCACGAAGCATTCTGGATTTACGTGCCTCGGTGCGACGTCTCCCCCAGAAAATCCAGCACGTGGTGCAGCAACAGCAGCAACCGGCGGGGGGCATGCACACGATGGAGGTTCTGGTCAAGCACCCAAAGGCCAAGGGCAACAAGGGGGACTTCCTCAAGGCCCTGCGCTGCGGAGAGGACCCCAAGGAAGGCGCCAAGGGGGCAGGGGACTCCCCCCTCCTCCTCAATGACGTGTGCCCCGGCAATGGCCAGTGCCACCCGCAGGTACGTACCCCCACCAAAGTCTGCACCGCGTTTCACTTGTAAACATGAGTGTGGTGGACGCCATGATGTAATGGGGCCTGTCAGGCAGTGCCAAAAGTGCACCGTCATGGTGTCGCCGTCTTTTAGCGCTTGCCATCACTCGGCGAACCGATCGGGTGCAGTGACTGCGCCATGATCCTGCGCTATTTTTCGCTCGGTTTGACTCGGAGTCTACGACCGCAGTCGGACAGGGTGGAACACGGTATGAAAGCCGTGGTGCTTGTTTAGTACCTTCTGTCCTGCGGGTGCAACTTCCGAAAGTTAAGAGCACAAGCTCGCAACTTTCCGACTCGTTTTCTTGACCCGAGCACGTGCTCCGTGGAACTCTCTTTGGCGTCGGCTGACTGCTTGGTTTTCGATGAGTGGCGAGGGGAGGATTGTGGCACTTTGTACGGTGGGGAAGGAATTCGGGAGTATACAATGCGACGTTGGGCTCGAGCATGATACAAACTGCGTTTGAGCTTAGCAACAGGAGTTTCGCGCGGGCATGGTGGCGACGGACGACGCGAATGAGGATTCTTTTACATTCATTGTGTAATTTTGAGGATAAAGGCAAACTGTTTGTTCGTGCCTTCTCTTTTTTTGGTAAGTTTGCCAACACGATTGAGAAACAGGCGGCACCTCACAGTGACCCTTGGAGTGCCGGGTGTGGCCATCAGTCTGCCGCAAACTGCAAACCGAGCACAAGGATCTCATCGTCAAAGGGGTGACTAAGCTTGGGTGTGACTAGTGCTTCAGTGAATGTTTCGTTTGCTGTTGGCCGCCAGCCGGATCGCGTTGCCGCGCGTTTTGGGCCCAGATTGTGGTTGGTGCTGCTCCGTTTCGTTAGATCTCCGCCGAAGAACCGTGATTCTACTTGCAGGAAGAGGAGGAGGAGCGGAGTAGGGCGGAGCTGGAGGCTGCATCCGGAGTCCGGCGTCTTTCTCTGGGGGACCCTGCGGCTGCGGAGCGTGCTCCCCTTTCTAGTTCTCTGGAGGCCGAGCAGAGGTGCCGCTTCCCTTTGGCGTTTGTTTTTAGAGCGCAGCTCTTTGGTGCTTGTTTTTTCGGCTTGAGCAGGATCGCCGTCAGCGTAACCGTGTGTTGCATTATGGGACGTTTTCCACAATGACGTCACGAAGGTCACTCGTGAAGGTCACGACCTTCACAGCGAATGTCACGACCTTCATTTGTGAAGGTCGTGACCTTCACATGGCCTCTTCCTCTGTACCATCCCTTCCTTCTTCTCCCCATCCTCCTCTCATTCTCTTCCCCTCCTCCTTTCCATGCCCTCCCCTCCTCAAGAGCTGCGCTCTAATAGACCTATTGCTATATTACCCAAGCATCAAGGAGAATGCAGGGATCGGTGTTCCACGCGCTGCACGTGCTGTCCTCAGCAGTAGTAAATCTTCTAAAGCAAAAACCTAAAACAAATTGTATCTTGCACGCGTTCGCCAACGCTTTCGTTTGGTTATTTACTTTGAATATTTTATACGGAAAGGCGTGGCGCGTGGAACACCAATCCCTGCATTCTCCTTGATGCTTGGGTAATTTAGCAAATGGTCTATTCGGCATTACAAAAAATTGTAAATGTCTTTCTTTTTTTTTTTTGTTTCTATGAAGGATGTTGCCTTGCGATTTTGACAAGGATTTTCAAGTGTCGGGGCGTTTTAGTTGAAGCTGGGGGGGTCGTTTGGGGAATTTCGCAGGGGACCCGATGGTTCCCTCCCGGAACTTTGGCAGGAGTTTAGGGGTGGTGTAGGGAATTAGTGGGGAATTGAGGTACTGGCGACATGCTTGGCTGATGTCGGAGCTGATGACCGGGGACGTTTGAAAACGAGCAAAAAGTGCATGTCAAGCTCTTGGCGTAAATTTTTCGGAAAATATAGGGAATTGCCGCGGGATTTCTAAGACTAGAGGCATTGGTCGTGGCATTTGGCCCGTGTGAACCCAAGAGCTGGGAGTGCCGGAAAGTAAACTGCAAGCACATAATACCCTTATTCTTTTAATACGAGTTTTGTGCAAACTTTAGGGAATTACCATGGGATTTTTGTGAGAAATTGGCGCATCATCTGTGAATAGCGACTGAAGCGGAGTCGACAGTTGGGGAAATTTCAGGAAGGTGCTACGAGCACCTGCAGACTCTGGTATCGTGCTTTTGTTGGTGCTGCTGTTTTGTGTATTCCTTGTGTCTTTAACTGAAAGGTAACCCGTAAGCATGACTGCGCGTCCTGTCCTTGTTCTCAAGGTCGTTTGATTACTTTCCTCCCCAGGTTGCTGCGCGAGATGGGCTGGAAGGAGGAGGCTTCGGACGACGACGCGTATGCTCCGCTGACGGAAGACGAGCTGAGAGAGTTCCAGTACCTCACCAAAATGGTGAGCTTTTTGCATTTGGATGCTTGTACGGTGGAAAGGCAGTCAATCTTGAAATGCCTGTACATTTGCTCTTCCTCTTGGGTACCACATTTATGGTGTTAGCGAAGCTCGGTGGCTTTTCTTGGAGCAAGGAAAGTGGCAGGCTCATGGCCATCCCTCTCCCATGACCTCTCGGAGGTCACTGTCCTTTTCAAGCAGCTCTCCCAGAGATGTAAAACGCCCAAAAAGAGTAACCAAAATAATTCATGAATCTTTTTCGTCTTTTTCAGTAGGCTGAACACGACAGAAAGACATTACATTTTCTTGGCATATGTTTTTTTATGTAATAATATGACTTTTTTTACAGTGTCAGTTTCTACTTGACCAGACAGTAGCTTAACTGTAAAATAACAGCTGTTGTCGTCCTCGTACAACGTTTTGTATGTATTTGGCACATTAGAGTAGTGGCTTACGGGGGGTTCTTGCGAAATGGTTCGACCGTCGTCAAACATTCAGTAGCACTTTCATTTTGCAAAGCGACGGTAGGCAAGACATAAGCATTTCGCAAGTACAGTCGCGCCTGTTTATAATGAACCCAGGTACATGAAATTACAGTCTATATAGAATGCCGAAGTATTTCAAACGAAAATGCATGTAAAATGTATACTTCTGTAACAAACAACCTATTCGTCATATTGAATTCGGAAACAGAAAACGGCCCTCAAAAACGTGCAAACACCTGCCCTATTTTAGAATAAGAATGTAAAAGGCTTTAGCTTGAGGCCCCTACTTGAGATTACGACGCCATTGCAGTCAGAGACTTGAGCCTCTCATCTCAATGAATTGTGTTTCCGGACCACGTCGGCTTGGACGTCATTGCCCATCTGTTCTTCCGTCACCGCGATGTGTTGCTAAGAAACGCAGAAAGTACTCGACCATAACGCTAGAAAAGAAAATAGCGATTCTCAAGCTAGCAGAAAGTTGCCGAACGCAAGCGGAGGCATAACCTAGAACAAGGCAGGCAGGCGTAGCCTGAAGCAAGGCACTATTTTGCGGCTTTTTTACGCCCGCTTAGACATAGTAAAGGCCAAGTATTTTAATCTGCTGATTTTTCGTACTGCTTTATTATTTGGACATTTTTTTCGGTCCCTGCAAAGTCTGAAAAATCGGTCGGCGACTGTATTTTGAACTTCCGGCATTCAAATTCGCTCTATGCGAGTTCCGATATATCAAACTATTTGATGTATCGAACTAATATGCGCACCTGAAAGAGTGTTCTATAAATGGGTTCAACCGTATTGCAGAGTGTACGCATTCTTCGGAATGCCAGACTCCTTACGCAGCACCTACTGTCCTGCAAGAGGTGTCCGAAAGACTTCCTACAGGACAGCTGTGCACATTACTGTCCTGTAACCAAACACTCGCCTTCTTGATTAGATTACGTCGCGGAAAAATCGGCATGTTGAGTTGCTAACCACGCCTCAACTTTACAGCGTCAGGAGAAGCAGCGCAACGGCGTGCAGCGCACGGTGGCGGTGACCGCCGCCTCGGACAAGACGGGAGGACTCCTATGGAGCCCGCGGCGCGTGGCGAGCGCAGCGCAACCGTTTGCGACGCCGCCGGTCGTCAACCTGCCGCAGGCGGACAACGGCTGGAGCTCATCTTCTGACACCGACTCGGATGGAAACTGAGAGCCGCCTCGCCCCGCTTCCTCCCCCTCCCCTCCTCGCGACGTCGCGGACGACGGAAGAAAGCGCCGCACCCGTCGTCGCGCGCTTCGTTTGGCGAAAAACTAAACTCGCGCCTATCGTTGGTTTGTCGTTTTTCTCGTTTCCAGAGTCCGCGTCTTTCGTTTTTTTTTTTTTTTTTTTTCGAGCGGTCAATCGTTGCGGTTGTTGCATGTGCCAAAAGAAAATAACGTGCAGAGGAAGCGAGCAAAAGCGTTTTCGGAGTTCGTCTATGCCGTGTTTCAATTTTGGGCGCGCCGTTTCGTACGAAGCTCGTTTCTGTGGGCGCCTCGGGCGAGACACAATTGGGCAGGTCGCATCGTGGTCGGTGCCTCGGGAGAGATGCGATTGGGCAGGTCGGACCGCGATCGGCGCGGCGGTGTCGACTAGACTTTACCACTGAGATTTGTTTTTCGCCCGGTTGATTGCTCTCGTCGTGTTTTGTTCTGAAACACACACACCTAGCGTGAGGTCTGGATACGCGCTTTTGTAAATAGGGAGTGAGGGCGCAGCACAATTTCTCGGCACGCACGTGCAACGAACAGCGGGCTGGAGGGAGGCGGAGAGAATGGGAGAGAGGAAAAAAAAATGGCTACACGGATTTTTTTTTTTTTTCGTTTCCTTTGTACAGCGACTTTTTACGTTCTTGTAAATGACATCCTTCCAAAGCGAAATCTTGACTTCGAGAGTGCTCTTGTTGACGAAAAAGAGAGAAAATAAAAATGGCGAGAATTTTCTTCTTTTCTTTGTCCGATGGATGGGTGGTTTCATGCGAACGTCTGCTTGTGAAGTAAGGCGGTAACAGTGCCTGGAGCATATTCTCCCGACTGGTGGGTTTCACGCATCTTCTAAAGTGGTCCCGTGTTCCTGCCTGTTGCCGCCATCTCGTGCCGTTGCCATTGCGATCCTGGCAGTGACTTGGCGGTGGAGGTGAATGCAGCATACGCCTGTTCTGCTCGGCAAACAGGGTCGAAGGAAACCAAAAAATGCCTCACATATTGCCCTGCAATTGTGTTGCTGCATGAACAGTTATCGGTTTAGCGCTAGTGCTAAACCACTGGCGCTATACAAAGTGTTTAGTGGAGTTGGAGTTAGTGGTGCTAACTCCATTTTCACATCAGTTTTCCTGCTAAATCTAGCAAGCAAAAAATTTGCTTATGGGTCACGTAACATATGTCACTTGTCGCCAATTTTTCTACTAATTTAGCAGAGATCCCTTTATGTAGCCTTCAGCCGGGCTAATGCTGTTCGAAGCGCCAACCTTCTTGCTCGTTGTAGCGCTTCTTGCAACAGCAGTTCAAAACACAGCTGCAGCGGGCAAGAAGGACGACGCCTCAAACAGCATTTTAGAAACTAGGGGTTATCAGCAGAAGCTGACGTGTGGCAGCGCGCATTAGAAGGGATCATGCTCTCTCTGGGAGTTTGCCAACCGAGTTGATCGAGCCACGTTGGGGGGGGGGAACTGAACTGAACTGAACTGAACTGGTGTTGAGGTTACGTGACGTGAATTTTCCCACCAAATCTAGAGGGGAAACTGAATTTCCATATAGGTCATGTGACATTAATTTTCCAGCAAAGTTTAGCTGGGAAACTGAATTGGTATGGAGGTCACGCGACTTCAACTTTTCTGCTAAATCTAGCGGGGAAACAATTTTCAAATGTGGCCATGTCGCGAGACAATTTTTTCGCTAGCGAGGAAATTGAATTTGCGTACAGGTCATGTGGCCATGTCGCACGTCAATTTTTCTGCTAAATTTAACGGGGAAATCGAATTTGCTTACAGCTTGCGTGACATGAAGTCATGTGGTTTCATTTTTTCCCTGCTATATTGGGGAAATTTCCGATTATGCTTTTTGAGGCTTCACGTCATCTGAAAACCTAGCCTATGTGTTTCACATTCGAAAGGCAAAGCAGTGTCGTACCTTGCTGCCTTGGGCCTTCATAAGTCCTCAAACTGGATACCTGGGAACCAAGAGGTTCCCCACAGCACCCTCCAGGGTTCCTTGACCTTCCTTGCCCTTTCAGTAAAGTGTTTTCCCGATTTAAGCACTATTTGAATAGATCGAAGTGACCCTTAGATGCACAGCTATTAGCCAAAACGCTGATTAATACATTAATTACTGTTTACAAAGTTTGTAGGCTTCTGTAATGCTTTATTGTATCAAAGCCAAGACGGGCTCCTTGGCTATCAGTCGGCAAAGAGAGATCCCTCGACGTTGAAAAGCTCTAGAACCCCCATTTATTGACGTCATTTCTCTCGTGGACGAGAATTTTGTCCTCTAAACCCTTCGTTGTCGAGTCGCATAAGCTTACGGTTGCCTGCATCGTGGCTTCCAGTGGTCGCACACTATCACTGACGGGCAGTAATATTGCAACTGACAAGCAGCTCGAAGGTCGAGTTTTTACATGAAATACGAAGAGGGTACGTGGCTTGCCCCAGATAGGACGACAAACTGACTGAATCTGCCTTGATGTGCAAACCTTTCAACGGCGAGTGGCATTGCTGATTTGTTGGTGACCACTGTGATCATATTTCTCCTATGGCTGGCACCCTGACCATATCCGGTTAGGTACCAGCAACAGAAATCAACGGGCCGACTGCCAACCATACGCCGACGCAGTGCCATCCTTCTCACTGGTTGGATAGACACCAGTGCCATTCGAACCTCTTCCTCGAGTGCCTCCATGTTACTCCCAGCAGGGGTAAAACATCACATGTTCAGATGTACAGCGGCACTCTGCTCGGTGAAACAAGCATGCTCCAAGCTATCCCAAAGAAAGAGTGCAAGAAAAAGCAGGAAAAAAGGAAGCAGACATCTTTACCGTAACGGGTTGAGGTAGTTCCAAGTGTATGGTTCTTTTTTACCGCGAACTGGTGCCAGGGTACTGCTCGGCGCTACCGCGTTCTAATTGTTTTCCGCACGCTTCGTCTACTGCGTCCCACGCTCCAACAGGCTCTGAGAAAGTCGCATGTACATCGCAACCGCAGAAGATGGAACCCACAAGCAAGACATTCACGGAGTGCTTCCTTTGCACGACACGGGGCTGTTCCATGCCATTCGGACTCCACACATGTACACAATTTCCCCATACTAATACACTACATTCTGTGTTACCAGTGCCTTGTGAATGTGTGACGGGGCAACTTTCCCGGGAATTTCGGTGTTGCTGGCGAGTTGTTGCTTTCCCTAGATCCTGGCGCTGCGACATGAGTTACTCTGCAATAATACTTAAAAAATAAGCGTCCGGTTCGAAACAGACGAGCAACCCTGACAACTCTGAGACGTTCAAAGCGGCAGCAGCAAATTAGGGATGCAACATTTTCATGTCACGCCCCCGACGCCACGTGACGGTTTGGAATAGTTTTTGAGAATGAACCGTTTCAGAAAGAAGTTAGTGTTCTCTAAGCCATTTAAAAATATAAAAACATGTTTATAGTGCCTAACTCTGTCTAAACAGTGTGCGACAATCAAAATGACAATGGCAAATCGTAGCAATTGGTTGCTGCGCGCGAACGCGGGCGGCCTGTGTTGCTGGTGTTGCGAGGTCAAGTTGCCGGGAGAAATCGCCCCGTCTGAAGCGGGCCTGAGGAACCCGTAATACGAGCTCAACGATGGAAAGCAGGAGGATGTCGTTGCATACACCTAAGTGCATGTACAAATGGACACCGGAACGATTTATATGCATGATTCCCGTCGCTTGGAATTTCTTTATATGGACATAGCGATGGAAGAACAAATTGCATCAAACATCACGCATGAAGACAAGCTGTACAGTGTAGAAAAAGGACGCCTCCATATGAGCACGTTTGTATATAATACTAACACTTTTTTCTTTCCTTCGCTCGATGCACAGTTCTTGGAAAATGAAGAGGGTCAATTGTTGGTCCCCCTTGAGAATCACATTGGCGCATAGTCTATTTGCACGTAGAGCTGTTTTACGCCCGCCTGCAACAAACGAGAAGAGAAAATGTAAAATTATGTTTCAGTAAAGCATTTCCAGTGAGCAGGTCCAATGGCCTGCAGGTTTTCCAAAGAAAAACCTGCAGGCTATTGACTGGACAGGACACATGTACGTCACAAAATGAAATCTCCATGAAAAGATTTTAAAAGATTTGCACAATGTTTAAGTTGTGGGAATTGCGAATTCTGAGAGAAAAGATTTTAAAATTAATTCTTCCTTGGCATGAAATTTAGAAGAAAAAGAACAGACAATTTATATTCAATTAGTAACAAGCCTATTCGGCACATTTCTGCAACATACGGTAAAGTTGAAACTAATCGCTATGTCGAAACAAAACATAACCGTGCTGCACACTATTCCACCGAGTTTCATCGACAATGTGGGTGGAGGATCAAACACTATACCGTATTAGATTTCTCGGTCCATAAAGATATATGGCGGTAATGGGGCAAGAGAGAAATGGGAGGAAACGCAAGTGCTTGTCGTCGTGTGTTGCCCCCTTCCGTCGTCAAACAGTTTGCATTGCCCTAAAAGCCTATACCAACCATTCCCAATGAGCATTGTTCCGCTGTTCAAAAAGGCTATAAATGTTAGAAACATATCAAAATGAAGTTTTGAAAACTTAAAAACTAGAGTTATGACTTGTAGTTCGTTACAACTCGAGAAGGTAAAGCTAGGGAAAGAAAGGCCGGGGAGGAAGTTTCCCCCTCTCCTCTGCAGCGTTTCGTCAGCGTTTCGTCAGCTTCCTCCCCCCCCCCCCCCCCGCCCTACCTTCTTGAGTTGTAACGGGCTATAGTGTGTGCCTGCATGTCAGGAAGCAGATTTTTCATGTTGTCTAACACATATTTTCCGGTTACTAGTATATATGTCAGATAACATTGTAATTGACCAACCGTGGCCGCATGTTAAACATTTGCAGTGAACCCATACAGCATTTATTGCCAGAGGAGTCCAAAGTCCAATTGCCAGAGTAGCTGCCAGAGTAGTCCAAAATCTTAAATTGACAAAGCATTCAATATTCACAAATAATATAACTGCACTGCAAAAAACGGCGAAAACCTCTTGGCGTCGTTGATATACGTCAATATCCTTCAAAAGATTGTTGGATTACTCTTGTTAAAAAAAATATTCAAAGGTGTCCAAAACTAAAATAAATAAAAAAAAAAGGTTTTAAAAAGGAAGCAAGAACAGAACGAGCGGGTTGGTTCGGATAATTAAACTTGAGGAAGAAAACGAGAAAGACAGAAATCGGAAATTTTGCATCTCATCAAAAAAATACTCCCCCCCCCCCCCCCCCCCCCCCCCAAAAAAAAAAAAATGGTAGCGAGATTTATTTTGAGTGAGGAGCGATTCCAAAATGCTTTCGGCACAGTGCACAAAATAGAAGTTTTGCAAAAATAATCTCGCAATGTAAATATAATGTTAATTTTTAGTTTTTCTAGGGGTGATGTGGGATGAGTTCACTTTGTGATTGTCTTGTCCTATCCAGGCACTTCAAAAAATAACTTTTTCCTTTGGGAGTTTTAAAGCTTCTTTTTAAAGCAGACAAGGACACTCACCTGGGTGAAGATGCTATGGGTGCAGCTGAGGAGATAACTAGTGTCCGCTCCCTTGGCCACCTCAATCTTCAGCGTGCCGATGAAGACGTCGCTGCACAGGGTCCAGAAGTGGGGCTCCTGAACGCTGTACACTCCTTCAAGCTGCATCACCTGCCACAAATAGCCCACAGCAGAGACAAGCCGTTGTGACGGGTTTGTGCTCGTCAAAAGAAATAAAAATTCGGCACCCTTTGTGTCGCAAATGACGGAAAACCCATTCCCGAAACGGGAGCACGGTACTACTTGTCTGAAACTGCACACAATTTGTCACTGAAACCTGGACAGTGTAATGTTTGGGTCAAAACTGCACATAAAGCGTTTCCAGTACGTGGGTGCCGTACTGTTTGTATTGGAAACAGTCTAGAAACCATTTCGGGAATGAGGCTGTACTGTACCGTCCGTGCCGGAAACCACACGAAACAGATTTTTGAAATCTGGCTACTGCAGCGTTTGTATCATGGGGCACACAACCCACTTCTGAAACATCGGTATAATACTGCATCATCTGCCGCAAACGTTGCGCAACCCGTTCCTAAAATTGTGAACATCTAGTGTCGTTTCCGCTGAAAAACGCCACAAAACCACTTTCTAAAACGTGGTTCGTGACGGAAACGACTCGAAACCAGTTACTGAAATCTGGGTTACTGTACTATATTTGTATCGAGTCGCATACAACCCATTTCCGAAATGTCAGGCACTAAACTATTTGTATTGGAGACAGCACAAAATCTGTTTCACAATACGTGTGTTTCAAGTGTCGCAGAGCCAGGTTCCGAGATGTCGGTACTGCCTCGTCACGGTGCCTCTAAAGGAACCAGCCCCGCTTCTTGTAGCCATGGGGACACATACCCTTTGGTAACAACCTGGAAGAACAGCGTCCAGCTCTTTGGGAGTCCTCTGCATGAGCACGTAGATTGAATCCCGCAGCAGGGGTAGTACGCTGCAATGAGAAGATGAAGGAGAGGCATGCTATTGGACGGTCTGTGCCGTGGAAACACCCAAATGGAGCCTGTTGAATGCAACAGCATTGTAGCCACGTTATCACTGGAAGGCCACGTAAATGCCGTGGCAGTCGCCAGTGCCGTCGAAACATGGAATGCTGGAACAATACTAATGATTATGCGTGGGGCAAGTCTTTTTAGTAAATTTTGAAATTGTCTTTTTAGGTTTAAAACTTGATTTATAACTGCCCCAAGCATCCTAGAAAACCTAAAATTACAATTGTATGGCCTTTTGCCCTATCACAAATACATACGACCAACCGTCTCATTACACCCTTTTTCTATATATATCTCGGGAAAAAGGGGTGTGCGAGAATGCTCTATCACATTTTTAATAGAGAGAAAGGTTGTGCATGATTGTAATCTTGGGTTTTCTAGAACACTTAGGGTGAGGCTGCACCAGAAAAATGACAATCTCAGAAACTGTTTTAGTGCCCCCGTGAGGCTAGCAGACATATACGTCGCTACTACTTCACGGCGTCGCAATCTATCGCCAAGTTCGGCTCTTAAATTTCCTCTTGCCCACCGCGACGGTTGGGACCACCGCATACCGGAGAAAGAGATAATAGCACAACTTAAAGGTATGCCGCGACAAACTTCTAGCGCCTATTTTATCGTTTGGGTGTCAACCATGTTCTGGCCACACCACGGAGACGCCAATTTTCTACTCGGAAAAGACACCAAAACATTATTTAAAAACAATAAACCGAATGTCGTTACGTCACTTTCAACTTAAAAGCAACGCCACTACGCGGAAGTACGCGCGAGCACTGTCAAACCGGATTTCTCTTCTCTCTTGGCCTATTCAACTCTTGCGGGGAGCGGGGAGGGGCAACCAAAACGGCTAGGTTGTAACCCGTTTACGACAACCAGAGGCGGAGCTTGTAATTACCCCAGCCCCCAAGCAACCCTGCCCGTGCTGGGCCAGTTGCCGTCACGCGTTCCGGGACGCATCACGCTCTCCGAAGGCTGACCTTCGAGCGTTAGCTGGAATCGGTCTCTCGGAACAAAAAAAATATATACGTAGCCATCCATTCAAAATGCAAGCGTGCGATTGTCATTAGCAGATAGAGTTGATCATGTTTAACTTATTTCTGAACGTGAGAGGCATATATTTAAACTTTCAATTCGGTACCCCTTTACGTTCTAACTTGGTATTCAGCGGCAACTTGAGGTTCAACATAACAAACTCCAAGTGTGGAACACAAATATATGACAGATTCTCCAAAAGAAAAAAAGGACGCACCTGACACCGATGAGGGTTGCGATGAACATGGAACAGATGGGGTCGGCAATGAGCCAGCCGAACTGGCTCATCAAGATGGCCGAAACTATGACACCCACGCTGCCGAGAGTGTCTGCCAGGATGTGCAGAAACACTCCTGCAACAACGACGACAAGCGGTGCGTCAGACGCGATTGAGGTGTCGACTGGTCTTGACTTCGGCAGCAATGAAACAACGACTGTTCTGATGCCTTTTAGTCACCGATACACTGTTTCGAATTCTCAACGCTTTACATCAATCCTAACTAAAGTAGAACCTTTTTGATACGTTCTCAATTGCTACGTTTTTCTGGCTGTTACGTTCAAAAACGTCGGTCCCGTTTCACTTCCATAGAAATACATGTATTAGTTTCCTGCCTGGACCGTTTGCTTTCCCGGTTTTCACGTCCAAAAGTGATGGCATCGCGGCGCCTTGGCACGCCGGGCGCCAGGCTTCCACGCTGGCTTCGAAGCGCAGCTAGAGGAGAAAAAATGAACTATGCAATGCGGATCGCACGGCACGCGTCGGAACGCAGATGCCCATCTTGCCTTCACTTCTTTCCCCTTCTTTTCCGTCTCTCTGTCTCCTCACTGGGCTTTGCTGAGCCCCGCCACAGCAGCTTCCCATCTGGCCGGGTGTGTCCTAGGACAACACCTGCTCGGACGGGGAGCGAGGCTGGCGAGGCGGCAAACGCTCGTTCTCTCTTGCTCTCTCTTTCATCTGTCCTCCTTCTCTGGCACAAGATGCACCAAGCACCCGCATGCACGCTGCACTCCTAGTTTCTGTTCCGCTGAATTGTGTGAGTCGTAGTGTTTCAAAGTATGTGCGCTTTGTGCCCACTGACAACGGTCTTTGCATCACGAAAAAGGAAGGCACTCTCTTTTAAAGGGAAGTTTGATATACTTCAGACGGTGGATCGCAATTCCAGCCGGAAGAGATCCGACGTCGCAAGAGACCTTGGACTCGAGCCATCAACTTTGAATAGCATCGTCGCCGAATGAAAGGGATCGAGGAGGCGAAAGCTTCTTTTTATCAACCAGGCTTTAAACAGGCTCGGGGGGCAAAACACGCAAAGTTGGAGTGTCGCTTCAACAGTTCTGTAAGTAAGCATAAAATAAACTATTGTATAAGAGCTGCTTTTTATCTCATATAGAGCCTCCCAAAGTGCGTTATCGGTTCTTACGTTTTCTCGGATTATACGTTTTTTTCCGCGGTCCCCTGAAAATAGTATCAACAAGGTTCTACTGCATCTTGAAATCTCAACATGGCTTGGCTGCACAACTTTGCTGCTTGGATCTGGAAGTCTGCAAACACCTGTTAAAGGGATGCTGAACCCAAACATTTCAGCGTCTATAATAAGCGGTGCACTATTTTTTTTTATGAGTCAGCAGCCCCTGGTGTGCGCGAGCACACACAACGAAATTGACATCATCATAACCCCATTCGAGCTTATGAAGCGTGAATGGGGTTATGAGTTGGCGCGAGCACGCCAACTTTGTTGCGCGTGCTCGCGCACAGTGGTGGCTGCTGACTGATGGAAAGATAGTGCGCCGCTTATTGTAGACACTGAGATGTTTGGTTCAGCATCCCTTTAAGGGAATCTCTAAATGGTTTAATTGTTCTAAGCTCTTTAATACATATAGGCGACTTCTAAAACCTATCCTGAGAAGCTGCTGATGAGGGGTTCCTGTATTTGTGTTGCGACGGAACTAGATACCGAATCTTGCTAGACTTTGCAGATGGTCACGCCAACTGCGCGGGTACATACCTGGTTGGAGAAAGAGGCGTAGCCAGGGGGGAGGCTTATGGAACTTTAGCCCCTCCCCCCCCTCCCCCCCTTTCCCCCCCTCGAAATCCAGTCAACTTTATAATATAGATATGTACCTTGACCCCCCTCCCCCTATCTGCACCCCAGGTCATGGACATCCCAGCCACCTCAGCCACCTAGATGAGTGCAACACAATTGTTGCACTCATCTAGATGCTTCACTATATATGCAACTTATGAATGAAACAATTGTGTTCCTGTGTGGAAATTGACAGAGATAGTTTGCAAAGAATTGGATCTGTTTAAACATGTTTTGAAGGAAACAATTAGGATTACGGCAGCGGCAAATTGTGTCAGCATTCCTTCCATTGTTCTTGATAAACAAGCGTTGACGTTTTTGCTGTTGTAGTTTTTAAATTTTGCTTGGTAGGTTGTATATGATTAGATATCAGCGATGAATGGTCCTTTTTTTGCTGATACTAGCATTGGCCGTTTTTATTTTTTTCCACTTTTGTGTCGGCTGAGGGTTGTTCACTATAAAGGAAGTGTTGTGAATAAAACGTTTTAGCTGTATCTGAGACAGTGTTGTGTGTGTCCTCTGATTTTATTATGTTGCTTAATATCCACTAGCTCACCTGAACCCTAACTCTTCTTTGAGACTTTGTGAAAACTCTGCTGATAAAAAATACTGCAATCTCGCCATCCCAAGACATGCCAACTTAAAGGGGCGGTGCAACGATTTTCGGACTTCGGTCAAAGATTTCTGGAAGTTGCCCCCTGACACTTCCGAAGTAAAGAACAGAAAACCGATTTCTACTGCGTGTCCTAGTTGTTGCGTAAAAAAAAGATAAAGATTGGCATTTCGGGCACCCCTCAACTCACTCCCAGCCTTCAGGGTCACACCTGGTCGCACTTCCAGTGACGTCATTCGGAGTGCCGTGTAGCTTCCCGTGTGCTATTTCGGAGGACGCTTCCCCTCCCTCTCTCTGCGTACATTAGCGGGTGCTATGCTGCGGCTTAGAGCCGAGCGAGGTCACGTATTCTTTCCGCCGTAGTTCCTTCGGCTGCCACTTGGGGCTGCAGGTGGGGGAAAAAGCTCGACCTTTGCTTTGCGATTATGCAGCGGAATCGCGACATTTTTAATGAAGGAAGTGTTTTCTCTATCCTCTGGGAGACGATAAACAACGTAAAAATGACGAGATGAAAATTATTTTAATCATAAAATCGTTGCACCGCCCCTTTAAGAGATCTGACCGAAAGTAAAAACGCCGGGATAAAAAAAGCCAAACAAGAGCAAGTGCTCCCACCTTGCATAATCTGGCTCCTTGGACCGGGACCAAGCTTTTCTTCACTGCTACAGTCCTGGTCCAGACCTGTTCAGATGAAAAGGATGAAAAAAAGACATTTAAGATATTTCTTCAGAGTATGGTTGACAGAAAATGCTAATACGGACATGATTTATCTTGGGCTCTTGTGACATAGTTTTGGTTCTTGTAACATGCTATGGGCTCCTGTAACATATCTTTTGACTTCTGGGACATATTTTGGACAACTGTGACATATTTTGGGTTCTTGCACGGTGTGACAAGTTTTGGCCAGTTCATTTCTACTGTTCCATCATTTTGTCTGAATATAGCCAAATGTCCCGCTTCCGTAGCAACTTGCATGCAAAATCAGTACCAGGCGAGCGGAAGAAAAAAAAAATGGTTACTCGCGACAGTGTATTAAAATAAAGAGCAGAAAATTGTTATCTTCAATAGAGCACAATTTTTAGCTTTTTCTATGACTGCACTTGCCAATAGGTTTTGTTCACACAGACGTGTGTGTGGGGCACTTTTCACATTCCTATATCTGGCATGCTTAGGTTTTTCAGAATAGGTAAGAAAGATGCTTGCGTACTCAGCTACTAAAAGAAAAGCCCCAGAAAAGTGTGCGTTTTCACAGTAAACTGAATACTAGTAGCAGAATTTTTTTTTTTTAATCTTTAATTATTACGTTTGGCAACAATACATTTTTTCCCAACCTGCAGATTTGGCGCCGAATTTTCGATTCGGCAAAAGTTTGGTCCATCACTAACAAATATATACCGTAATATCCAGAGATATAACCCACCTAAAATCAAGAGCAAATCGGCCGAAAATGAGGAATGGGCTAACCCTCAATGTAAAATCAAGGAAAGTAAAAAAAAAAAGATTATTTCAGGTTATGCGTTTTTAGCAAACTTGTCATTGCAGCAAGGGGCAACAAAGCAAAGATATATGATTACTTCCCAGTCAGTAATGTTCACTTATATCACACCATAGCTAACTGGCTTCATTTACGCTGAGGGCACCATTGACTTGAACACTACACTTACTGGGAGCGGGCCATATTTCGGTGTTTAAACAAATACGTATGTCAAGTCAAGCTGAACATAGGGGCGGGTTATCTTTCAGGGATGGGTCATCTCTCGGGGTATAACGGTGTGTAGGTAGGTAGGTGCGGCTTATACATCAACGTTTTTCCGAACCATTCATGGAGGAGTGCGACTCATGAACCAGAAAATGCGGCAGTATAACACTACATCCGACACGCAGAAGCACTTGCCTTTTCTTTTCTTTTTTTTTACCGAGAACTATTGAAGAGTGAAACAGGCCACCTAAAGATGCATTCCTGACAGATTTTCGAAAAGCACTTTAAATATTTCTTCAGCTTGTGTCTGATGAGTGGTTATTTTTCCAGCTGTTTTTGATAGTGCCTTGTATAATCCAATTGCACCAATATTTTTTTTTATTGTTTTAGTGATGTTTTTATAAATACTCCTTTGTACGTTAGTTTTTGTACTACTTGCATTCAATAGGTTTTGTACGCATATATACCCAGTGGCGTTTTACCAATGTATTGTAAAACCCACAGCGATGCGAGCTTTTTTGTAAATAGTAATAAAAAAAGTCAACAAGCACACTGGCCAGAGATGCATTTCAGGTAAGCACCATGTCCCCCAGGTACTCACCAAAACCGTGGGAATGCCCGTGCCCATTGCCGTGCGAGTGGCCCTGGCTCTCGCCGTGCGAATGGTTGTGAGAATGGCTGGTGGCAGTGATGGATGCACTGGGCACACTGTGAGAGTGGCTGTGGCTGCCGTGAGAGTGGCCGTGGCTGTGAGAGTGCCCGTGGCCATCGCCTGGAGAAAAAAAAATTAAGCGCGTCTCAATCGTATCTGATGAACTCGGAGACATACAAAATGGTTTGTAAATAAACTGGGCGCAGGCTCTATGATATCACGTGATGTGAAGCCATGAGGTCACGTGACTGTGACATCGCGAAATTAAGTGATGTGACGTAACGTGACACCCGAACTGGACGTCGGGTCGCGCTACATCACAGCGTCACGTGAGTAGGATACTAACCCCGCGAAGCGATGCAGAAGTCATTCCTTACCACCGTGAGAATGCCCGTGTTGGAACGCGAAAATGCCCACAAAGTTGACGAGCAGGCCCAAGACGGAAATCAGGAACAGTCGCTCGTGCTTCACCTCAGGGGGCTCGATGGCCCTCTGCAAAAAAAAGGAAGATTTATCGTCCTAAAAGAATGGGGGGCCAGACTGACCTCTGCCACAAATAGATGTCGACTGACGAGACTTATTAAAGTAGTGGGAGCACTGGTCATTTTGAATGCCGTAAAGGCACAGCTGGCACCATACCCTCAAGGCCTATTCACAGAGTAGCGATTGGCCAGATTGTGTAATTTTATGTCAAGGTACAACTGTGAGTACCTACAACAACCAAGTTACTTGGAACCCTTAGACGCATAAATGGGCCCCAAGGGGTCCGAGTAACCATACACCGTAACTAGGGGTTTCGAGAAAGCTCTCACCTCGACCGCTTCCGAGAAGATGAAGAACGCAATGAACAGGAGGAACAGCCCGTTGACGAAACCGGCAAGCACTTCGGCACGCACATACCTGCACAACGAAGTCTTAGGGGTTAGCCCGGCAGACACTCTTTTCCGACAACGCAGTAAGGTGCAGGTAAGCTGGTGCGAGTTCACCATCTTGTAAAACACCCTAGACCGGGCAAAAAGGTGTGCAATAACCAAAAAATAGAAGAGACTGGGAAAGAACATCTCAACATCTTCGTGTATCTTTGTGCGGTTTCGGGTGTTGTGACAACATGGTAAACCCTTTTCTCGACTGCCAGGAAACTTTGGCCAGCCGAAATGGGGAGTGACTCACCCATAGGAAAACCTCTCGTTGGCCCGCCACTTTGTAATGACTGAAGCGGCGAGACCGGCCAGCAGCGCAGTGCAGTCGAAGAACATGTGGAAAGAGTCGGAGATGAGGCCCAGGCTGGAAAGTTCGAAACACAGTGACACCGTTAGCACGTCCGGAGCCACTCGTTGTGCCCGGCTGTTCGTAGGGCGGTTCCGAAGAACTCGATCGAGTTCAACAACGCTGTCGCCGCACATGGAAAGACGTATGGCGAATGGTCACCAACATGGCGGCCGGCAAGGTTTCGAGCCGGAGGTGTGTCGCGTAAAACCGCCCGTGTTTTCAAATAAATTTTTAAAAAAATGCTCGATAAATATATTGCAGATTCGGATTTATACGAAAAACTCTGACTTTGGGGACTATAGGTTGTAAAAAACCTGACTGTTTTTTTTTTTCTCTTTTCCTAAAATCTTTAACAACTTAAGCATTTTTTTTGCATTTGTTTGTAAGGTTTACAAAAGAATGTCTTGAGCTCTTATCACAACAAGGGAGCAACCTTTCTACGACAATAGTCAAACACGTCTGGCTTTCTAGTCATTCAGCTTTAGGCATTCCTCTTGGGCAAGTCTCATTCTTAGACAATCAATGACCTTTTACCGGTCTCCTTTCGTTGAAGATTGAACTTAGGCGTACATTCCCTTGCTCTTCTACACCGACGACAGGCATCACAGTCTTCATTGCCCTAAGCATTACTGCATTCAACTTAGCACGACTAGTGGAAAAGATGCCCTCCATATCGTGGAGTACCGGAATTCTAATCGACACATCTAGCTGCAGAGACCTACTCTCGAGACATTCAAACATATTTAATTAACTGCCATGCGCTTATTTCTGACAAATTCATTAATATTGTGGAAGGCTCATTTCTCTATGAAAACTGGTCTACATTCTAGATAAACATCGGGAAAACTCTGAATGCGAAGTAAAAAATAAACTAGGAAAATGCAGAACCCCAGTCCAGAAGCACAGTCCAGTTAAATGGACCTTCCTATGTAACATCACAGAAAGGTTTGTTAGTGAGAAGTTCAGGGGCAGACTGTATGTGCATCCAAACTCTTGAAGTAAGTACAATGAAAACAGCAGCGTCTCAAAGCTTTGTTGAAATGGACACTTGATGGAAGTCTGACACTTCCCACTTTTTCTGTGATGCGTCTGAAGGTGTCGAAATCAATGTGTCTGCATTTGACTATGTGTGGGATGCACACCACTTGTGCAAAGTACAAAAGGAGGAAAAAAGACCTAACATCTATAATAATTGGTACACAAAATTTGCACAACATGAGCGAAGTAAAAAAAAAAAATCATAAAAAGAGAAATTGCGTGAAATGCGTAGACACTGCTGGTATTTAGCCGTACATTTGGTCGGGCCCTGAGCCAGGTGGCTGGTATGTTTGGCAGGTGTTCAAAGCCGGTTTCTTTGCGCGCGTATACAAGTTCGTGCGAACAACTCCGCCACCGAGATGTAGGACAAAATCTGCGTACAAAACATTACTGGTTCTGTACAGGATCGACAACATTTTTTTTTTTTCTTCTCGTTTTTATAGCTCTCGCTTCCTTTTCTTTTACGAGTCACTATCTAATAGGCCATTTTATTTGAGAGACGGATTTTTTCACTTGAATCATCGTGCTGCTAGAATTGCACGTTATACTACTATACAACGCGACTACCGAAAAAAATCGATCAAACTTGCCTGTTGGTCCATACTCCGTAGAGTAGCTCGACGAATGCGAACGACAGGTTGAGGAGCAGGAAGAGAAAAAGATTCCTCGACGACGCATCCGAGAATATCAGCCTGCGAGAGAACAGACTCAAGATCACCCATTGCTCATGCTAATTCACCTATCATTTTTATCCTTTTTTTTTTTTTCCCCTTTCAGCGGCGACAACCCGCGCATCCGAACCAGCTGCTTTCCCCCCGGGATTCCGAAGAAATCGCGCGAGCGGCTTCTACAGAAGTTGGATGCCGACGGTGGACACAATATGGGCAATCATCTGACGCCCTTCCGATGTATCTAGCGACGTCAATAAGCCCACACGAGGTTACAACAGAGAGCCACGTTGCTTAGTTCCCCCAGCGGTAACTCACACACCTGAGCCATCCTTGGACACGCTCCTTGAAACGCAACGAACGCCGTGCTCGATATTCCTTGTCGTCGGCATGTAGCGGCAACATCTATTCTTCCTTTATCGAGTTACGAACTATTACGAATTCGTCCCTTTAAAGGCTACAACTACGAAGAGTTTATACGCGTATGCTATTGAACATAGTGGTGACAATCCCTCCGCAGAAGCGCCGATTGCTTACGACGGCGTGCTGAGTCGGCCGCCGCGACGACCATTTAATTAAGTAATAGTTTCGTATTAAAAAATATAATAATAGACATAATAAACTAGCAAAAACTTAAATGTAACAGGTTTTCTATTAAAAACATTCAAAGTAAAATTATTATTATTTAGATTGCAAACAAAACTTTTTGTCGTTTTTGTTTTTATTACTATTGTTCTTGTATTTTAAAAATTAAAATAACGAGAAAGATAAATCGAAAGATATAATTTATATTTGGTAAGTTTTACATAAGTTTTAGTTAAAACAAACATACGATTTATTACGGTTTACACGAAACTGCGGCGGAAGTGGCCGCTAGGTCGTTTTGTTTTTTTGATAATTTCTTTGATTTCATTACTGCCGGTGGTGAGCGTTATCGGTGACGGGCACGCTTTGGTGGTGTGACCCAGGCGAGAAGATGTGATCCCAATCCATGCGATGAAGGCGCTCTGGAAGGTCTTTCCTGCCCTTAGGAGAAGTTACCCGTGCAGCGGCCATGCGAGTTCCGAGCGGAGAGCGAACGCGTCGAAGTTGTTAGTCCATTTTCCGGTTTGGTCGTCGTCGTCGGGTTGCTCCGCCATGTACGCCACGGCAGTCACGGGCGCCAATGCAGCGGACGAACCGGCCTTTAGGCCGCAAAAGGCCCTAGTTCTCACCAAGTTCTCGCGGTACGAGTTTGAGAAACGCCGCCACGCTCACTTAACAGAAGAGCAGCTCGTCAAGGATGTAAGTGCAGCGTGAATCGTGGTGCGCTTTTCCATTCCGCTACCCGACTCACCGCCGCCACCACCAACCACCCCACCTGGAAATTACTAACGTTATCTCTCCCCCTCCAAAATTCTTATTTTTTTTCTTCTAACAGTACGCTGCGTTAATTCCGTTACAGAAGAGTGCGTCTTCTGTTAGTGGTTGTCAGGAGGCCGTTTATGAAGTCCTACATTCGTCGGGGGCTCGCATACGTTTGAGGAGAGATAAGGTGATTTTGCTGTTTGTTTTGGTGTTGTTTTTTTGGTTGCATGTTCCTAGCGTCGCCGCACTGCGCTCGTGTCCGTACACAGTCTAGAGGTTCTATAGCAGCAGCTGTGACGCGTATGCGAGTTGGAACGATGCCGACCCAGTTCGTTTTCCTCAGATGGCTGGGGAAAACCAGTTTGATCTTTGTAGCACGTGTCGCTTTTTCCTTATCTTGGCTTTATTTTTTTTTTTTAAGGGCTCCCGATTTTGGTAAGGATGCTTCGATGTGTCAAAAGGTCGGGACCTGTTTGGTGCGAAGCTAATCTTTGCAGCAGCATGTTTGGAGTGACCCTCCCTCGATAGCATGCTCCTCATTCAGGGTTCCTCACATTCCTACGGTCAGCTATGGCAAGATACTCGCGTCTAACCTGGGACTACAAAGAAAAAAAATTTCGCTAGCACTGACCTGTTCCAATACAAAGACTAGCTCTGTTGATAAGTGTGAATCCACAGACATCAGCTGTCGTGATAGCATTCTGTGCTGCTGCTAGACTCTACTTACTGTTAAGCTGATGGGGCGGAGCAAGCTACATGCTTGCTGGACCTACCAATTATCTCTGACCCACTCTTTGTGCATGAGTGTGTGTGGAAAGAGTGATGACTGGTGCAAGACTGGGGTACAATTCAATGGTCCAAAAAATGTGTAGCTTCCACTATCCTGTCAGCTTTTTAGTGGTGAATGGGGTATAACAAAGCAGCTTACCAGGTTTCATTTTCTGTCTGTTAATCTTCTGGTTTTTAGTAAGGGAGCGATTACACAAGAGGGTGCTTGCATGCGAATATTGAACATCTCGCATATGGTGGTAGCCTTGCAGAAACTTGTACAAGTTGTTATGTCTGGCTTATGTAGATCAGGTTCCATGTATTTCTGGCAATTCATAGTATTCATTTTATGTTATCAAACTTATCTCATGTTGCAACACCAGTAAGTCTGATAACTGACAGGGGTCAATACCTCCTCCGAACAGTTTTGAGAACTGGGTCATTTGGTAGATTTTTTCTGTTGTACTTGTCTTTTTTGTGTCCCCTGTTTTTCATCATCTGCCTAATGATTTACTGTAGCAGAGTTTACGAGCATGCATTGCTTGTAGACTATCACTTGTTGCTGCAAAAGCAGTGTTGATTTTTAACTTCTATCTATGACTACAAAGAGGAAAGTGCTTTATTAAGGGTGATAGCTCTATGAAGGTTCTCTGACAAGAGTACAGTGTGGTAAGCTTTCCTTGTTAAATTTTGTAGTATATGAACTTTGCATGTTGCTGCCTAGCTTAGATGTCAAGTCGACTTAAAATTTCCAGTTATCCTTATTTTTAAATTTGAATTTTCATGTCTTGCAAAGACGAGACAGATTTTGCTCAGTTTTCGTCTAACCTTACTGTACGCTGCCTTTGTATCGTGTGTTGAAATTTGTGGAAGGGCTGTCTTTTGACTTGCACAAAGGGCATGGGGGACCAAGTTTTTTGGGATAACTTCTTGAGACGACAAGAGAAAGTGCACATCGAAGAATCGCACCCTTTAAGTTCAAGCCCCGCAACGGCTAGTTCTCATATGGACGGGCATTACACAGGCATGCATTCGTGTAATCGTTGATGCATGATCTACTCTACTGACTTACAGTCAGCAATCATGCTGCACTGGCAAAGTTGCCCTCTATGGCATAGACGGAAGACATTATCTGGCTCCCTAAGCTACATGGCACCAAGTGAAACCAAGAGACTGGGACATTGCCTTCTGCTCCAGTTGGTCAGCGCCGTGCCGCTGACCAATCTTAGCAGACGAGATCAGGGCCCCTGGATGTAGATCGTCTTTACGCTGTATGAACATTCGTGCAATAAATTCTACCTTCCTTTTTTTTTTTTCCTTAAATTATTTGCGCAGGTTTGGTAGGTAGATCAATGTTTTGTATCTGTGTCAGCTGTCGTTTTCCGGCATTATGTGAAATGTCGGCAGAAAAATGAAAGCTTTTTTGTCCTTTTATTTCCTTTTCCCGTCTCCCTTCCCCCTTTTTGTTTGCTGCAGCTGGAAGCGAGGGGCTCGGATTACAACAGCCTTGTTCACCACCACAAAATCCACACCAAGAACCGTGAGCTTGTCGTGAATACCCTCAGGTCAGTCCCAGGTTATCTCCGTCTCTTCATCTTTGCCCTTCCGCATTCGTTGAATACCTTGCTGCAATAGCGTTGCTATAGCCTGAAGTACAGTGCTAATCACACTTGTCTATAACGCGCGAGCGAGCGGCTTTCTCCGGGGAGCGCTAGACTGGTGGCATTCGCGGAACTAAGCTAGTCACGTGGCGCAACATGGAACGGCCCGCTCGAGGGGTGTCCTGCCCACCCTATCAGCTTGATAAGCGATAAAAGTAAAGTGCTTTATGATATTTTTTGTTTTTTTTGTTTTTTGATGACGAAATCGTTGATACGCCTTCACGCTTCAGTGTGTTTATTGTTTGGGCAATGAATGATGTTTGTAAAAAGCGTGCGAGCAGCCTTCCGCGTTTGCCGCCAGCTGATAGAGTGGGCAGGACGACACCCCTCGAGCGGGCTGTTCCATGTTGCACCACGTGACTAGCTTAGTTTCCGCGAATGCCACCAGTCTAGCGCTCCCCGGAGAAAGCCGCACGCTCGTGCGTTATAGACAAGTGTGATTAGCACTGTACATTCTCTGATTATGTACCTGTACTTTACTTAGTGTACTATTTCTGGTATTTTTTGAGGAAAGTGCAGCTCCCGACTTTAGAGTACATTCCTCAAATTTGGCCTGGTTAAATTTGTATCCGAAAGGGATGCTTTGGCTTGCAAGTTTGTTTACACCCAAACGTGCCCAAGTGCATTTGTTTCCCCCCCCGACTTCTACCAAAGACTGTGCGCGCTTAGCTACCTCTTCGTCGTGCATTTCCTGCGAGTTCTTTATGTACCCTACGATTGCCGCGCTCCTCTCTGAGTTTCGATGTGCCGCCATTTTGGGATTTGTCATTTTGGAACGCTTGCCCGCCGTCTAAATAGGGTTCTGTGGTTTTGAATAAATCCGAAAGAGTCTGAAACAGATTTGTTGGTAAATTTTACGCCTATTCGGATTTATCCCCATAACTGAATTTCGAGGTTGCGTTGACAAAATAAAAAAATCAAGAAAGGGGTGTACAAATAAATTTAATAAAAGTGCAGGGTCAGTGGTCCTGAGGAGATGCCACTTCAGTTTCCCTTGAAATCTCAAACTGCTCACAAATGGGGTTTGCCTTTTAGCTCGTGAGGGCCCTTAGGACAATAGGTCAAAGTAGCCATACTTTATTTTTTTATTTTTAAGAATTGGAAACTCTGTAAAATAAATGAAGAATTTCAGAGGATTGGGAATCTACCAAAGACAAGCTCATATAAGCCCCACATTTTTTTTTGCTAAAAATAAACTCGGAAAATTGCTTTCTGTATTTCATGGGATATAAACTCAGAAAACACAAAACCCTAGTTATAAGTAGATTGTGTTAAATAGTTTGTCAGCGAGAGTAGAACAGCTACTCTTGTGGCCACTTTACATCATCCAGTATTCGTTGCCATTTCCGAGATACACCCCTGATAATCCCTAAAACAATGCATACCAAATTTAAAAAAAAAAAAAAAACTGTATAGGGACTGTAAGGGCTTAATGAAAGACTGTGCTAAAAACTACTTGTACTTTGAAAGTACATTGTATTTATAGTACTTTATTTCAAGTACATTGTGCCTGGTGTACTTACTACTTTACTTGAAGTACATAACCCTTAATTTAGTTCATACTTTTTTTAAAGTACTTCTTAGATGTACTTTACCCAACACTGGGTAAGGGCATAGCCCAACGTAAGCCAACACTGCCTAGTTAACAAAGCAGTGGTGCTGAATTTTCAGCATTCCATTTAGACTTGTTCAATCGGCGAGGACAAGAGTTCCAGCAGAATGCAGACACAGCACTCATGACCAATCTGTGTCCCGTGTTGGCCTCCTCTAAGTGGTGCAGAAATTTCAGCACTATGACTTTGCTATCTGGGAAGCTTTGTTTAAACTCCCGTTCTGCCCGCCAATCTCTATTTATTTGAATATAGGGCGTCCCAAGCGGACTTCTGCTATAAAACGAGCTCAGCAAGATAGCTGCCTTGACATAGAAAGCTCAAACTTTTCACCGAATCTGCACTGAGCATGTCAGTTTTACCTTATGAAACTCCAAGGTGCAGTTCTCTTCCTGTAAAAGACAAGCAAAAAATTTGTTTAACTCAAGGTTGGACGCGTTCGCAGATGACCGAGTTGGCAACTTTATTTACTTGTGGTGCCATCTACCAAAAGGCACATCAAGCAGACAACAGAGTGTGTCGTCTGCTCGCTGCACCCATCGGAAGATGGCGCCACATGCAAGCGGCGTTGCCAACTCTGTCGTCTGCGAACGCGCCCAACCTTGACCTTTTTTGCTCTCGTTTTTTACGGGAAGAGAACTGCGCCTATAGGATAAATTCTGTTACAGGTAGTGCATAAATGCACAAAGAGGTGGTGTGCCAAAAAGATGCATACAATTGCTTGACTTTGGCTTTAGATAAGTAGTAATGCCAGCTGGTGCTAATGAGCAGAAGCAGTGGTTCACTTTGAATATTTAAATACTTTAGGCACCGGGTGGCGTGTCATTTGATTATGCTTGCTGGGTTTGGTAAGCCTAACTTCAGAATGATACTTGTGTGGTGTACAAATGTTGGCAACCCGATGTTGAATACCTGTATTTGCTGTTTGTGCTGGGCCAGTCTTAGTAACATTAACCATTCCCCCTTAATGTCTGTGGCCAGGACCTAGGTAAAAATGCAAGTGTAAAAAGTTGAACGAAACTCTCCTCCCCCAAAATACCTTGAAAACTTGACTGCATCACATAAGGTAAGAATAATATTGTCCTTTTCAGTTTTAGGAATAGGCCTATCGAACACCAAGCATGGGCTTGGTGTTTGATAGGTGAAACCACAATAATTTAAAATCAAAGTCGGCAGGCCAGTGACGACTTGACAGTTTTGAAGGTGCATCTTTATTCTAAAAAATAGCCAAGAATATAGAAGTTTGTCTTGTTTTTTGAGGCCACACAATGCTAAAACCTGGTTTCCAGTCGGATCAATTTCTTTTGAATTTATGCATTTGTCATCTTTTAAGGAGTAAGTTAAAGTTTTGTAGTGTCTTCACCAACAGCAAGGAGGGGACTGTTTTTTGTGAAAATGTGTAGAAAGAATTTAAGTTTATGAAAAAATGTGACTCAACATGCGTTGCTCTTCAGTTGGTCCTGGGGAGCGTATCTTTAACTGCTCACTCTTTTATTGCACTGGGGGAAGCACCATCTGTCCCCAAACATCTGAAATAATTTTGCTTTAGGGACCAATGCATAGATGGTAGCACAAAAGAAGTCTGATGAGATACGTCTGGTACCAAAATATTTTGGCAAAATAGGGACAAAAAGTCCCCTTTTTTTGCCAATATTTTTTGATCCTGGAAGTCCCCAGTTATGGGGTAAATGCATGCCCATTTTAAATAAATAAATAAATAAAAAAGAACTATGAAATACGGTAATTTATATTCTTAGCTAACCCAAGCAAATCCTAAATGTCCACGTTACTGGCTGTCACTTCACTACATTTGTGAATCCGTCGATTCATGCGGGAAATTTGGCCAATTCATTTTGAGTGGGTTCTCCACCGCCCGTACCTGGTCACGTGCAGACGACTGGAAGCCATTTTTGAACGACGCTCTTCTGTCGGGCTTATCAACCAATAGATCTAAGAAATTTGACTGTAAAGTCCCTTTCACAAACTTGCGTGGAGCTGCATTTTACTAGAGCTAAGGTTTCATAATACTTGCGAGGTCAAATGTGCATACTATCCACTAGAAATGCCAGTCTATATCCCTGTCAAAAGCTTTTAAAGCCAAGAGTGAAAGAATGGTGCGCAACAAAAATAGAAATTGTATGGAAACAGCAAGTGTCCCACGGCTTACCCAATAGATGGCGCCAGCAGATCCCTTCATGTTGGTGCCAGCAGATCCCTTCAGGGAAAATAGAGATAAGACGAGGCCTTAGGCAGGGGTGCCCGTTATCGCCTTTGTTGTTTATGTTGTATCTGAGAGGATTGGAGGATAGACTAGAGAAGAGTGGGCTTGGGTTCAACCTTTCTTACAGTAAGCTAGGCCAAAAAATTCAGCGATCCTTACCGGGATTGATGTATGCGGATGATATTGTACTAATGGCTAACAACAGGACAGAGTTGCAGGAATTAATGAGCATCTGTGGTAGGGAAGGAGAGGAATTAGGTTTAGAATTCAGTAGCGAAAAATCGGCAGTCATGATTTTTAACGAGGATGAAGTTGAGAGGCTGAAGATACAGAATATTACAGTTGAGAGAGCTAGTAAATACAAGTATCTAGGAGTATGGATATGTGATGGTGCAGAATATCTCAGAGACCATGAAAAGTATATAATAGGTAAGGGCAACAGAAATGCAGCTGTAATGAAAAATAGAGCACTTTGGAATTACAACAGGTATGAGGTGGTGAGAGAGATTTGGAAAGTGGTCATGGTGCCTGGCTTGACTTTTGGAAACGCAGTGCTATGCATGAAATCCGAAGTGCATGTGAGACTAGAAATAAAACAGCGCGGAGTAGGTAGACTGGCTTTGGGGGCACATTGCAAAACGCCAAACCAGGGAGTACAAGGAGACATGGGATGGGCATCATTTGAGAGCAGGGAAGCGGTGAGCAAGGTAGAATTTGAGGATAGGTTGAGGCAAATGGACGGGGAGCAATGGGCACGAAAGGTTTTCAGCTATTTATACATGAGGAGTGTAGACACAAAGTGGAGACAGCGCACTAGGAAATTAAGAGGAAAGTTTTTGGGCTATAGCGAAGATACGGAAGAGCAAGTCTCAGTTAAGAAGAAAGTTAAGGCCACAGAAAGAGATCGGTGGCTAGAGGGAATGCAGACAAAGACGGCTCTGGAAAGCTATAGATTAAACAAAAGAGTTATTGCCAAAGAAAGCATTTATGACAATTCTAGGGGAAGCTCATTGCTGTTTGAGGCAAGAACGAGTGTTCTGCGAACCAGAACATACAGAGTGAAGTACCAGGAAATTGATACAGTGTGCACTGCTTGTGGAGAGGAGGACGAGACGGCTGAGCACTTGATACTCTACTGTAAAGGGCTTCACCCTATGCCTACCAAAGACAACATAGATTTAATAAAGTCATTGGGTTTTAGAGACAGCGAAGGGAGAGTGGATTTCAAGACTGTAGAGATTACCAAGCAAAGATTAAGTGAATGGTGGCAGAAATCGAGAGAAAACTAGGTCATTTCTTATCCACTGATGGCAAGGGGGTTTCATAGCCTCACTTTCGTTGCACTGCGGAGTGAATATAGATTTCACATTTAAATATTCTAAGCTTAAATGGTAAAACAAAATGGCTAGGTGGCGTAAGCTACCGCCCGATCCAAAGGGCTCAGCCGTATTCATCCATCCATCCATCCATGTTTGATTCGTTTTGTTGCGTACCAGGGAGAATGGCATCGAGACGCGTCTGGTGGACCGCTTCGACTACACGGACAGCAACATAGACTGGGCCGACGTCATCATCACGACGGGTGGGGACGGCACCTTCCTCATGGCCGCCAGCAAGATACACTCGCGAGACAAGCCGGTCATCGGCATCAACAGCGATCCTTCCAGGTGACTCTGCACTTTTGACATGTTCCGACTTGCCGACTTGCACATGTGCGTTTTCCTCAATCACACTTCTAGACAGATGAAAAATGTTCCTCGTTGATTGTTGTTAAAGCCAAGCTTGATTGGAAGATTGCCCTTGCTGATCTGCGGTGGCGTCGTCTGCTAGTTGTAGCAGTGGCTGCCTTGCCCTTTCTGTGGCTGTCCGTTTATTTTTGTAGGTGAGCCTTCAAGGAAAGGGAAACGGATATATTGAAGGGTACATTGTTTTTGTGGCCAGTAAACAAAGAACTCGTGACCAAGATGTTTGCCCATTAATGTCGTCTCTTGGGATACTGTTCGTTTGCACACGTGATCAACCCTTCTCACTTTTTTGGTCCTCCTCGCTCGTGTGCAGAAACATGGGTTTTGGTCGACTTGCTCCCTATATAAGTGGAGGTTGTGGTCGTTGTTGTGAATGACTAAGCAGCTCTCAAAGTTTGGCGATCTAATATCTTCTTTCCGTAGTTGCACGCTTTTCGCGTGCAGGAAATGCGTTCCCAAGTATAATATTTAATTTCTCCTTATTCCAGTCCACATAAAATGGACACATTAAAAATAAGAAGCTTAATGGACTGGTCAAAATGCGATGTCAGTGGTCCTGTAAGCCGTCAGTGTGCTGGGTGAACAGTACTGAGATAGGGAGGAAGAGAACGATGCATAACAAGAGGGACATTGCGCTCCGTCTCGTGTAGGAGACTGTGTGTGTTATCCTCTTTTTATATTTCTTCCTTTTCCTTCCCTGTCTTAGGTTCAATCATGCCATGTTTACTCTTTTAATTTCTATTTACACATTTCGTTGCAGGTCTATTGGATACTTGTGCCTACCCGGGCACTACACGGAGAACTTTCCGGTGGCTCTGCAAAGGCTACTCACTGGGAAATTCCAGTAAGATCGCTGGACACCATTTTACTCGCGATTTATACACTTCTCTGAAGCCACGGGCACAAAAACAAAAGTTAATGTAACCTCGAAACTTGAAATTCACTTGCTATAAACTACTTATTTTTTGCGAGCTCAATATTTCGCGATTTAGGTCAAAACTGAAGTTTTGGAATAATTTGCGGGTTCTAATTTTTGCGACTTGGTGGAACCTCAATATATATTCCAATGTGTTTACATTTTACAGGAATTGTTTACAGGACCCATTTTTCACAAATTGTAGGCGATTTACAAAATTCGCGAACATTGGGTCTTTGCGAAAATTAAGTTGTCTACAGTATGTCATATCGGTTAAAAAAATTTTGAAATTGTATTTAGGACTTTGAATTAAAAGGGCAAAAATGATATGAAAGTGGTACTAAAGGAAACCTGAAACAAACCTAAACAGAAACTGAAGAAATCGGCAAATACTCAAATCATTCCCTCGTTAGTTTGTTCAAATCCTGTCCGGAGTGTTAGCAATTTGACGAAGGCTTATTGCAGAGAAGACAGTTTTTGGTTGCACGTCAAAGGTACCTACCGTAGAATACCGTGCATCCGCCCATTCTTCTTAAGCGCCCATATCCAAATTTCTAAGATCTGAGATAATATGTACAGTACATTTATATGTAAAATTGATGACTGGACAAGCGCCCATTCTCCATTTTTTTGCGATCATCTCTAAATTTTACGGTATTTTACGGTAGGTGGCCAAATCCTTAGTGCTCTGCTGGGGCATCCAAGGTGCCCTTTGTTATTTTAGCATCTAATTTCCCGACAATGATTTTCTGTAATCAGTTACGTTCTAATGGCAGCTTAGATCAGCTTGTCTGAAACCCTTATATATGTGGCTAGCTTATGTCACCAAGGTGGGATAGTTTAGGCAATGCCACATCAAGCCCGTACGCTTCACAAAAACTAGATTTGCTCTTTGTCTAATACCACTGTTATAACTACAGCTTTCTGTCAGACGGTGTATCAGCGCGAGAAGGTTCGCACAGCGGGAGGTCAACTAGGGCTAGCCTTTTATTATGGCGCCTGTCCGATCTGCCCGGGCACGAGCTTGGTTCACTGGTGGAGCACGCTCCCGTTACAGACGGGAGTTGTTATAATTCAGGCAAGGCCATGTCAAGCCCACATGCTATGCAAAATCCAGTTCTACTTTTTCTAGTAAGCTGCCGACACACTGCTGTCGGACAGAAGTTGAAAAAACATTTAGACTAATGTCATGCAAGGTATTGGTGTATTGGTTCTGTGTTAGCTACGAGCGTCATGCGTGGCACAAAATGGTTTGTCGATTACTCGGACATCTTTTGGCATGTGGTATCAACCATCTAGGAGGAAGGTAGAGTGACTACGTTGTTGATCGTCGGAATAGCAAGACCATCCTGCTCTCTCCAAGATGGCGTTGGGTAAATTCCAAAATTCACTCTGCTGCAGATCATCAGAGTACTCTCAACTTTAGCAAAGCAAATGCTGAAGAGGTCGCCTCCTCTTCGGTGTTTGCTCTGCCGAAGGGAAAAGAGGTGAGAGAAGCTTCCGCTTTACCCTTAACCTTTCACTGACCATAGAGAGACTGCTCCGCCCTTTTCAAGACTGCTTTGAGTAGATTCCGAAGCGTGAAACCCGGTCGCTGCGCAGGTGGATGTGGCGGCAGCGGCTGCGGGTGACGCTGAAGGGGGAGCACGCGTTTGACGCACCGGTGGAGCTTCACGATCAGCAGTTGCAGTACCCCGAGTACCGCTTCCTGGACTGCTGGCAGGAGCAGCACCGGAAGCCTCAGGACGAGGCCTGCCCACCGGGGCACGCCTCCCACCTACTGCCCGTGCGCTCCCTCAACGAAGTCTTCGTCGGAGAGTCGCTCTCGTCCAGGTGGGCCGCTTCTCTTTCGGCGAACTCTCGTTCTATTGCTTTTCGTTTTGGCGACCTTTTGTATCCTTTGTCTTTCGGCGGTCTTTCGATTCCTTCCCCTTCTGTTTCGGCGGAAATTTCGATCCCTTTTTATGGCCTTTCGATTTGTTTTAACGGTCCTTTTAAATTTTCTTTTGCGTTTTAAGATTTCAGCTGGATTTCTTTCTCTTTTGGTGGCCTTTCTATCCTTTCTCTTTCAGCAGGCATTCAATCTCTGTTCTACAATTTAAGAGTGAAGCATCAGAATTGCCTTCCGAGACGAGTGTGTCAATATGCTAGGGGACTTTGTGGCACACAAGCCAGAACAATCATTGTTGTTTTCTCGTCGCCAGCTTGTTTATAAAATTCCCCCCCCCCCCCCCCCCTTTTTTTTTTTTCTTGCATAGAGGCGATGGGGAGCGATCATGCACTCGTGATTCACGAGATTTAGTAGTTTGTGGGTGTACGGTTATGGGTGTAGAAACGGGGAGTGCATGAACAAGCTTGATCGCTTGTCTGGTATCAGATAAGAGCCTATTTGTACAGTGCTGTTTGACGGTGTTACGGACACTTGCGTCGAGAAAGAACTACGAGTTACCAGGACATCTGTTGCGAAATATGAGGTGCGGCAAGCTTGGCATATGATGTATGAAGCACAGTTTATCTACTTAACATGCTCAAATGCTACTGCGTGAAAGCACCTTCAAGCGTGCGCACATACAAGTATTGAGAAGGTTAATTACTGGTACCACCGCCGAACGCGGCGGTACCAGTAAGCGAGACCAATATTTTTAGCATGTGGTAGTTTTGTTTGGCCACTACTGTACAATAAGGCCTTGCAGGTTTATCTGCTTTGTTTTCTCTCAATCTTGTCTGATAACCACGCGCTTGAGCGCCATGTCGGTCTACGCGCTCTGCACATTCTCGTCGTAGCCCGGGGTTTGGTGTGCCTCTGCTTGATCTTCGTGTATTTTCTCATACACTTTCAGGGTGTCTTACTACGAGCTCTCGATCGATGGATCTCCGCGGGTGAAGTTGAAGAGCTCCGGCCTCACCGTCTGTTCGGGCACGGGCTCGACATCCTGGTCCTTCAACATCAACAAGGTTACCCCCCAGTGTGTCCAGAGGATTCTCGACATCGGTGAGGAACAGTCTTGAGTCGCTCACTCGCGGCTGCTTAGAGCATCGTGGATACCTTAAGGGGACACTGACAAGGTATTTATGCTTGTCAAGGTTTTTATTTGTACATGGCATGCTGGAGCGGGCCAAAGTACCCAGAACACAATTTGCGGCTCGAAATTTGGTTTCTTTCCTCCCGAAAAGCGCCGATCGAGAACTGGCCGGTTTGAGTCATGCTCACTCTTCTCCGTGGTCGCGTGCCTTTTTTTATGGTTTAGACAGAACCACCAAATATGATCAGTCGTGGGTCATCAAAGGCACCATTCTCAATATTGAAAATAGAAAAGAAATATGGTACCCATTTTTATGACTTCTAAAAGCCGTAAATATGTACTTTGATTGTAGAAAAATAAATTTGTACAGCCACGTGACTTCTGCCAACTATCCTCCTCCATATTTCTTATTCTCTCCTCCCTCCCTCCTCCTCCCCACCCCTTCACTGCAATATAGATTTCGAGCAGTTGCGTTTTTTACTTTATTAAAATATATGTGACGCTGTAGCAAAATATTGATTGGGTAGTCTTCCAATACCATAATGAATCATATTAAAAAACTGCGCAAAAAAGACTGGACACGAAGTAGAAACGGAAACAAGACATACGCATGGCGTAGTGTGTGCCTTCTACTGTGTCCCACCTTTTTTCCGCTGTTTTTTAGTATGTCGTTCAACCAACCAGCCCAGCAAGCCATCCTTTTAGTCCATAATAAATTGCCTGGCGAAAAATGGGGGTGTCAGTGTCCCTTTAAAAAATACTAAACCTAGGAAAGGTTTTTTTACCTGGTTAGCCAAGCAAATCAAGCCATATTGGGTACTTCTAGACAGTTTGTTTTTAAGGTAGTAATCCTTCCATAGGCAATACTGAACTAGCCATCGGCATATCCGCAAAGTGCCGCGACGACTTGCACGAACCCGTCGCGGCTCGGATGGGTCCAAACTCAACCGGTGCGGTTCTACGACGGATAGTGTCGCTTCCCTTTCAGTGAGCTCGGAGACCGGCGTGGACATTCCGGCGAGGGGCACCCAGCTGATCGATCGGATAACCACCAAGTTCAACAACTCTCTCATCTTTGACCCGTCAAAGTGTCTGATGGCGTACACGATAAGGGACCCTGTTGTCTTTGGTGAGCAGCAGGTGCTGGCACCTTCGTTGTTCATTCATTCCCCCGTCTCTCCCGCAGGACTTTTGCCGGTGGGTCAGTAAACACCAAAAAGTCTTTCTTTCTTTTTTTGGTCGATCTATGTTTAGCTCGAGCTCCCTGCCACTCATGGTTTCGTGACTCTAGTATGACGTGCCAAAACGCTGTTGAAGGTAAAGAGCTCTTACCGGACATAGGAGTATGACCGGAAGACCCTCCCATCGTTCCGAATCCAGTGTTTTTTTTTTTTTTTAAGGCGGAGCTGTTAAGGGCTAGCTTCCCTAGTATCGTGTCCGTGGACGAGCGGCGTGTCGACACAAAACTCCAGACAGCTGCCGCCACCTATGAGCGACGGCGGCAACCTTTCCACTCTGGTTTTCACCAGAGTGGAAAGGCTGAATTTCTCTAGGCGTCGTTCTCAAGGTCATCCTAGAAGTCGTCCTTGAGGTCGTCCTAGATATCGTGAAGATAACAGCTCTGCTGTTCCTCCATCCCCACGTGAAGTGGAAGGGATCTAAATTTTCCTAATTATTTTTCTGTGGACAACATTGCCGAGTGTCGTTGAATGCGAGCGTCTTGTGTTTTGCAGGAACCGATTTTAGCAGCAAGCCCCGCGGTTTTGCCAAACGGTGAGCACGCATTTTTTTTATTTGCCTTTGGCGCTTCCCTTTCGTTAAACGAAGGCACGAATGCAAACCCATTTTAAAGCGATAGCTTTTTATGGGAACCCTTCATGGGCCTTTCTTGCTCGTGTTGATCTTGCTGCACGATGGTTTTCAGTCGTGTCACATGATATCATGACAGGTGACATTCAATATCCCCGCTAAGTACAGCGGGAAAAATGATGACACGTGAGTCGTGGTCACGTGACATAAGGTCATGTGGCAGCAATCTAATTGCTAATTTAGTGGGAAAATCGACGTCGGCTTCAAGTCTCGACGTCGTGCGATCCAAGGTCGCACGATGCAGTCACGTGACCAGATATCCCACGACGTACGGCCATGCGACTTCAATTTACTTGCTCTATTTGGCGAGGAAATATATCCGCTAAATTCCGATAGAAAGAGCCACTTGTTTAAACCCCACCATGTGCCATTATACCTCCGTTGCATTTGAAAAAACGACTAAGCCAAGCATTTCTTTTTAGGATCGAGGTAAAGTCGCGGATGTTCGACGCCTGCCTGGTGATCGACGGGGGCCTTTCATTCGTCTTCAACGACGGTGCTACGGCGGTCTTCGAGATATTCGAGGAGGACGCCCTGCGAACGGTGCAATTTGTTGACTGACCCTCCCGCGGAGGCGGGTAGGCGTTTGGAGCCTCTAACCCAGTTTTACGTGTACATAAACTGTTGCTCTTTTCTCGGCGGCAGGGGGCCGTGCGGCACTGCGCACGTGCAACCTCTTGCCGTTAGCCGGTAAAACTTTATCGAGGAAATAAAAACTATTTTTGTACTATTTTCTTCGGTGTCTTTCTGCACTCTTTTGCGAAGTGCAGCTCCTACGTCCCCATTTCCCCTTTCTCCTGCAAGTTAAACTGTGGTGGTGTCAGCATGCAAATAGCCCTTGGACATTTTCGGTTCTTAAAGAGACAATGAAGGCAATTTCGGACATCTTTTTGGCGATTGAACTGGGTCCCAGGCACGTCTCGGGCCACATTGCCCAAATTTCAGCTGAAACCGGCGCTTGTGTGCCGCGCAAATCAATTAAACGTTCGCGGTAATAATTGTACCGGAATCGACTGGGGCGACGCCCCGAGAGTTGCGGGAGAAGCCAGAGGCGGAGCTCACGTGACCGATGAGAGGCCAAGAAGCGCGACATCGCAAGAGACGCCTCAGCGATTGGTCGAAACGAGAGACGCGCCCTCGGTCACGTCTTGGTTTTCGGTTTTTAGGAATACTGTTCTAATTTCCGCTTCAAATAACCATGAAATTATAAATCGGACCGGAAAGGATTACTAAACCGTAAAAAAAGCAGCATAATTTTTTTTTCTTTGCTACGCTGGACGTGAAACGGCCAACGAGCAACTCTGGGCACTTCGGCATGCGGGCTGTTCGTTACCGGCTGGGCGGTCTCCCTCGGGTGATGGCGGAGGCCGCCAAACACATACTCCCGTTCCGTTTGTGTTGGGTCACTAAACGGAAGCTCGAACTCGCTCGCGAGAGCGGCATTGCCGTCCATGTTGACAGATTCGACGAAACGACCGTGCCACCGCGCTGCTATAACCCACCGCGGTAACCAGAGTCTTGATCTCCTAAATACTACCGATACCGACTATTCACACTTGACGTCACTCCCTACGTCGCCTCCGTTTTCGGAGGCCCAGAGACGAGAATGGAGATTGTTCAGTTTCGGTTTCTTTACTTCTTTCGTAGGCACAGAAATGTGCATCACAAATGTCTTCAAAAAATTGGGCAGCATGCTATGTTCCCAAGAAGCATAAAAACGCCATTTAAAAAAATTAAATAAAATCGTCTTCATTGTCCCTTTAACTAGACGGTAGGCTTTGCAGTGTTTGCAACTTTAAATATATGTGCCATCTTCGAGAGAGGAGTTTCCTCCCGTCACCTTTTCTTTCTCTTCCACGGATGATATTTCCGAATCTCTCGCCCCAATCTCGGGTAATTCATCAAAATCGGGAGATGGTCGCTTATACCAGTGTCGGACCTAATTCACTCTTATGGTGAAGGAATGATGTGTAAAACGTAAGGAAACATGCAAACCGAAAGTGTGGCAGGCTTACCCAATGGATGGCGACAGAGTTCGTCGATAAACCAAAACATTTTTTGGCAGGTTGCTAGGCAATTGTGTTGCACACATAAAACATTCTAACATCTCAAACATTTAGCGATACTCGTCTCCAGACGCCTACATTCGCAGCACTCTTCACTTTGTAGTTGTTCCTAGGATGAAGCGATACTGCCGCCAACCGGGCTGGTAAACCTGGCGATCTTTCAGAGCCTTCCACACTCTCGAGCCCTTCTTCCTCGGTGTGCGCAGGTGGTCGAGCTCCTCCTCGCCTACCCCTCTGGTCACATGACCTCCCTGTTAACCAATCAGAGCCGAGCTCCTCCTCCCATCCTAAACGATGATAATCGGTGTCTAGCCTTGCGGCCACGCTTTAATCCAGGCTTCACTTTTGCCTGGACTTCCCGAAATGCCAAACACCTAGCCAAAGACAAAGGGCAAATACTCCGTGTCATTACAAGTGAGCATAGCAGAAGATATAGTAGTACCAAGCTAGTGGGTTCCAGCGTTCCTGCCAAGTGCGCATGCTTGTGCAGTGCAAGCATTGCTAAAAACAACATGCCCATACTTATTGCTTCGGCTTTGCATGCACATAAAGTAAAAGACTGCAGTCTGTTTCAAGTGTGCCAAAGGTCACACAAGTAAGCGTTGTTTAGAATTTCTGTTCTTAAATAGGGGACACCTATTGTAACTATCTAAAGCAGAGTGGTACACACAGTTCAACTACAAGAAAACAGTTCTCAAAGCCAAGAACCGGATTTGTGACTGGCAAACGTCACAAAAATGGTCTTGCTTTTCGGGTGTGAAAGTGGCCCACATTGTAATGCTTGCAAATGCAACGGTCTGCCAAGTTTTGAGGTGCAGGCCTTTCTAAAAATCGTTTTATCTCTATAGAAGAGATGGTCTATCAAATTTGCTTTGAGATAGTACTACATAGTGCATATCGAGCGAACTCCATTTTATTGGGACACATTTTCATCCCCTGGTTTCTTCTATCGCCAACACGCACCACAGTTTGTCAGGTGTGCGGTTATGTTCAGCATGACATGCAGCGCACATCTGTCTTTTGTATAGTTGGTGTGTGGCATGTCGTCCCCTCGCTTCACCTTGTCTTGCTCACGGCTAAGTGTAGTTGACTGGGCTTGGCTATGGCACGGGGTCAGCGCCGTCTTTTCCTTCACCCTCGTAGCCTGCCGCAAGTCCTGACCTGCCCTTGACGACTCTCGAGGCCGGAGTCTTGCCCAGGTCGGCATCTAGGCCTTGCCATGATCGCCTCATTAGGAACTCCCCTGAAAAATGAAATGAGTTGCAAATCATTTGTTGGCAATTTGGCAACAAAACTCGAGAGAAACAGATATTGATAACTTGTATATTATTTTAAATGTCTTTTCACTGCTATGGCCTTTTTGTTTAGCTCTAATGATTTGGTGCCATAAATCAGCAAAGACTGAATGCTTTCTTTTTTTTTGACCATTTTAGATTTTAATAAAGGAAAATTACCCCGAAAAGTTGATACCAATTCAGTCTTTCTGCTGTAAAAGACAAGACTCCCTCAACTTTAAGAATGATGGTTTCTGAAAATTTTCTTGCTCTTTTTATTGTCGGCTCTTTAAACGTCTGTACTATAGTCAGCGACAGGTGAAGAATACAGAAAATGTTTCACCTTTAAAGGCCCATTCGAACAGGAGCGTTTGCTTATGTTTTCTTATGTTACAAGTGGCTGGAACATCCATGCCCCGAATGTTGTGTGTAATCTTTCGTAACATAGCGCGATGTAAGCAACGGGTGCTGCGTGAACCGACCTTAACCGAAAATTTCTGCTTTTGATGAAACTTTGTTGTACGCACAATCAAATACCAAAGCCCGGCAGAAGATAACAGGTAGAGCATCTACTGCACTTTTAGCCTATCGCCAAATGTGCACAAACATTGATGCAACTGACGAGGTGGGTACCTGCAGCTCCAGTATGTAGCTGTGGTATAGACACTGTCCCCTCTTTGGCTACCAAGGCACACTCCTTTGCCGAGTCAACGCCATGCTCCCGTGCACCCATGGTGCGAATCATCCCGGTCACCAAGGAGACGTCGTAGACCTCCAATCCTGTCTGCTCTTGCAGATCCATGTAGAGGTCTCCACCTGCCGAGAAAGTATGTCTGCTTGAAGTTCTGCGTCCAATCACTCGGTACCCGAGTTAGAAAAAGCTTCGGCATGTAAGTAAAAGCAACCATTGGCAGGAAACGATAAGCCGAAAACTTTTTATTGTTCTTTCCTTTTGGAGCCCTGAGTTCTGCTGCAATCGATTGTTGTTTTCAACTTTGACACTCTTAATAACATACATATTTGGCATTAAAAAAAAAGTATATCACTGGGAGTGAAAATTATTTGAGCTGAATTGTTAGAATACAATTTGCAGGTGTATATAATATGCATTCAGACAGCACTCAAGAGCCACCTTTTGTGGTGTGCGTGTTCCTTTTTTCAGCTGCTGCAGCCATGATAATACCATACTTTTTTTACATTATTCTCTCTCTCTCTCTCTCCCTCCCTCCCCCCCCCCCCCCCCGTCAGCATGTCCTGCATTTTGCTAGCAGGAAGGTCTATACATGGCGGGGTTTGCGCGGATGTGACTGTAGCACATTGAATCGAGAGGTGACCAATCACACACCCCCAATCCTCCTTTCTCTTCCTCTTCTACCCAATCATAGGCGGCAAATCTCAATTCGATTTGCTACGGTCGCATCCATGCCTATGACGTGCTTAATAATTCTGATCTGGACTACTCATTTTGAGAATTTCAATAAAAGTGTGCTACTCATGCTTCCTCACTAGTCGAGACTGGTCAAGAGATCAGACATCCTCAGTAGGCAAAGTTTATGTCACTAATGGCCTTTCCTGATTGGCACATATGCAAAGGAATAGAGCTCTTGCTAGATGACACAAGCACGAAGGAACACACTGCGGGTGTAGTTACACATGCTGGCTCCTGCAACAGTAACTGTTCTGAAGCATAAACCTAAAACAAATGGCACTTTGCAGTGCATTGTCGACATCTTATATAGGTTATTTATTTAGAATCTTAAACTGATGAGTGCGTGCGCATGTACCTACATTCCCAGCATTCTCCTTGCTTGGGTAATTTGGCAAAAGGTCTATTCTCTGTCAGAAAGAAATGTGACTGAAATCCATGAAACTAGTGGTAGCTTCAACTCCTAAAATACTGTCGAATGACTTGGCTACGAAAAATACTGGAAGAGCAAAAGTAAGCCAATGGCTTTGACAAACTAAGGGAACTTTGATGACCTAGAAAAACCTGCAGTCGAAGAACAACTCTGTAGAACCTTTTCGTACCTGGCAAGATGTCTCCGAAGGTCGTGGAAAATGTCCGGTTCCACTCTCGCGACGGATTGAGCGCCACCTCCAGTTCAAACGGCGTGATGACGGGGCGAAAGAACTCCTTTGAGTCCAGCAGCGTGTTCTCTGGACATGCCACCAGGACGTAGACGTCCACTTCCTGGAAGTTTGCGAGCTTCGCAACGTTGAGTTTGCCCACCGCGAGAATGTAGGGCTTCTTGCCCGCTCTCCTAATGAGCTTCTTCAGATGGTCCAGCACAGAGAGGTAGTTGCGAACGCCCAGGGTCCCCACCAGGATCCCGACTATCCGGGCGTCCTTGGCCTTCTCGATGAGGTAGTAGCGCCTCATCAGGTGACGGTTCACGGCCACGCTCTCCTTGCGGACGCGCTGGGTCTCTGGGTCGTACGAGTGGCACTGGCACTCATTGAAGGTAAAGATGAGGTTTGTGAGAGTTCGGCCCTCAGGTCCCACATAGAAGAGGGCGTAGTCTTCTATCTTCGAAGAAGCCGGGAGCGCAATTCTTCGAGAGCACTTGCAGACGGAGTTTGGGTTGGTCTCCGACTCGCCGACCGGATCGCCGGGGATGATCAGGGTGGACGGCACCGCATTCTTGTAACTCTTGTGGACAATTTTGAAGATTTCATCTGCAACACGAGAACGGGGCAAACTTGAGTTATTGCTGGGCAGCATCTTATCTCGACATTTGTATTCACCACTGGTAGCCCGGAGGCTTACTGACGATAACTAGGTGATGCAACAATTGGCATGCAATAATTTTGAGAGAGACTTTGCCCGATGACGTACTGGTCTTGAATGAGATGATAACTCGCGTGATCAAAGATGTTGACTGGTGTACGCCTAAGGCTCTTCATTTTCGGGTTTTACTTTTATTTTTACGTCCGTGACATTATATTGTGATTGAGGAATTGAGCTTTTTGTTTTTTTGATAATTTTAATAAAAGATATATTTTTATTTTCTTCAAATTGTTTTATTCTATTACCCCGAACAGAAAAGCACACAAGAGAAAATCAAGGTTGAGCCGGATGGCCCCAACAGGAAAATGGGCAAAACCCATTGACGACCTTGGGGGCCTTGAACCCCCCTAAACTAGGGGGCGCAAAAAAGGAAGGGCAACCCTAAACGAGGACACACGGAGGACAATGGGAACCTAACCATTGGAACAAGATGAAACTTAGCGATTGTTAAAATAGTCGTTGACAAATAAGAGACCCGAAAAAAACCCCACGTATGTGTGACATGATGGCAGACTCACTGTTTTCGTGGGCAAGCGTCACGGACAATCAAAGAGGGTCAACAAATGTTCAACAACACAGACTGGGCATTAGTCAGTCCAATAGGGTGTTTTCACTGATATAATTTCACCACCAATTTGCTGTTATAAGCTGTTTGGTGCGTGGCAAAGGCAAGCATTTCAAGGGTATTTACACGACACCCCGAAATGCATTGTGAAAGAAGCTTGGATGAAAGGAAATATGTGAGCGCGTAAAGTGTAGCTTCCAAACTGAACAGTGCATACTCACCCCTGCAATGGTCGTACTGAGTGTCAAAAAGCACCACAATCTGGGTGTCTGGGTCAAAGTATGCATTCTTCAAGCCTTGCTCCAGTTCGTTCAAGTCGCAGGGGCTGTTTCCGAAGACGAAGAGGACCGGCAGCTTCGACGGCACACTAAGGCAGGAGTGACCGAAGTGAATGATGCTGTCCGCCTGAATGTGCTCTGCAGCGACTTCGTCCACGCAACAGCTGGAAAAAAATTTAATTAATTGGGAGTAATTACTTGGCGAGTTGAGCACGTTGAGAGGAAATTACACGGTACTTGACTCGGGAATAAGCGGGGTGTCTCGAATTGATCTTGGCGCTGTAAAACGAGCCGCAAAAATCGGTGCCTGCACACAGACGGCTGAAACTTTCGCCGAATGTGCATTTAAGTGGTACACTTTACCTGGTGCAATTTCAAGGTGTAACTTCCTTCCCGTGAAAAATCTGACCAACAAACCTTTTAGGGTCACTGGCATATGTGTTTGCAAACGACCGAGTTTGCGATGGCTGTAGCTTGTGGCGCCATCCACCGTTTGCTTGGCCGTCTGCGAACACGTCCGTGTTTTATCCTGACAAGTTGGCGGGTTTCATTTTTCACAGAAAGGGAACTATGAATAGAAATTGCACCAGGTAAAATGCACATTCGGTGAACGTTCCACCTTTTTGATAACAGACGCCGATTTCTACGGCTCGTTTTACAGTACTAGGATTCATAGTGGACATCCTAGATGAATCTTGGCTCGCGTCGATGCGTTCATACCTTCCGTAAGACGTGTCACCGAGGATGAAGAGGCGAACATCGACAACGGCTTTCTGAATGAGCAGCGTGACCCTCACGGAATCGATAAGCATTTCGTCCGGAAACTGAAGCGCAATCTGGAAACGAGAAAGTGTCCAAGGTAATCATCTGATTTAGGGTAACAGCGACAAATCCTTACCGTTTTATAACCATGATCTTGGATCCATGCCACGCAGCGCTCAATCTCGTATTTGGATGCGATCTCGGAGTCGCTGGTTCGCGCTAAGCTCTCGACAGACGCGTCCAAAGTTTGATCGATTGCGGCACGACCGCTGCTACTAAACGACAAAGCCATAGTGCGGATGTAGCGGCCGTAGCACACTCCGAAGGCGTCAAACTTTCGGTAAGATCACCTGTAAACAAGCCAGCACGTGTTCAATGTGTTCATGCTGTTTCCGGCGTTTTCGTTTTCGGATGTTTTCGGTGTTAAGTGGATGGGGACAACGATTTGTACACTTTGTGTTGGGTGGTAACCCGCGTCACCTATAAGGTTATTCGTGGCTGTCGGTTACTACAAAAATTTTGCGCTAGAATTTTTAAAACTTACCTAAAAAAACCCCCAAAAAACCTGTAAAAATATTGAAATATTCTGAAAGTAGTGGCTTGAGAGTAGGCGACTTGCGTGCATCTATGACGTCACACAGCCAAATCCGCCAAGTTTTGCGCGACAGTCGAACACGTGCCAGTTTTGAAGCCATGTGTTTCGACGCTCACGATGGGCGAAGTGGTGTTGTTATGGTAGCGTAAACGTTGATTACAGGTCGTACTTGCAACAAACAATGGATTTCGACAAGATACCGTATCGCTCCGTCGACGGCGTGAGTTTCAACGTGTTCAGCACGGACGAACTTTTGCGACTGAGCGTGCTAAGCGTGACATGCTCGGAAACCTTCGACATCGTCGGCCACCCCACGAAAGGTGGCCTGCACGACTCTCTGCTTGGTAAGTCGCTTCCCCCAAAGCCATGCCAAAATCCGCAAGCAGTAGCTAGACTACCTGTCCGATCAGCTAAAGACTAACAAACGCAGACATTCGTGTGAGCATTGCACATGCATGCACACCGAAGTGTCTGCACACTTTTCTACCTTCTCCTTCTCCCCCCATATGTGGCACACCAGTGTGGCACACACACACACAACCAAGAGTGGAGGGCTTAAAATGCCCTCCACTCTTTACCACTTCAGCAGAGCGAACGCTGGAGAGGAGAAAGCAACCAATCATGGTAGTGTCCTCCTCAAGAAATTATACTTTTTTTTGTGGTTTCTAGGCTAGGTGGCGCAAGCTACCGCCCGTTATAAAGGGTACAGCTACTAGCATCCATCCATCCATGGCAAACGGAGAGGTTTGGAGGAGGAGCTTGTTCAGCTTTCCCAACGTGTAACAGACTACTGTTTCCTAGCTGTGGCTGTCGGTACCATCACCCATTCTTTTGTAATCCAAGAAGAACCAGAGTTGTACTCTGACAAATTCCTTTGTTCACACGTCAGACAGCTATTTGAGTGAACTGCACCAACACCTCCTGGACTACAAAGCCCATAGTGCTGAATTTTCAGCGTTGCGTAAAGAAGGCCAGCGCGGGGCACAGCTTAAAACACAAGTGCTGCTTCGGCGTTCGGCTGGGAATCGTGTCCTCGCTGATTGAACACGGTATACCAGCCAAACGTTGACGCAGCTCTCGTCTCCAATCCGAGTCCTGTGATGACTTCGGGCAAGCGACTCTGATAATTTAGCAGGGCTTTGTTGTCTAGGAGATGATTGTGAGAACGCGGCAGTTCACATCACATTCATTGCTGTCGGCGAAATGCAACGCAGGGCCCAGCGATCGAGATGAGGTGTGTGCCACGTGCGGTCTCGGCTTCGTCGCCTGCCCCGGCCACATTGGACACATCAGCCTCCCACTGCTCACCTTCAATCCCCTCTTCTTCAGGACGCTGTACCAGGTAAGGGAAGCCGAAGAAGCCTGCATGTAGTTAATCTGCTCGCAGCTTAGACAAAGTCAATAACACAAGAAGTTATGCGGAGTGCATGTTCGTCTGCTTCTTGCACAGGGGTTGCAATGATGTCAAAACGCAAATGCAGAACGCAAATAATCTTACTAACTGATTAAAAAAAAAAAAAAAAAAAGGAAGTGGGTAGGTTTTAAGGCATCTAGCATTGAGGACTACCCACTGTTCCCCCAGTCAAAGCCACTTGGAGCTTGGCATTGTTCTGATGTCACAGCAACCCCTGCGCAAGAAACAGATCACTTGCTCTCTGCGTAGAAGCCAAAGGAGCTCCCCACACCGTAGTCGATCATGCTACAATACCTGGAGTGAATCTTTGACTGGTAGTGTCTTACATTGTCCATTCATTGTAGTTTTTCTGAAATGGCAACAAGTTGCGTCACGGGAGGCATTGCAGAACACCACAAATCGTAACAGTCCCTGCGGTCGGTTATAGAAGCTTCTGTTATCAGACGAACATCTGCCAAAGTGTTTGCGACTGACCAGTTGTCGAACGAGCTACCGCAGAACCAGAGTCTTCTGCATCTGAATTTGGTTGCCATGCAGCCGTCAGGATTGCGGCAATGTGTCACATTCCTCGTTACCTGTAATGCCATGGGATGGAAATCTAGGGAGAAGAATGAAGACTCATTAAAAGACACCAGGCATGGTGTATTTGCACGGGAGATGTTTCTCCCTGGAGAGGGCTAAATGTTGTCACGTTTGAGGTCGCAGGTGCCACATCACAGATGCCTGTATGTCCTCCCCACCTCGCGGAGAGCGCGCGAAAAACTGTTGCCGTGCTACGGATTCTCCGACCCGACCAGACACATTTTTGTTGAATTTTCAAATTCAGTCATCACTTCTGAGTGGAACCACCTTCAAGCATCTTTAGCAGCTATCCCATCACTTGATTTATTTAAAGAAGCACTTACAAATCACTTTTGTTAATATTTTGTCGAATTGAATGTGTTTTAATCACTGCCTTTTACGTTAGTATTTTCTTTTGAGTGAATTCTTATATGCCCCACCCCCTCTGTAATGCCCTATGGGCCCTGAGGGTATTGAAATAAATAAATAAATATAACATAGACCCTGTTAATGTGGATACCTCGCTATAAAGACAACAATAAAACAATAAATACATGCATTTTCGTCTCACCATCACGGAAAACTTATACCATGAACGCTCTCACTGTATTTGTGCCGGATCGTCGCTAAGGGTTTCTCGGAAGGCACAGCTGTGGTTCACCTCGTTGCACGCCGTCCACTTTTCTGCAGTTGCTGCGCGGCAGCTGCTTTGGCTGTGCCCGCCTGCTGTCGCCACCAGCGGTGTGTCAGCTGACTTTGGCCCAGTTGCAAGTGCTGCAGTACGGGGCCGTGGGCGCTGTGCAAGAACTGCAGGAGCTTGCAGCCGAGGCCATCACGGACGAGAAGGGCAAGGCCAGCCGCTCCGTCATGGGCCTGGCGCTCAAGAAGCGCATCGATGAGCGCGTCAAGTCTGTCATGGAAGGTCGGTGATTGGCGATGTTACTATAGTCTTTGACAGTATGGTGAGAATAACAGCACATGGCCTGATCTGCACACCACCACTGTTCACTAAGCTCAACTGTCCAACCGGAACCAATAAAAGCCCGCAGTCTCCCACAAAAATGCAAAAACAAAGCTGGATGCTTTGCCTGCTCCGCCCAGTACGTTTGGCTTTTAGAGCGCAGCTCTTAGGCGCTTGTTTCCGGCTTGAGCGGCGTCGCCGTCGGCGTAACCAAGGTCACCCCAAGGTCACGTGACCCCCAGGACACATGACCCCCCAAGGTCACGTGACCCGTCCCAAGGTCATTCCAAGGTCATGTGACCCCCTAGGTCACATGACCTCCCGGGTCACGTGACCCCCCTCCCCGAGGTCACGTGGCCCCCCCCCTTCCCCCCCCCCCCCTCGAGGTCACGTGACCCTCTCCCCCGAGGTCAGGTGACCCCCCCGGAGCATATTAAAGAATGAGGGGAGGAGGAGGAGGAGGAGGGGTCTACCCTTCCCTCAGTACCCTTCCCTCCTCCTCCTCAAGAGCTGCGCTCCAATTCGGCGTTACAGGGAGTTGTAAACGGCTTTCACTTTTTTATACCATAAGCCAGTGGTTCTCAAAAGCCATTTTTGGGGTCTGCAAAGCTCCGCTTCAACCTTCAGCCCCCCCCCCCCCCCCCCCCCCCCCCCCCTTTTTTTTCCTTAAAGAAAAAAGAAACAAAACTTTTTTTGTTGCTTTTGGCTAGGTGGTGCAGGCTATTGCTTGTTCTAAAGAGTACGGCCGTTATATCTATCCATCCATTTATCCTTCTGCTTGATGCTTCCCACTTCTCCTGTCTATAACAGTCAGTACCGTCGGTACCGATAGGGATATATAATTTTATGGTGATTTTTCTTCCCCACTCTAATTTATGTCTATAACAGTAAGGGATGCCCTTTTCACACTGCAATTAATTGTATTATTTTGTACCCCCTCCCTCCCCATCCCCCCGCCGACATGAAGTCCCCCATCACTTTGGCAGGTCCCCAAGGGGTCTCGACACATCCGTGTTTGAGAACCACTCGCATAAGCCCTCTGCCCACAGAATGGGGCCCCACGTTGTTGTCGCTTAAAATAGTATGAAGTGCAGTGCAGGTAATTTTATCCACTACATTGTGATCAAGAAAGCACACAGTGACAAATATATGGTTATCTGTTTTAGAACGCAGCTCTTGGGGGCCCGTTTCCGGCTTGAGCGGCGTCGCCGTTGGCGTAACCGCAAGGTCACCCCCAAGGTCACGTGGCCCCCTCCCCCGAGGTCACGTGGCCCCCTCCCCCGAGGTCACGTGACCCTCCTCCCCCGAGGTCAAGTGACACCCCCCCCCCCCCCCCCTCCCCCCGACGTCACACGACGCCCCCCTGAGGTCACGTGACCTCAAGGAGTCAGATATCCCCCAGTACGCTTCCATTTTCCTCCTCAAGAGCTGCGCTCTAACCGGCGTTACAGGGAATTGTAACGACTTTCATTTTTAGAGCGCAGCTCTTAGGGGCCCGTTTCCGGCTTGAGCGGCGTCGCCGTCGGCGTAATTGCGCGGTGCATCATGGGAAATGTCCCATAATGCACCGCGCGAGCCCCCCACCGGGGTCACGTGACCTCGTGGGGGGTCACGTGACCCCCCGAAGTCACGTGACTCCCCTGAGGTCACGTGACCCCCCTCCTCGAGGTCACGTGACCCCCGCCGATGTCGCGTGACCCCCCGATGACGTCATCGTCACTGATGACGTCACCGGCATCCACATCGTCATCGTCATCATCACTGATGACGTCATCGTCATCACTGATGACGTCACTGGCATCCACATCGTCATCGTCATCATCACTGATGACGTCACCGGCATCCGCATCGTCATCGTCATCATCACTGATGACGTCACCGGCATCCACCGTCATCATCACTGATGACGTCACCGGCATCCACATCGTCATCGTCATCATCACTGATGACGTCACCGGCATCCACATCATCATCGTCATCATCACTGATGACGTCACCGGCATCCATATTGTCATCGTCATCATCACTGATGACGTCACCGGCATCCACATCGTCATCGTCATCATCACTGATGACGTCACCGGCATCCACATCGTCATCGTCATCATCACTGATGACGTCACCGGCATCCACATCGTCATCGTCATCATCACTGATGTCACCGGCATCCACATCGTCATCGTCATCATCACTGATGACGTCACCGGCATCCGCATCGTCATCGTCATCATCACTGATGACGTTACCGACATCCGCATCGTCATCGTCATCGTCATCATCACTGATGACGTCATCAGTGACGTCACTGATGTCGTCACCGGCATCCGCATCGTCATCGTCATCATCACTGATGACGTCATCAGCGATGTCACTGATGACGTCACCGACAATCGCATCGTCATCGTCATCATCACTGGTGAAGTCATCAGTGACGTCACTAATGACGTCATCGGTACCCGCATCGTCATCGTCACTGATGACGTCATCAGTGACGTCAGTGATGACATCATCGGCATTGGGGGTCACGTGACCCCCAAGGTCACGTGACCCCCCCCCCCCCTGGTTAGTTTAACCCCCCCCCCCCAAGTGCCCTTCCCTCCTCCTCCTCAAGAGCTGCGCTCCAATTCGGCGTTACAGGGAGTTGTAAGCGGCTTTCATTTTTTTATGAAATATAAATATTATAAGTAAAGCGGACAGGACAAAAGTATGTTTCACCGAATTTCGCTCTTCACGTAGCTTACCGGCGGACGACAGTAACACCTTGTTCGCGTTCGTTCAACGTTGCGTTTGCGATGAGGCATCAGTATCACAGCACTCTAGAGTATTCAACAATCGCACGAATGCTGTATTAATTTATTTTTTTATTTTTTAGCCCCTGTGACGTTTTTAGTTAACGTTGTGGTATACTTTACGGGACAGATTTACTTAGCACCCTGTGCAGGGTGAGTAAAGAGGCCGCAAACCAATCGTCGTGCGGAGGGCAGGCTTGCAAAAGCTCCTCGCCGTTTTCGTGCCGTTGGCAACTGGCGACATTAGACAAGAATTGGGATCGGGTTTTTCACCCGCGAATCGGTAAATGAGAGAGCACGAACGCAGGCGTGGATCTGGAGGAGGCGCGGCGCAGCGCCAACGTGAAGAATGTGGTGGAGTGCCGCCAGCGCCTGATCAAGACGTTTGTGCGGGAGCACCTGATGGGGGCCCCCCGCAAGTGCCCCCACTGTGGTGATGTGCGAAGGGGCATGACTATCCAAAACAACGCACGGTTCGTCTACACCGGCCGCGCCCAGGTCGCCTCTCGGACTCCTGTCCCCATCGTCGGCACGTCCGCCAGGTGGGTACGGTCGTGGACCATTTTCGAAAGTGACTGCGCCCACCTCGTCCAGAGTTGTACAGTCTCGAACGATGTGAAAGACCCGTTCGACAGGATAGTTTCTGGCAGCTGTGCCGAATTTGCTTTGGCCAGCAGGCCCGGATTGCTTCTAATGAAGTAAATAACCAGACCTCCGTTCTATGCTCTCTAGAAATAATACGCTTCTGGTCGACGTGTGCTCGACACCGCCGCCTAGAGTATCTAGGCAGGTGAGTCTTTCGTATTGGTGGAGACTGTACCTGACGCTTTAATGATGGAATAACACCACTCTCTCTACATAGGTGCATGTATGGTGCGCGACGCAGCGCAAAGGGGACATTGGCACCTTTTCACATTTTACTTATTGATGAGTGAATAGTTTCCACCACACCTGTAGTTTTGATACTAGCATATAAATTTAGGAGATAAACAGAAAAATGCTTCGATCGCTCGTTTGCGCAAAGAGTTTTGTGCAGTGTATGTTTGTCTTTATTGATTTGCATGTAAGCTACCATAATGGCAGACGGTCTAAATGCAGTGCTTTTTCGTTTAGCTGAGTTTGCGTTATGAATTATGAGTTGCCATTGAAAAGAAAGAAAAATATTGCCCTTAAAGGAATGCTGAATCGAAATTTGGAGCTCACAAAACAAAAGGCGGGAGCGATAGGCGGGAGGCTGCAAAACCCAAAAACATCACTCATACAGCAATATCTCTAACTGATGGCCGTATTTTTGGAAAAGAATTGCGCGATTGAACATTGTCGACGAGGCTGACGGGACGTGTGACGTCGCGATTCCCATTCCCTCTCCTCTTCGCTTCGTCCCCTCGAGCAGGTGAACCGAAGCGAGGCCGCTTCCCCTCATACTCAACTGTTCGAAGAGAATCGTTACGTCACATTCCTCGCTTGATCGCGCCCTGCTTTTCCAAAAAATACTGCCCTCCGTTTGCGATATTGATGTATGAGGGATGTTTTGGCATTCATAGCGTCCCGTTGGACACTTCTGCAACCTTATTTTGCGAAATCTAAATTTTGGTTCGGGCTCCCTTCAACTTGGGAACTACAGCCGAGCCCGGTTATACCACACTCGGGTATTTCGAAATATTATTTATATCAAACAGTCCAAATATGCCCTTTAAAATCACAGTAATAGTATAGGAGCATTGTCTTTTTGTATCCAACTCCTATGGCGGGGACACTCGATATAGCGAACACAGCCAGGCCGCCCGGCTGGCTGTTGCTTTTACCGTGATCCGTTTTCTTTTTCAAATATGTGTAACATCAACCAGCTCGCCTGTTTACTTAGTAATACTCTTTCTTCAATCAAACTATTCTTGTTGGGTCCCATTCACTCTTTCGAGAGCAACGTGTCTGCACACGTCCTGTGCCGCAATTTGTGTTCTCTGAAGGAGACATAATTTGGAGTACAGTAATTTCATTACGTTATGGCATAATCTTTCTCTGCACACGCAAATGCAAACATAAATATTCAATAGATTGATTGAGTTCGTTTGATATTCCAAGGACTTGTTTGATATGATCAAACAAGTCCTTGGATTTGATATTGTATCATGTCAGAGGAGTATTTGCGTCTGATGTCATATCACATAGAACAAGTTTGTTCTTATGAACAGGCTTAGACACTTTTGAAAGATTCCGTGCTGGCCTTTTCCGTTCATGTGAGGACAGACAAACTTAGTATAGCGAGTCGTCTTCCTCGGTCCCGTTTCAGGATGAGGCGCGAGTTTGGGGACTTTGGGGACGATGAGGGGATGGACATCCCCGAAGAGGAAGAGGAGGTCCCGGTGAAGGAGGAGTCTGTGGACACGGGGGCACAGACATACCTGACGCCCCTAGAGGCCCGCAAGCACCTGCGGCTGCTCTGGCAAAACGAGAGTCCGCTGCTCAGGCACCTGTTTGGAGCCCTGGGCTCGGACTCCCAGAAGCATCCCGTGGACATGTTCTTTCTGGAGGCCCTCGTGGTGCCGCCTACACGCTTCCGGCCGGTGGGTGTCTCCGTCTGCTTCTTGATTTCTTTTATTTGGGGCACCCCTGTGGTGGTATGACGTATCAAATCCAAATTAGAAGCTTATATTTAGACGGCGTTAGGTCCGTTTGCCTTTGAGGTGTGGTGACGCCGGTTTATGTCGTAGGTGAGAAATTTGGCGATGTATGGCCTTACACCGGTACGAAGCTCGTCCAGATCGAAATGGGCAGAGGTGGAGATTGAACCCAGGATCCCTGGGTTCCACAGTGTGAGCTTCTGCTCCGCATGCTCCGAGCTGTGTTGCGCACTCTTGGCCACTGATTCCTTGTGATGTATCGTACACTCCACTGATGCAGTAGGTTTTGTTGGTTTCAATTAACCCTCTATCCACCTAGCCGAAGGACAACGGACAAAGGAACCATCATTGTTGTGGCCCCTATGGCCCTCTTGCACAAACATGCTCTTCAGCTTCAAATTGTCAACTCCTCCGACTTTAGTATGTGGTGTCAGGGAAGAAACATAAACAGTTTTATTTGCACCTGAGCAGTGGCATAGCCAGGAATTGTTTTTGGGGGAGGAGGAAGCTATGGAACTGTGCATAGAGAGTAAAGGGTGTGAGGGGGTGGTGGAAGTGCATGGTCATTTTCTACAGCAGGGGGAGGGTTTTGACCCTAGGATCCTTTCTTCTCCCCGCTACTGCACCTCAAGAAGGAACTGTGCGTTGCCAAACATTCTGACTTGGCCAAAATGCTGTGCCAGCGGTCGGGGCAGTGTGGCAACGTTTTAGTACTTGCGGTTACCGGAGTAAAGGTTCGGATGTGAACAACTGATTTTGCCTACAAGATTACCTGAGCAAGGGTGAACTCTCTGCAGATGAACTTCATGCATGGCCGCAAGTATGAGCACCCGCAGACGGTGAGCCTGTCCAAGGTTCTGCAGTGCTGCGACGCTGCCAGGGCAGTGCTCAAGCTCATGGAGCGCAACCAAGACAGCGAATCCTCTGAGGATACCATGGAGATGCAGAGATTGCAGGTGTGCACGTTTCGAGTTTATTCCCCAGATGCCCAGGGAAACTTCTTTGTATAATATTACTGTAAGAAGAAGAAGGTAAGGGCAGGAGGAGAAAACAGAGAGGTTAACCAAGGCGGCCTGCCTCGGTTGGCGACTGAGTTGGGGAAGGGGATGAGGGGATAAAAGGGAATTTCTTATATTGAATTGAAATCGGAAGCAACACCTCAAATTTTATAAAATTTTATAACATAGTTTATAAAACAAGATATTACGTTTAATGGGATCAAATGCCTTCCTAAAATCAAGGACTACTCCAGTGGTAAATAGTTTATTTTCAACATTATTGGTTAGTTTTTCTTTGATACTAAGTAGTACCATCTCGGTTGACCTTTTTTTCCTTGAAAACCGGATTGCTGCATTACAAAAACATCTCTTTCATTCAAAAACTTGCTGAAGTGTTTTTTTGTTTTTTTTTTTGCCAAATGTTCTAATACTTTTAAAAACAAAGGGAGTATAGATATGGGCCTATAGTTATTAATGTTGTCAAAAGAATCTCCTTTGTGCAAGACAGCAATTCTTGCAACTTTCATGCCATCAGGAAAAGTGTCAGTGGTTAATGCATTGTTGCATATATGCTGCAGAGGATAACACGAAAGCTTTGCAACAGCTATGATTGGTATGGTTTTTATGTTGTCTGCTCCGGCCGCTGTTTTTATAGTTAAAGATGTAAAGATTACATATATTTCTTGTTCGTCAGTTGTGGTCAGGAAAATGGAGTCTATGGCTGCAGATGAAATATACTTGTTTAATCTTCCTTTTGAGACATGTAACTGCAGTGACGAACCTGCACTTAAAAAGTAGGAATTAAATTTGTCAGCCAAAGAGGCATCACTGTACTGAATACCATAAAATGCTAGTTTACAGGGTATTTTACTTTTTGGATTTTCAAAAAGGCTTCCGACTGTATTCCAGAGTTTCCTAGGTTCATTCGGTATAGCTAGGAACTTGTTTTTATATTATTTTTCACATTCTTTCTTCAGGTCTTTGCCTAATTTGTTTATCTTTTGTTTATATTCGAGTAATATTACCTGGTCTCCTGTACGGATGAACTTGTCGTATAATTTGTTACATTCATTAATCCTTTTGTACAATGCGCGTGTAATCGAAGGTTTCCTAGACTTTTTGTGATTTATTATTGGCTGGAGAGGAAATGCTTCATTGTAAATGTGTTTCATCTTCTGCAAACCAATTTCATAATTTAATTAAAATTGGGGTCTTTTTCATTGTAAACGTCATCCCAACTTGTATCTTCTATAATGTTGCGGAAAAAAGCGACGGCATTTGCATCAAAATTTTATCGTAATACAGGAGGATCATAATAAGGTCAATTTCACTTTTTAGTTAGTGGTAAAAAGCTGTGTAATGTTACTAAATATAAAAAGCTTTCTATATAGTGTCTAAATAACGGGGGGAAATGTCGGGAAACTGATGGAGGAGTAGGCATATCAAGTTTTCCCCATGAACGTTATAAAAAACAGAAAATTTTCTGGATTATTTTTATGGCATTGCAAATGTCGATGGCAATTGTGTTATGAAATAGGGACTCTACCGTAAAATACCGGGCAAGCGTCAACTCAAAATTCGAAGATAATCGCGAAAAAATAGGGATGGGTGCATGTAAGGTCATCAATTTTACATATATTTGTATGTGGATATTTTTTCAGATATTTCAAATTTTGGGGATGGGCACTTGGTGCGGATTGGGCGAATGCAGGGTATTCTATGGTATTAATATCTGCTTTCTTCCTCCTGTATATCCAGGGAAACATAAGGGCACATTGCTAGAGTGTTGGTGTGGTAAAGGATGTATAGAAAAAAACCTTTGCCATCGAGACAACGGAATTATGCTAAAGGTTTGTGTGTCAATGCTCAGAATACAAGGGAAATTTTTCTTTTGATATTGAAAATATGGGGAGACTGGTGGAGCCAAGGGGATACGGATGTGTGCTTGCTTTCCCCCTTTCCGAAGTGTTTTTACATTGTCGCAAAACTGGGGAAAAGCCGTGCCGCGAAATGTGGCATCTACGGACTCGTGCCTCTTGTTCTCCAGGAACCTGGAGAAACTGGGGAAGCGATGCGGCACTTTGCGTTAAACAATATATAGCAAACATTCACCACATAAAACAAAGAAAGTCTATACTGAAACAAAAATATTGCAAAAAAGTGCTGTAAAGGCAATGTCACAGGACGCACGGTTGCAATGATGCTAAAAGCCCGTGCTCACTGCTGAACTTCTGGGAATAAATTTGTAAAGAAATTGCTTGGAAAAGGTCTGGGACATCTGTCAACTTGGGGAAACCTTTGCCTTGTAGTGTGGGGATGATCCCCAGAAATGGGGATAGGAGTTCTTGCTTAGTTCTTCATCCCTTTTGATATTTGGAGGTTAATGCATAGCACAAGTTTGTTCACTTTGTGCACAGGGGTTATGATGATGTCAGAACGCCGAGCTCTTATTGGCTGATTGAAAAAAATAGTGGGTAGACCTCAAGGCACCTAGCATTGAGGTCTACTACCCACAATCCTTTCAATCAAAGCCATTCAGAGCTCGGCGTCATTCTGACGTTACCGCAACTCCTGCGCAAGAAGCAGACGACTCGCCCTTCACGTAAACATTTGATTGGTGAATTGATTGATTGACTGATTGATTTTTTCAGCAAGTCGTGGACAAGCTACCTGGCAAGGACCTGAGTTCTAAGCTTCACGTCGCGTGGAACAACCTGCAGGTATGTGCGGAGTTTCGTTTGTAGTTTCCCATACACTTCACACGCGAATAATCAAAATTCACCACAGGTTGCGGTTAACGTCGTGGTGGACAGCGAACTCGACAGGCTGAGCAGTAACAAGGCGACGCCGGGCATCAAGCAGGTGAGGTCGATCTCATTGCCGGCATTCATTGGAAGCTACTTCAATTAGTTTTATTAGCAGAAAGGCATACAGTTGCCGGCCAATCTTTCGGACTCGGAGGAGACGCCGAATATTGTCCAAATAATCAAGCGGTCTGAAAAATTGATTTCAACCAAAATATCAAATTTATGCGCATATTCCGCTGTTTATTGGCCACTTTCCACTTGCTTGATGTCAATTTTAAGTTCTCATACAACTTCTGCTTTATATCGTTCACTTTTCACTCGTTTGTTGATCTGTTTGATCACAGAGCTGTGCTTTGTCGGCGCCTTCATTGTCACAAAGGGCAAAGTTAAAGTATGCGCCCTTTGGCACTCTTTGTAGACAATGTTTAGTCCATCAAGCTCGCTTCAATACTAAGCCTATTGGTAAAAGACCTTCGCGCTCAAAGACCACAAGAACAGCAGACGGCCGCTTTTCTTGCGGTCGCACTCGAAAAACACGGACCACGAGAAGAACTGGAAGAGCCATAAGAATGGTCAGATGGTGGCCATGTTGGCTATAGTGGAACCGGAAAACCCGACTATGGTCTCAACCCAGCTTGTTTATTGCGTAAGACGTGGTATTGAGGCTACAGGGCAAAATCGAAACAACCAAAATGGCGGTGGCTAAGCTCGCGGGGCTATCGTGGCGGCGGTTTTGTGATTGTAAACTGAGGAAATCACACAAATTATGTCCGAAATATAGAGCAATAAGCTTTATGGCGTCCGAAATTTTGGTCAATGTTCTACATTAACTCTATGGGGTGAGTGACGATTCAGCGAAAACGTTCGAATAATCGGACGTGTCCGAAAAATCGGTCGGCGACTGTATACAAGTACATGCAACCAAAAAAGCAGATGCACTCATAGCCAGTTGCCTTCTGCCGGTGTTGGCATGTTTTTTTCTTGCAGAAGGCATTTAAATGCAAGCGAACTTGGGATTTGTGTAGTCGTCGGTATCGTGTCGTCATAGTCGTGCCAGTTCGTCATCAGCTAAATCTGCAGGTGAACGTCCTGCTATGTATAGCGGGATGCTACAGCGGATCACGTGGTGAGTGTCACTGTGGGTCACGTGGTTATGTGGCCAGTGCCACTACGAGTCGCGCGTTCATGTGAATATGTGACATGCATCAGGCTATCCCAGGTCACGTGACCCGCAGTGAAAAGTCGTGTCGTATGGCGTCAAGGTGTCGACAGCATTATTAGATCCAGTAACGTTGGCCGTCAAGTCATGGTGTAATCCGACACCAGATCACCACATATCACTGCGCCATGTGACACCGGGACACCACGTTGCATCGCACTGCCCAGATTTGCATATTATATGCTAATGCATTCTGTATACGAAACGTCTGGGTTGGTAGAGCAAAGGAGTGCATCATTTTTTAGTTAAGAGGCTGATGTGCAATAAAAATAGAAACCTTTCTTGCTGGGATTAGTTTTGAGGTATGTTTCGACATTGCTAACAACGAGCTTCTGCATCGACACACGTTCTGGAGATGAGCACTGTTTAGCCCTGGTACGATGCTTGGGCTCGTGTATTGTCGTTTTACCGTTTCGCTCACGTTGACACAGATCCTGGAGAAGAAAGAGGGCCTGTTCCGCAAGCACATGATGGGCAAGCGTGTGAACTACGCGGCCCGTTCGGTCATCTCGCCCGACCCGTACATCGGCGTGGACGAGATCGGAGTGCCGATGGTGTTTGCGACGAGGCTTTCTTACCCTGAGCCTGTCACCGACAGAAATGTGTCAGAGCTCCGAAAGGCCGTCATCAACGGACCCAACGTCTACCCGGGGTGAGCGAGGTCGTGCCTAGGCATGGCAGAACGCCGCTCAACTCGTAAGCTGGACAACGCAATTGGTGCAAACACGGCGTCAGTGCTTTTTTGTGTTTTGGGGGGTATTGATGGGCACTAAATTTTGCTGCTTAGGTTCATGTTCCGGGAGAACACTTTGTACTATGCCTGTAGTTTTCATGGTTGGATTGAAGCTTTAAGAAAAAAAATGGAAATAAAATTAAATGAAGACCGCTTGTTCATGCTAATGGTGTCGCGCAGTGTATGGCTCATGGTTATCACAAAAATAGCTGTTTTGCAACTGTTCATAGACACAAAGGCTCCATAAAACAATATTTTTTTAGCAAAACTTTAGTAGAGGCTAGTTGTTTTATATTTTTAAAAGTCTCGTGCACTGTTTAGAAGTATTTAAAAAAATTCAAAATGAAAATAAAAATAAGATGAACTCATACAAGTATTTGCTTTGTCATGTCTGTTATGTTTTATTTCTTCATTTCATCTAATGAGGTCTTTGTCTACTTCTAAGCAATCAGCAGTTATTTCAAAAAGGAGATTTTTTTATTTTGGCTAACTAATAATGCATGGATCAGCCAGTAACCAGTTTCTGTTTACTCACACTTCCTTAAACGGACACTGGCGGAGTGTTTATGCGTGCCAAGGTTTTTTTATTTGTACATGAAATATGAGAGCCCAACTACCCAGAACACAATTTGTGGCTCGAAATTTCTTTTCTTTCCGTCTATCGAGAACTGGCCGGTCTGAGTCACACTCACTCTCTTCTCCGTGGTCATGTGCCATTTTCTATGGTTTAGACACAACTATCAAAGATAATCAAAGTCGTGGGTCATCGATGGCGCACACGTAGTACTAAAAATAGACAAAAAAATATGATACCCATTTTTTGTGGCTTCTAAAAAACTGCAAATACATTGATTGAAAAAAAAAAAAAAAAGTTTCACAGCCGCGTGACTTTTTGTAACTTTCCCCTCTATATTTCTTCTTTTTCCTCAGCCCATTTTCTGTTTTGGTTTTGAGCAGTTGGTTTTTTTTTTACTTTATTAAAAATATATGTGACGCTGTAGCGAAATAGTGACTTGGTAGTCTTCTGACACCATAATCGATTGCCTGGCAAAAAAAATATATGAAAATTTTTGGGGGGTGTCAGTGTCCATTTAAAAAGCAACTCTGATCGATAATGAAACTAAAATAAATGACTGGTATTGCTTTAGTGGCACAAAATATGATGACAGCCGAAATATTACGTGAAAATGAAGCCGCATACTCCATTAAAACCGATTTTAAAGATGCGACCAGCTGCTCTTTAGCGGGCGGCAGGCGGGTTGGCTTTTAGTCAAGGAACATTGGCGCAGCACCCTTGTGACGTCACATTGCAGTGGAGCTGTGGTTGATTGGTTTTGCCGCGTACTGCAGCACCCCTTGGACGTCACCTCGCGGCCGTATGGCTGATGATCAATGTTGCTGTCCCTGTAGCTGATAGTTAGTTTCGGTTTTGCCGTAGACACCCAAAACCAAACTTTGAGTTGGGATACTTATAAAACTGCATGCAATACCGAGAAAAAAACATTATACATTGTAATTCAGGGACACTGCTTTAGCTGAAAAGAGTGGTAATTCCAAATTAAAAAATATTGACCAGTGTTTGATTTTAACTTCCTTCCTTCTCTGTCGTGGCCGGCAGAGCGTTGCTCGTGGAGCACGGGGACGGGACGGTGACGCGGCTGGACCCAACAAACCGTGTCCGTCGGGAGGCCATCGCCAAGCAGCTGATGACGCCGTCGGACTCTTTTAAGAACACCCTGGCACGGTGCAAGACGGTGCACCGCCACCTGCGGACGGGCGACATGCTGCTGCTAAACCGGCAGCCCACGCTACACAAGCCGAGTATCATGGCTCACCAGGTGAGTCGGGTGATCAGCTCCACCGTCCGCACATCTACCAGGACGTTCCGTTTGAACTTCGCGGGCTGTCACCCTGTTCTGTTATGTTATGTCTGCGTCACTTACAGGTTTTTTTTTTTTTTTACTAAGCTTAACAGATTTTTTTTTAAAAAGAGGCATGAAAGCTACACTAATGCAGTTTGTGCAGGTGAGTTATACAGCCAGGGGACATATAAAGGGGGAGGGGGGCCATTCATCACAATAAGTTGGCTAGTTACCTTAATTTATTTTAATTAAATTTAATTTCAAGAAACAAACATATGGTTCCAATTAGAAACTTGCTGAGTGTCATCTCAATCCACTAAATCGATCATTCTTAGAAAGACTGAGCGCGTGTAAAGCGCAGTAGTGCGCTAAAGTAACCACTCGTGTGACAGGCAGAAGGCTGGGGTTATGATTAGAGATGGAAAAACCGCGAGGGCGCTTTATCGCACCTGCTGCCCGAGCGGGAGCTTTAGTACTCCACCGTGCTTCCCACGTGCTCCAAGTCTTTCTGATATTGACTGATTTAGTGGTTTGAAATGATGCTCAGTAAATTCCTAATTGTAATCATGTGTTTATTTTCAGTAATTGAAACATTAATGAACATATTTTAGTTAATTAGCCGACTGATCGTTACGATTAGCCCCTTATATCATGACCTCTCGTCATATAGCTCGCCTGCACAAACCGCATTTAGTGTTGCTTTCTCGTTTTTTTTTTAAAATAATCTGATAAGTTTAAAAAGAAACACCCTTTATATTCATCTATGTGCGTGTTTGGAACTGGTCAATGCGTTGGACACCTTACAAACAATCTTTCAATGAACGCTTCTCGCTGACAAGCAGGATTATTGTCATCACCAACTTTTCTCACTCCTGACAGACTTTTTCACGGTGGTGGCACTTTTAAAACTGTTGCACATGTTTTTAAAGTTGGCTGCAATATTAAGGGGGGACACTACCCAGAAAAAACAATTTCGGCAAAAAAAGTTGATTTTAAAAAATGTCATATTTACATCCACCAACACCTAGAGAGTATTCCCAGAAAGTTTCATTAGTTTACACTGCATAGTTAATTTTTTATAAATTATTTTCGGTCCTCCGATGCTAAAGAAAAGGCAGGAGTTAGAACACTTTGAACACATTTTTCTCCTTTCCACTTTTTGGCATAAATTTCACTTTAGGAAAACTATTGTTTTGTTATTACGTAACTTGGATTCATTTTTATGAGTTCTTCTAGAGTGAAGTTTAAAGGAGAAGATAGCTATGAGCTTGTATTTTTTATTTTTGTCATTTTTCATGCTCAAGAATGAAAATTTTGGACAAAGATGAAAATCTAAAAAACAGTGTTTGTGTTTATGTGACTTTTTTTGTCATGAAAGATGGTATAATATAGAAATATAGCTCCATAACTATCTGTTCTGGACTGTCCTAAAGCAATATAACACATGAAAACGAGAAATTTATAAGTATTTTCAAAACAATAGTTTTCCTATGCAGACACGCCCACTTTCATCTTTAAACATTTGCAATTTTTTTTGTACTTCACCCAGGTTAACAAAATTTGGCAGAAATGTCCTCAACATGAACAGCAACAAGCCCTGTCAATGTCATTTAAATCAGAAAGTGGTTCAAAAATTCACTTTATTGTCAAGCTTTGTTCGCAAATGCTGCGAGTTAGCGTCCGACGACTCGGCCAATCTGGAATTTTTCTATGGGAAGTGCTTTGTCACTCTCTAGCTTATGGCTGCAAACGTTCAGACGACGCTCGGTGAATGGAACTTTGTTAATTTGGAGCTTGACAGAGAAGTGGAACTTTGCACACGTTTTTGTTTGATTTGCCGACGACTTCAAATTGACCTTCTTGTCTCTTGACAAGTGTAACTTCTGTTAAGTGGGACTGTATGTATTTAGACAAAATCACTCTCTCGCTGCTCGTGCATGCAGCATTCCAGCCCATTGTGCAGGTATTTGCATGTCATTGTCGCTAACGGCTAGACACTTTCGTAGCATGAAAACGTGACATTTTTCTTCCTGCTCTTACAGGCACGAGTGCTGCCCGGTGAAAAGACACTGCGTTTGCACTACGCCAACTGCAAATGTTACAACGCCGACTTCGACGGCGACGAGATGAACGCCCACTTTCCCCAGAGCGAGCTGGCACGTGCAGAGGCCAGTCAGGTGGCGACAGTAAACCGGCAGTACCTGGTGCCCAAAGATGGCACTCCCTTGAGTGGACTCATCCAGGATCATGTGATTGCGGGCTCTTTGCTCACCATGCAGGGGCGCTTTTTCAACAGGTGAGAAATTCGGCAACGTCTGACCGAGACGCGGTGCGGAAACTGCGTTTGTAGCGACGTGTTGACTTAGAAAGTGGCTCTTTACTGCGTATGCCTGCGAGTGAGTTTCCCTCATCCGTAAGCGTTTTGCGGTTCTTAAGGTAGGAAGGCCAGAAAAGGTTTGCGGTTTTGTTTCTAAAGATTGTTTTGTTTTTTTTCTAATAAAACTTAGTATGCTGCCCCAGTTTTTTTTTCTTTTCTTTTTAGATGAACTTTTTTGTGTAGTAACGCTGCGCACGAGAAGTAGTGGACGACACCAGAATCAGTAACATGTACCGCAAACCTGTTTGAGAAAGTGAAAGAAAGAGCTGAGTGTCGATAATCACTTTGTTGTTCTAAAACCTTGTGTCACAAAAACAAAAATGTGCTCCTCCTTTTCTTTTGTTTTTTTCCACTGTTGTAATTTCAAAGTTTTGTGGCGGGTACTGGTACCCAGTGTGTCACAGCTGAGCCGTGTCCGTGTGTATTTCCTTTTTTTTTAGAGTGCAGCTTTTAGGCACCCGTTTTCGGCTTGAGCGGTGTCGCCGTTGGCATCAGTGTAACCGTGAGGTCACGTAACCTCCCCCCCCCCCCCCCCCCACAGTGCCCCTCTCCCCCAGCCTCGCCTCATCATCCAGGATGTTGAGGTGAGGAGGAGGGAGGAGGGGTATACCCTCCCCTCAGTACCCTTCCATCCTCCTCCTCAAGAGCTGCGCTCTAATTCGGCATTACAAGGAATTATAAACGACTTTCATTTTTTTATGACAGGGAAGACTACAACCAGCTTGTGTATGGTGCACTGACGTTTGTACCATCGTCTATCAAGGTGCTTCCTCCGGCAATTCAGAAACCAGAGACCCTTTGGACTGGAAAGCAGGTTGGTCTCCCGAGACTGTGGTTGTCTCTATTGCCTTTAGAAATTTGTGGTGCTGCTTTGCTAAGCAACAGCGATACATCCTAGCAGGGTTCTAATTGCTTCTCAGTTCTCACATTGTTTTGAGTCCTTGGTGGATCTGTTTTGTGTTTGTCTAGTGCTGGCCTTCACCTGAAATAGCGGGCTTTACAAGGCTAGAATGAAGAAGTCTTGTCTTCTTTACCTAACTCCTGTGGTTGTTGTGACGTCACCAGTAATGCCGGGGAAAGCAGCTCGAAAGCTAACTCGTGCATTTGAGCTGGTTGGGGATTTGCTGCTCTGCGCGTCTTCTGCGGTTTGGACTGCAAAGTTTGGTTTCTCTTGACGCCGATGTGTCTGTACCACGCAGGTGCTTTCCACTGTACTCATCAACTGCATTCCTCGGAACAAACCGGCCCCGACCGTTGAAGGCAAGGCCAAGATTCCTGCCAAGGTAAGTCTAGTTGTTGGCAGCCTGCAACAAGCCTTGTTCCTTGTTGGCATGGATTAGGATGCAAACTGCCGCAGTGGCCGTTGGCCTGATCAAACTTTAAGGGATGTTTCACCTGTGTGTGTTCCATTTGTACATTTCCGTGCGCAGGGAATTGTTGATATCAAATTATCTGGCTTGGACATTTTGTCAGATGGAAGTGAAGTACAATAGCACTTGATCGGGTTTTCTATGGGAAATTGAGGTGAACTTCCTCTGCTATATCTAGCGGGAAAATTGACGACATGTGACCTGACATCACACAATATCTTTTCACGTGGCATCAATTTTCTCCGTTAAATTTAGTGAGGAAAACGGTGTTACGCGGCACGGTCACTTGACATTATGGTGTCATGTGACGTCACATTCTCTCGTGACGTTTTGGTGTCGCATGACATCACGTCACTATTTCCCTGCTAAATTTAGCAGAAAAATTGATCCCATGTAGTGACAACTGGCTTGAGCGGGACTGCGAGAGTGAGTCGGCAAGGCCACGCTCAGCTTCCTATCTACCACACCCGGTGTCTCGAATACTCAACCTAGAATGTTCGGGAGTGAGCTAGGGCGAGACTGACTCGACAAGGTCATGTTGACCTCCTTATCATTTACATTTGGGGTAAGAGGAAACTCAAATCTTTTAGAAGTATGGAAAAGCGTTCCTTCTTGGTCATGCACGCGGCATCACCACGTGTCACCACCATTGGAAACTCTGGCATCAATGTTCTCGCTGAATTTAGCTGGGAAGTTTATGTTGCGTGACATTGTGGCATCATGCGGTCAGACCTGCACGAGCACGAACGGCCCGTGGAGGGTCCCATATAAATTCATCACTGTAAAAGAAGCCCTAGGAGGTTTTCTTAGGGTACTTTACAGGGATTTCACTAAGGGGCACTCGGAAGTGACTGAAATGAAGCATTAGTAGTTTTTTTGTAACTTCGGGTACCCCATGCATCACGTGACGTGTCTTTGGGATCGTCCCCGCGCAGGCGTGGCTGAGGCCGGGTTCGGAAGCGAACGAAGCAGAGGCACAGATGAGCGAGGGGCAGGTGGTGATCCGGGACGGAGAGCTGCTCTGTGGTGTTCTGGACAAGGCCCACTACGGTCCGACCCAGTTTGGGCTGGTCCACGTCTGCTACGAGGTATGCCCAGAGTTTCGGGAACGATTTCTGCTTCGAATTGTTTCTAGAAGTGTGCACATATTTCTTAGCTGGCACATTCAGGTTAGAATGTGCCAGCTTGCACTGAATGCATGGTGCGTTCAGTTCAAGGTTCAAAATGACTGGTAGCAACGTTTGAACTATTGAATGCAATAGCTACAAATACTTAAAAGGATACTGAACCGAAATTTCGAGCTTACTAAACAAGGCCGGGCTGATAGGCGGGAAGCTGCAAAACCAAAAATGATCACTCGTACGGCGATATATCTAACGGATCGCCGTATTTTTTGGAAAAGAAGTGTGCGATTGAACCCGGCCGACGAGGCCGACGAGACATGGCACGTCACGATCCCCATTCTCTCTCCTCCTCGCTACGTCCCGTCAAGCTGGTGAACCGAAGCAAAGAGGAGAGAAGCCAGGCCGCTTCTCCTTATTCTCAAATTCTCCCAGAGGACAGTTACGTCAAAGAACTCGCTTGATTGCGCCCTTCTTTTTCAAAAGTACGGCCATCCGTTTGAGATATCGATGTACGAGTGATGTTTTGGAGTTCGTAGCGTCCCGTTCAACACTTCTGCAGCCCTACATTGCGAAATCCAAATTTCGGTTCAGTATCCCCTTAATTTAGTACTGTGAATTCGCCCCGTAAAGTGCACTTCCACCATGTGATGGGTGCGTTCCAGGGAAGCGACACCGGCAGTGGCGGTAGTGAAATGATGATCTAAGTGTCTCATAATCTACTGTAAGCTCTACAGTCCCTTTTCAAAAGTGTGCTCTCTCCAGTAGCTGCTGCATCGATTATTCGAGGCTGCCATATTTTCGGCATCCAAACCGAGAATGCATTCGACGCAAGCGCTGTGTCAGCGTTTGGCACATACTTGGGCCTCGTGCGTTCGAGACGAGTGCTGTGTCATCGATCGGTACAAGCTCGGATCCAGTCACACAGTTCGCGCAGGAAGAGATGCCCAAAATATGGCAGCTGCCAGTGTTGCCTGATGGACTTTTGACAAGGGTCTATTGGAAGTCAATTTTGAGTTCCTCCTTTCGATAGGCACTTACTCCACCTGTGCCAGCATTCCGTCCTGTCCGAAAGAGTGAATTAAAATTGATTAACTGTCTGTTTTCCAGTTGTATGGAGGTGCCATTTCCAGTCTTGTCCTGACCGCTTTTGCAAGGCTGTTCACCCACTTCCTCCAAACCCACGTCGGGTTTACGCTCGGCATAGAAGACATCTTGGTCACCCTCAAGGTAAGGCTCATCATAAAGAAACCATAAGAGTAGAGATCTGTGACCATCAAGCTTATGCCGGAGCTTCCCTTTAAGTTGCACCCGAACTGGCGCACGGTTCCATTTCAGGCCGACAAGAAACGCAAGAAGATTATGAAGATGGCGAGGAAGGAAGGAGATGGGGCAGCCAAGAAGGCCCTGGGAATTGAGGAGGACATTGCGCCTGAGGACCTGGTAGAATTTCTGCGGGGAGCGCACCTCTCCCGCAACGACCGCTACCTTAAGCAGCTGGATGCCAGCATGAAGTCTGTCACGGACGACGTCAACAACCAGATCAACAAGTATGGCCCTTTCTCTTTTACAGCAGTAGCTGTTATTGCCCCTTCCTAGAAAAAAGTGCTCGTGTACGAGTCCGAAACTCCACTCTACAGCAGAGGCACTGCTCTCCCTCTCCCCGTTGTTCCTCACTCATACACGTCAACTGCGGCAAGGCTCTCCCCTGCTCCCCTCCCCCCTTTCCCCCTGTAGGCCATTCTTAGAACCCGTTGCAAACATTGTACAGCAAACTGGTTGAAGACAAATCTCCTTCAACATGCCTTTCCACAATGCGGCAGCTACCGCTGTCAATCGCAACACAATTTGTGTGTTCGTTTGCATTTTTTTTTATGCGGAGAGTCGTTTTCTTGAGCTTTCGTAAGTGAGGGTTACTTTGGTGCAATCACTTTCTTCCCAGGGCCTGTATCCCAGATGGTCTCCTGAAGAAGTTTCCAGAAAACAACCTCCAGTTGATGGTCCAGTCGGGAGCTAAAGGCGGCATGGTGAGGCTGCAAGGGCTGATTGGCCCCTGCATGACGTTTTTGGAGCAGATTTCTGTCTCCAGGCATACGTTTCTCGGCCCCTAGTTGACAGCTCTGTGCTTCATCTGTGAGATGTCGTAAGAGCTTGTTGAAGAGCGGCGAGAAAATGGACGCTTGATGCCATCTGTTGGTCGTCTCAGATACTAATGGTCCTAGAATATCCTTGAAAAGGGATTTCTCTGAAGCCTCCGAGAAGTTCCTTTTTGGTCATGTAGGCCGATCAGTGAACTTCGGCGAATCTTGGCTGATCGGTGATCTTGGCCAATGTTCGCCAATCAACCGATAGTGTTTGATGCTGGCCAATCAACCAATACTGGCCGATCGACTAATGTTGGCCTATCAACCGACATGGCCAATCGGCCAACAATGGCCGATCAACTGACGTCAGCCGATCAATCGGTATTGGCCGACGACCGACAAATATTTTGACGATAAACCGACCCAGACATTGTCCATTGATTCAGTGGTTGTAGTGGAGGGATATAGGCTATGTTTTTTCTGCAAGAGTGTCCGCGTGATTCCTTGTGCCTCGCAGGTGAACTGCATGCAGATATCATGCCTGCTTGGCCAGATTGAGCTGGAAGGGCGGAGAGTGCCGCTGATGCTGAGTGGGCGGACCCTGCCCTCCTTTCTGCCCTACGACACCAGCCCCCGGGCAGGGGGATTCGTGGACGGGCGCTTCCTGACGGGGATCCGTCCGCAGGAGTTCTTCTTCCACTGCATGGCTGGCAGGGAGGTAGGCTGGCAACCCTGTGCCCAGTGGTGTAGCCAGGAGGTTTTTTCAAGGGGAATGGCTGGGACCTTTGTGACTTGGAGAGAGGGCTTGTTCAGAATCCTGAGCAGCATGCAGCGCACCCATGGGGCTTATATGGGGCTTATATAAGGCAATATAGGTCCCGCGTGGGCCCCGCATGTGCCAACATAGATCTGAAATGAGTCTCGTATGTGTCCATGCAAGCCCCATATAGGCTCCCCACCTTTGAGCCCATATGGCTCCATATAGGCCTCACGTGTACCCATTAGGCATGGGCAAATAGAGGATTTTGGATCCGAATGGGATTTGAAGTGAATACTGATTTTGGCCAAATAATTTCGAATCGAATAGTTCAAATAGTATAAGCCACAAATACTACAAGATATGTTCAAACTTTAGTTTTATATTTGTCCTTATTTGGTATTAGAATTACTGTAATGTTAATTTTAATTGTACTGAGTTTGGGAGCACGAAATAGTCGAAATGGTCGGAAACTTGCGCCACCTGGCCGGAAATCCAAGCCAGAGTATTCGGAAAGGTTGAATAATTCAATATTGTTGAATACTTAAATTCACTTCGAAGTGAATGCCAAATAGAACAGAATTTCGATGGGCTATTCATAATAACGAATATTCGCCCATCACTAGTACCCATATAGGTCATGTAGGCCCCATATGGGCCAACAAACATATCATAAGAATCCTATATGGGTACATACAGGTTTCATGTATACATATATGGGGTGTAAGAGGTCTCATATGGGACCCACATAGATGTCTTCTGATTTCTATATGGGCCAGCATAGGTAGATATCATATCAGTCTTATATGGGCCCATACAGGTTTGATTTATACCCGTATAAGTCCCACATGGGTCTATGTTCGTCATATATGCTCCAATGTAGATCTCATATGAACCCTATATATGTCCATGCAGGTCTTGTGCGTACACCTGTGGGTCCGTTTATAGTAATTTCTCGTTATAACAAGGGTCAACGGGACGCCAAAAGAGTTTGATAGATGTGGTAATTCAATAAAAGCGAAAGAGCCAAGAAAACCGCGACAGCAGACTTTAAAGGGGCAATGCAACAACTTTTGTACTCTGTGGAAATACTGCTTAGAACAGATCCCTGACGTTAAGGACCTGTGAAACACCTGTTTGTTTTTTTACCACACAATTGAACTCACAGAAATTGTTCACCCCCTGGGGTTGGCAAGGCACAGGACGCGCACTGAGTTCCAGACATTGTTATGGTTTGGCTATTGTCGTCGATGCACCGATTGGACACAGGCCTCTACCCGAATGCTTCTCGAATTATCCGTTATCACGAGCCCAAATTGATTGCCCACACAATGCTCAATTCCAATCTATGAGCCGCATTCAAATTTCGTCCCTGGGCGGTACTGCGACCGCCCAGCTATGTCATCAATACTTGCAAATGAGAGATTGAATGCAAACGATCACTTTTGTCCTTGAAATTACACCGCTACAAGGGAGTTTTCTAGCCAGTGGCAATGCATGCAAGTAGACTTGAGTCCCTCTAGTGCCAGTAAGCTCGTGTAAAGTGAAAAACAGTCCAATTGAATGTCGTTGCACGGGAGGACTGCAAAACACTCTGACCATATAATTGTCCAAACAAATCTTGGTTACGAACAACTTGCAGCAGCTTTATTGAGTAAAAAAAAAATAAAGTGGAGTTTGCTGTTTTTGTCCGGGCATCAGTTCTCGAACTACACCAGGCATCGCAAGAACGCTGTCACTGCTGATGGATTCCACTTTGTTTCAAAGCAGCCATAGGATGTTTTGAGTCTCTGCAGTCATCAGTGTTTCCCGAGGTGCCTCTCCTATGTCGCTTCGTGTTTACGCTGACTGCAGGCAAGGTCTACAATTACAGCATCCGTGGCAGGAGGAACGTCCGCATCGACATTCAGAAACAAATCAATGTTGTCCTCGGTGGCTTTGGCAACATGTTTGCACATACTCTTGTAGAGATTGTTGCAGCTCTGGAAATCGTGCACCGGCTCGGCAAGCATCCTCATGAGAGAAAATCCGATGTGCGCGAAGCAGTTGGTGGTCTTCCATCTTTGGGTCACAGGCACGCTCTCTCTTGCATGAGAAACTTCTCGGACTTGTCCAGTCCTTGCGTGTTCTGCAAAATGGTGAACAGTGTCAAACCACTGGTGCTGGTATGTCGAATTCTTTGGTGATTTTGGACTTGGGCCGGCCACTCTTCTGAACCTCGCAGATCTAAGCGACTTTATCTCTCCGGGCTCCATCGGCTCCATCACTCCCTTGACCCGATTCTGACAAGAGTTGGGCAGCGTCGGCCGCGGGCGCCGTGAGTAGCGTTGGAACATGGACGCGGCTCCTGCTACTCGCTGGCCACATCGGTGCACCTGCATCGGAGGCACTCTGCCCTCCGTCGCCCATTTGCTCCGTTTTCTTGTTTGCCGTTTCCCCATCTTGCCGCTTGCCTCGGTGGAGAAGGGGGAGGAGGTGCAAGGGTCTCGGTGCGTCTCCGTGTAAGCTTGCAGGCTTTTGGCACCTCGGCCTTCGTAATAAGCGTGGTCAGCCGCCAATACACTTGGAATAATCCAGATCAAAATGAGTGAATTTCGGTCGGGACCACATTGAACTTCGATAAAAGCGATAATTAAAAAAAAGTGATTTCGTTATAACGAGGAGTTACTGTACCAACATAGATCTCGTACGAGTCCTCTGGCTCTGTGCAGGTCCCATGTGTGCCCATATAGGTCCCATCTGGGTCCATGTAGGCCTCATATCTGCCAATGTAAATTTCGTACGAGTCCATGAAGCTCTCACATGGGCTTGTTGGTCCCGCGTAAGTTCCACCCGGCAGGTGGGTGCCTTACTTTTTTTTACTCGCTGTGAAGTTGGGATTCACTGGTGGGCACGTTTCAGGGACTTTTAGTGTGTCTATTGACTACCCGGCATTGACCTGCAGGGTCTCGTGGACACGGCAGTGAAGACCAGCCGCAGCGGGTACCTCCAGCGGTGCCTGATCAAACACCTGGAGGGGCTGATGGTCGGCTACGACCAGACGGTCAGGGACAGCGACGGCAGCGTCATCCAGGCAAGCCTACCTTAGGGTTCACTCTGACTGCATTTGGGCTTTTTACTGATGAAGACGTCACTTTTGTCATTGCTGTGACTGGGAGCTGTGGGGAGTTGAATAATCCCCGCAAGTTAATGAGTTGGATACTCTATACTCTGTTCACCCATAATCTGGCAGCGCAGTAGGAGTTATGCACTTACCAGGCCAATCAACCACCTCCCATTCATCATCTAACCTTGCTTTCTGCCCGTGGTTGTGAGCCAGAGAGTTATCACATGAGAAAAGATAAACATACAGCTGGTCTAATGAACACGAGGCTTCCACCGCACTGTCGGTTTAGGGGTGAACAAACTATACCGTGAAACACAACTTTGAAGGAAGAAGAGGGATAATATTTTATTATTCTTTTTTGAAATGTCCGGTGACCAGTGTTCTTGGGACCCAACAGGGCCAATTCCCCTGAGGGCAAACAAATTTGAACTTTCCCTTCCTTAGTTTATTTAGAAATTAATTTTTTTTTAAATTTTATAAATACGTGAAACAGGCCATGTCATGCAGTGGCTTTCGCCACTTTGAATCTGGTTAAAATGAAATTTGAGTATTTAACCCGAATAGATTTGATCTTACAAGTGAGTAAGCAGTATTCATTTATGTAGGTAATCAGTATTTTCACTATATTAATATACAGTGAAATGCTTCGAATTCGTGTTTTTACGGTGTTGTACTGTTTAGTGCAAGCTATCAGAGTTTAAAGATTTCACTGGACTTCACCTGCTAATGTTATAATTCCTTGCTATAGCAATATCTTCACAAGTGTATAAAAATGTCCACTCTGCACATTTTTCCTTCTACATAATATTAAGTTTATAGCTGCTGTAGTTGTTTTTGATAAATAATTTGCCACAGTATGTCACTTGCTCTGTGTGGTCTGGTATGGATCTGATTCAAAATTTGCTGTACTTCGTGTTTATTTTTTCTCTTTCTTATTTTAACGACTGCAGTTCCAGTACGGAGAAGACGGTCTGGACGTGCTGAAGATGCAAATGCTGAAGCCGAGTCAGTTCCCGGTGTTGATCAAGAATGCGGAAGCCTTGCTTGACAGCAAGGAGCTTGAGCAGTGTCAGAGCTTCACAGACCACGAGGAACTGCACAGCGCAAAAAAAGCGGTGAGTGCACTGACACCCAGTCCTGATTTGGCACCTCTTGTGCACTGACACCCAGTCCTGATTTGGCACCTTTATTTCTCGTTGGGTTTCGTCACTCTTAACATACATCTTTGCAATAGCCGGTGGTGTTGTGTGCCGTTGCGACATTCTCTCGATGCTTGACAGTGACACACTCCTCGAATGATGGTTTCTGCACAATTTCTGGTACTTAGTAACAGTTCTGATACATTTGATCTCGAAGGTCCCCTGTGCTTGTTAAAGGGACGGTGCAACGATTTTCAGATTTTGGCCAGTTAACTGCGTGAATTAGTCTGTGTCACCTATAGACCTTTTCTGTGTACTCTCGTCTCCAGCCACATAATAAGCGTATCCGGCATGGGCGACGAAACAATACTACAAGGTTTAACCCGTAACTAGTCAAAAAATAAGGGGGAAGCAAAACGATAATGTGTGACGGTTACGCTTATATCCTAAATTTCTTCTACTGGCGTGGCGACGGCAAAACAATGTTTTCGCCCATACTGGAAGTGACAACAATTCAAGATGGCGGCACCTTTGAAGAAAAGGTCTAAAACGAAGAACAGAAAACCGCGTTTTCTTGTGCGTGGTGGGTGGGTGCGCGCCTCTTTACGAGTCACCATCTTTGTTCATCAGATGTTAGATGTTCAGTGTGGTGGGTGGGTGGGGGGTTTGCATTGGTACATCAAAATTCACAGTTTACCAGATAAATCCGAATTGTTCATAATCTTACCAGCGGATGTTTTTTTTTTAGTTTTCCAGTTTTATTCGAAAACACGGGACCCTAGTTATAGTGTACGATATATAGACTTTACATTGTTTAGTATACTATATATAGACTATAGTATACAGGCAGGGTTCTTCCCAGGAATTTTTAGTGGTGTACATAACCACTTTGGGAGGGGGGGGGGGGGGGGGGGTAGTTTGCAATGCAGCACAATCCGTCTTGCTGACAGAACACACTTTGTGTAAGCTCTCTAACCTTGCGGCCCTGTGAGTGATGCTACGCTGCAGTGATAAAACAAAAAAACAAATCGCCTCTGGGAAAAAAAAAAAAAAAAAAAAAAAACGTTCAGCCTTTTTACTTTTATGAAGAAGGAAGACCAGCGGAGCTGTACTCGATTCACTGCCGCAACATGCACGCGCCCGTTTCTTGCTTCTTCTTGTCCGACACGCCGCCGATCGTGGATACGTCTCGGGTGAACCAGAGTCGGTTGCACATGGCGAACGCGACGCCAAACGGGTAATCTACGAACTCCCTCCAGAACCTCGCCGTCGCGCCGGGGAACTGTTCAGCCGGCGTGGAGTGCAGTCGTTGGCAGGCCTTACGCTTCCGCTTAGCCTTCGTGGCACGATCGTCGTCCGTGGCATTGGCCTGCCGGCGCCTTTACATTGCTGGTTCTGTTCTCGGCGGAGGCTTTCCAGGCGAGCGATGAGCGCTTCTTTGGCAAGGAAATCTGAAGCGCTCGATGGAGTGGAAGTCGAGGTGACAGCAGCTTTGCGGCAATTGCAGACCCATTCGCGCTGCTGCGTATGTCGCCGCTCCTTCCGCAGCCAGTCTTCCTTCCCCGAAAGGGCGCGCGGCCGACCCATCCTAAGTCCAAACGAAAACTGATAACAGCGTAGGAAACAGCGCGCAAAACAGACGAGGGCAAAGTAGCACACGTGACGAGCACTGCACTCGTTACGTGCGCTTCTTCTTTGTCGTCGCCTGTTTTTCGCGCTGTTTCCTACAACGAATTCCCACCAACGCGCAAAACTATTCATTCCTCTATGATAGCTGGAAAGGTTGGCGCCATCTACGAGCGACAGCGGCAACCAGACTGGTTCTGTGCTTGCTGCCGTCGCTTATAAATGGTGGTAGCTGTCCAGGTAGGTTTGTGTCGACAGGCGTTTGATACCAGACACAATCCTGGGGGAACCTTGCCCTTAACAGCTCCGCTGTAAAAAAGTGGGGAAGGAAAGGCGGGGTGCGAGCAAAGAGGCGAAGATAAAGCAAGCCACGGCGCAGGCAAGCATTGAGCAGTGAAAGAAAAGTTCTCTTGACTTTCTGCTCTCTGCGACTAGCAGCCTGGGGAGAGGACTGCTGCACAGTGCACATTGGTCGCGTCTGTTTATTTTGTGTTTCTCCTTGGCCAAACCCCCTCCCAGCACTGCCCGCGGCACTCCTCCGGGGCTCTGCTCTTTTTGTTTGAAAGAGTGGCGGCGGTCGGCGATGCGGTAACACGCGATAATGTGGCGGTGTGCAGGCTTGCTGAGTACGATGGTCTGCAGCCATGTGAGCAGGCAAAATTGCATCGTCATCCAGTTGCATAATCGAGCGGTGGGCGGTCAGTCGAAGCGGTGGGCTGCAGAGCCACTGCCGCCCACCATGGGAAGAACCCTGTACACAATATAGGTAGACTATATGTAGATATAGTCTATAGACTACTATATATGTAGATATACAGTTGAACTTCAATTTAACGAAGTCATCGGGACCTGCTAATTATTTCGTTAAATCGGGATCTTCTTAAATTCGAGGTAGGAAGACCTCGCCCATAGGCTGCTCGAAAGTCCGAATTCGTTCGGTAAATTGGGAAATTCGTAAAATCGGGTTTTGTTAAATCGAGGTTGAACTGTATATACTTTATATATAGATAAGCACTATGTATAGTGTCTATGTATCGCTTTGACATACACGTGAACTGACCTTAAAAAGCAAAATGGAGTTCGGAAACATTGTTACGAGAACCCACATTGAGAATACGTTCTGAACAGGAACGTGCATTCAGAACGTCTTCCCATTACTCGAGGAGGGCGAGCTGAAGAGAGGCCGACCATTTCGTTCCAGGTGAAAAAGTGGAAAAAGAAGACGGATGGGAGGCAAGAAGAGAAGGAGCGCCGCGAGAATGCCTTCACCTTCTTCTCAAGCCGCGAGGGCGGGGAGTACCGCCGGTTGTATCCCGGGACGAACCCCGACACCGGGCGGCAGCTGCACTGCGAGAAACTGGTCGAGGCGTTCCAGGCGCTCGAGCACAAGTCCCTGAAAAAGTATGCAGTGCTGACATTTGTGCTAAGCTGGAAGCAAATTGACTGTGACTTTCGTCTCTGAAGTTCTATAACGTATGGAATGAAGTGATCGCATAGGTTTGTTTGGAAGAAGTTAAATGTCACTTGACGTTATGGTGTCAAGTTGGGGTGATGCGTGACACCGTGACATTGCATGAACTGACATAGCAGTGCAGCGTTGTGCGACATGGCCCGACGTCGTGGGGCGACTTTAGTATGTTACGTGACCGCCACGTCATTTGGCATCCCGCAACGTCTCGTAATGTGTCCCATCGCATGACGCAAATGACGCATGCCACGGGGTATGTGTGGACACTTGGACGCACGGACAAGTGATTTCGGGGGGGGGGGGGGGGGGGGGGGGGGGGGGGGGGGGTTTGTTATTTGTTATAGGGCACTCCATGCCTTGAAACAATGGGTACTATTGTTGTCTCCGTCTATAACGTTCCTCTAAGAAAGCGTCGCAACGTAACCGGTGGTTAGGGTGTGGACAACCTTGTCTGTCGTGTACCTTAAAGGGGCCCTGCAATCATATTTAAGTGTCTACCTTTTTGCGGTTTCCACATTTCTTGGGGTTCAGGCAAGCCAGCGGGCACGGAGAGAGTAACTAAATATTAGTGTGTTATATTTTAACCGGACAACTCGGAAACCTCCTTCACCTACGGGGGCGATCGCGGTGCTGAAAGCGTGCAATATGCAACGTCTTTGGTCCTGGCCTTACTACTGGTCTGAGCCGCTAAAAGCTTCTTTTTAGTCGAAATACATAATATAAGTGGCGCAAACCGTTTAAATTATTTATAGTAATTTTTGTTCACTATTTTAGATTAGAAAAGAAACAAGTGTAGTTTAGAAAGTACGGAAACAAGAAGTGACCCGTCGACATACCGTCGACATACGTACGGAAACAAGAAGTGACCTGTCGACATACATACGTCGACATATTGTGCGGTGGAAAAGCCGGCGTTTACTAGAAAGGGGTAGTGGGATCAGGCCCCAATGAGCGGCGAATGTAGAAAGGTCCCAGATGTATGCGGCGGCGCTGCGGTCGTATGGACTGGAGGATCCGACCGGTTCCAAGCGTTCCCAAGGCCTTCGACGAGCAGCTTTGGCTTGTGGTTTGGCTTTTTGGCGGTACGGCAGCGCGAAGTGGCTCACGTTCTGAACTGATCTTTACCCTGCGTTTGCTTCATTTGTGGCCAATGAAGTGTCATGCCGAATTAGTGTTTAATCGTGCAGCAAATGCGATGCGAGCCGCCCTGGCTGCCTGCTTCATACAGCCTAGCCAGCACGTGCTTTAGTGGCGCCCTCTCGAGCTGTCAACACGGAGTGCGGTGGTTGTACTGCACTGGCCAATTCGCTTCTGTACAGCAGAGACACTATATGCTAACAGACTGATTTCCTGCCAAGACTTCTCGCAACAAAGTTCACTTGTTTTTTTATATCTGGAGCATGTCCACATTGTGCTCAGAGTCCCATCAGAGGTCACTTCTTTAATTCTAAACATTGTTTGTGCCTACACATTTGCCAATCTCCATGCACAAAATCATAGCGATTGGTTTCTACCTGTTGCTTGGGGAAGTAGACACGTCACCTTTTTTTTGTCCGTAGAAGAGGTTGAATTAGTTTTGAGTAAATACAACGGCTTTTGCAAGAAGCAAGTTGCAAACGTCGTGCAACATGTTCGTGGCACCTCGCCGTTGCAGGCTCAACAAGGCCATTGTGAAGCCGGCCGACCCTGTGTGCTCCGTCGTGCGCAACGACCTCAACCTGGGGGCGATCTCTGAGCGCTTGGACGCCCTCGTCGAGGACTACATCAGCAAGAACCCGCACAGGCTGCTCGTTGATCCCAAGCGGTCCCCGGACGGCTCCGTGACGGAGCGCGAGAGGAAGGTCCTGTCTCCCGACGACTTCCGGAACGTGGTGTACCTTCGCAACCTGAGGTCCATCTGCGACCCAGGCGAGCCAGTTGGCCTCTTGGCCGCCCAGGTGAGCACTCCTCGTCACGAGACTTCGAGACTTTATTAGTCATAAAACAAAATTATACACGTGTACAATGTGTGACACGGTTAAATCCCAGCGTTTTCTTCATAGTCCCTGATTATGCCTAAAAATTTTCTAAGCACACTAACAAACATTGCTGAAATAGTAAGCTAAATATTAGGTCAAGGTAAGTCTATTTGGCAAAGCTATTGAATTAACGACTTCGGTCCTCACCGCATTTTTCAAAACGAAAGTCTCTACTGGCAGTAATAACTGAAAATGAGCCTGTTCGTGAATGGATATGAATACTTGAAAGGATGAAACATTGAGGATGAGGACAGAAACAGGACTTCTGCTGGCAACGATGAAAAAGTGATGTCAGGTTAAAGGGAAGCTACGGAGCTTCTTGAAAAAAAAGAGTTAGAAGTGAATTCTAGTGTATTTTTACCTCGTGAACCCGAATACCAAAACCATTTGCCTCGCAAATATTGTTAAATGCGAGAAAAACGCGAAAGATAGTCGCTGTACGTGACGTCATCGACGGCTTGCCAAGGCTAGGGAGGCGGGGCTTCAGCCCTATTTTCAAATTGCTCTTATGGCTTCCCAGCGCATCGCATTGAAATATAATTGTGATATCTGTTATTCTAAAGGCCAAATGAACGCAATTCAAGCGTTTTTTCTCAAATGTAGAAGTGCCCCATCTTCCCTTTAAGGCAGGGGTTCACTCTTTGGACCGTGGACTTTTTTTCCCAACTGATACTGAGCAGTTTCATGGTGTTAAAGGAATGCTTGGGAAGCTCACTCCAGCACTTGCGCAGCAGCACAAAACAAAAGCTCGGCATAGTCAATTTTTAGACTGCCCGCTCGACCCGCAAGCCTACCTTCCCCTGACCTCACGGCACTGAAAAGCGCGGGTATATTTGAATTTCGGTTTTGGCATGATTTTCACGTGCCGATTTCGCAATAACCATTCTGAATTTTGCGACACTAAATAGCATATCAGAAAGGGTAAAGGCTGGTGATTCTGGAAATATAGTTAGTTGGCATAGCTAAAAAAAATTGCCTGAATACCCCTTTACTGCTGTCGCGCAACTCGGTTAATGTTGAAGGGACTGTCATCAACACTACTGGTGTTTTGAAAAGTGCTCATTCCGTGTACTAACCCAAGCGGTAAAATTTGATGTCTGCCAATGCGCTCCTGAACTAAAATGCGGTAAATTGCCAACGTTATGTTTGTGCTAAAAATGTTGTGCAGTGCACATGGTCTGTATCCATAGCCAAAGCCAATAATCCGTTTCACCTTGCGACGGACCGCAACAGACGCTACGAGCCATTGCGTGCAACCCAAGGCAGTGTGACTTCCACTGGACTTTCGGAGAGGCCCCGGCAGTGCGCGGAGTGCGTAGTCAATGGATGGCGTCCACGGCGCTGGAATGGGTGGGGTCTTGTAGCGTAAGGCGAAAGGGGTCATGTGACGCTCGCACGGGATTAGATTGGCTTTGATGGCTCATGGTGCCCTCTGCGGTCCATCGTAAGGTGAAAGAGAGGGTACAAAATATTTTAAAAATTGTTTCGAAATTTTATAATTTTTTTCCCTCTATTGCAGAGCATTGGAGAGCCGTCCACACAGATGACACTCAACACCTTCCACTTTGCGGGGAGGGGCGAGATGAACGTGACCCTGGGGATCCCTCGGATGCGGGAGATACTCATGGTGGCCAGCGCCAACATCGCCACCCCAACCATGGACCTGCACCTGCTCCCCGCAGTGGACGCCGAGCAGCGAGCCGATCGGCTCAGGGTGCTCGTCACCGCCGTCAACCTGGCCCAGGTATCACCGCCGTCTAAACGCTCGAATTGAGACAAACAATCCTAGAGCTCGAAGTGCACCCGAAACTGCAGTAAGGCTAAAGTATGGTTAGAAGTTAGTGCCAACTATGCCGTAGTTGCAGAGGCACCCTTAGCCGCAGTCAAGTCTGGCGCCAGTCGCACTTAACTTCAGCTTAGTGTGCTCGTGTAAGTCGGGTGTTAAAGAGTAATTAAGTTACTGTTTACCGTGCACTTCATTTCATCGCATGCATTGCAGTGCTAAATCAGCGCTAGGAATAGCGCCCATGCAGCACTGGCTTGAACGTTACTTGGCAGCGATGCACTGCTGAATCCGGGCTGTATCACTAATATAGTGAAAAGTCGGTGCTGCATCGGCAAGGCCAGTGCTATTACCAGCGCCGACTAATACTGCCAAGGTAGCATTGTGGTGTATGTGTGAGCAGGACTTAAGCGCAGAGTGAGCACAATGCTTTGACTGGGCCTGTTCGAGGCAACACGCTTGTGCTTGTAGCATCGGCTTTGCTTGTGCTCTTGTTGAAATAAAGTATACTGCTCTGGTGGCTGGCGACAGGCTAAGAATGCAGTAGGTGCTCCGCCTTGACTGTGAGCTTTTTTCCCCTGATAACACTTCATCACATGTGCAGCCAAGGCTCGACAGAAGGCGATGAGGACATGCTGGAGGTGAAGCCTCTACTGGGCTCTTAACCTGTCAGCGACGATAGAAGTTATCTTTAAAAAGCAATTAAGTTATAGTTTACATGAACCTAATTAATCCTTGAATTTCACTTTGCCGGTCTAGTCGTCAGAATACACGTTTCACGTCCATAGAGCTTGAAGCAAGCTGTGTTACATGCGCTTAATTCTGTTAAAAGTGTAATTATGAGTTTCACATTTTTTTTCTTCTTAGCTGCTCATTTTCAATTGAGCATGCAGTTAAGAGCACAGTTATGCTTTTTATGAATATGCCTGGTTACAGTTGCTGTCACTGACATGAAGTAACTGCGCCATGTTCTAACCTTCTAAAATATAGAGTTCCAATTTTCTCGTAACTTTGAAAGTATTTATTTATTGCAAATTAAATGTATCTACCATAAAATACCACACATCTGCCCATTCCACACTAAGTGCCCATTCCCAAATTTGTAAGATCTGAGAAAATATGCTTAGTACATTTATATGTAAAATTGATGACCTGACAAGCACCCATTCCTCATTTTTTGCGATTATCTCCAAATTTTGAGTGGGCGCTTGCTCGGTATTTTGCGGTTTTTGTAACAACTTCAACACCTCTTGTTAGCTTGCTTTACAGTTCTGCAAATGACCGAAATCAGAAACAGAGAAAAAACAAGTGATCTCTCGGCACTGTGAAACTCATACACTGTGGAACAAAGAAAATGACAGCTTGATATGTGTGCTGTCCATTCTTGCCTCCCTTGGCCTCGGTATATCACAATATTGAACGCTCTCGCTGTACGCTAGAATCTCTCTGTGCAAAGGCAGATAAAGCAAAGATACAGATAATATGGAGCAATGTTGATCTTGTGAAGTTTTTTTCCTAAGAGACTGACTTTATATAAGATGGTTTTACTCAAGTGGGGAATGGGTACACGATGTGACATCTTTTCCTTCTGCTCTTCTCCTAGGTTCTCGAAGAAGTCACTGTCAGAGAGAGACTCGTGGTCAAGGGGAGGATGTGAGTTTTTTGCACGTTTTCACCTGGATTTTGTAAATTTTAGTCATGCTGTCTACGGCAACATCGTTGTGGGAAAATATGCGCCAATATCGTCGCCGAAAAATCAAACTTTTTTAGTACCGTCTGGTTACCCAAGTGATCAAGCACATTTTAACTTAGCGAACAAGGCATCCGCAGCCAAGTTTTGACTCTTGCAGACGGTTACAGCCCGCTCAGTAAAGCCACCGATTGCCGTGATGTACCAGTAGATCAATGGTGGAGTCATCACCAGAATCATGTCTTGATGACTGAGTATGTTTGTAGGCAGCCAAGCTTCAAAAGCTAGTCTGGCCATCCTGGGTAAAAAGCACTTTTTTGGGGCAACAGTCTGGCAACCGTAGACACACTTTAGTAAAGGGAAATGGCTGACTCTCGCCTGAAAAAGAAAGCAAAGATTAGGGGTGTGCGAATATTAAATTTTACAGCGAAGCTGTTATGCGCTAGGATCTGGGGAAAAATGTGTCCGCAGATGTTGACACAAAACTTCCCATTGGTCGTTGAAAGTATGAATAAATAAAAATAAAAAGAGGGGACAACCAGCGGGAGTCGGCCTTCCTTGGCATTATTAGATAGGTCCTGATCCCTTGTCATCATCTGTAGGCATCGTCCTCGAGGTCGTTCAAAAATTCGTCCTTGGGGTCGTTCTAGAAGTCATCCTGGAGGTTGTCCTTGACGTCGTCCTCGAGGTCGTCCTAGAAGTCGTCCTACAGGTCGTCCTAGACGTCATCCTCGAGGTCGTCCGACAGGTCATCCTATGCGTCATCCCCTAGGCGTCCTAGATGTCATCTTTGAGGTTGTCCTAGAAGTCGACCTTGAGGTTGTCCTAGACATCATTCTCGAGGTCGTCCTAGACGTCGTAAAAATAACAACTTCGCTGGTCCTCCGTATTCATGGGAAATGGAAGGGCTCTACAATTTTTTTTTGAAAACTAATCGAATGGTATGAATATTACAAAAAGATAGCTTCGAATGTAGAATATGTTTCGAATGTGTGTGTACCATTGAAAAATAATAACAAAAGAAAATATGCAAATACTTTTTTTATACGCCTCGCAAGTGGGCTCATTTTCGTCTTCTGCGCATGAGAAAGGAAGTAGCGGTGACGTCAGAACGCCGAGCCCTGATTGGCTGATTGCGACCCCCTATCTCAGCGTCATCTGCTCCTTTGCAACGTTGTCTGCTCGCAACATCGTCTGCGTCTGTCTTACCTTTCCTGCGACTTTCGGAGCGACTCAACTTCGCCTTTAAGAGAGGGCTGACGAAACAACTCGAGCGGTACGTTGTTTTTGTCTAACAACTGGCCGACGCGCATCAAGGAGGGAAGTCAAAGGACTCACTGGCGAGGTGTCTTGGGGCGCCGAGGTTTGTTTGCTTAGAACCGAGAGTGAGCGTGTTAGTGTCCGCAAGTTCCCTCCCAAATACTTTTTCCCGCCATTCGTGTGCGGCGAGAACCCTCATTCTTTAACGGCGTCGGCGGGTTGGCACAGTTAACGTCGTCTGCTTTACGTCTGCTAGTCAAAGCGATGGCGGCTTTACCTTTCCTGCGTCTGTCGGAGATTCACCGCTTTTTCACCGGCGAGAGTCACCGTTGCCTCGGGAAGCAAGTAGATAACAAGAGGAAGAAATTGACCTCTTAATCTAAAATTGAGGTCAGCGATCAAAGTATAATACGGGAAGGGTTCACAAAAGTCGCGCGGGCATATTTCATTCAGCACGCCAGCCGGTTGTGGGCAGACGGTCGCCGAGTCGCGGAGTGCATGCTAGGCCTAACTGCCCAGCTCGTTTGGTCGCGTTCGGTGAAATCGTGGCCGTTGGAGCTTTTCCCGGGTGTTTGTGGATCCAGCGTTCTTGTTCGTCGTGGTCTGTTTTAAGCACTTCTTAATTTTTTCTTGTTGTTTGAAGTCGGGACGCGTCAGAAGCGCAGGTAGAAAAATAAACATCCGTGGGTCGTCGTGACTGCGACGCTGTCGGCCATGCTGATTTGATCGTAAGAAGTGCGTAAGACAGCTTCGGAGCTGCTGTAGGATTTCGTCGTAACCTGCGCAAAACTTACGAAAATTTCGTTTCGTGAATACGAATTTGTTCTTAAGTTTTATCTTACACACTTTTTTGGCGTGAGATCGTTTCGTGAACCTTGCCTCTGCGCTTCCGAAAGTCGCAGGAAAGGTAAGACAGATGCAGACGGCGTTGCAAAGGAGCAGACGACGCTCATGTAGGGGGTCGCGATCAGCCAATCGGGGCTCGGCGTTCTGACGTCACTGCTGCCCCCTGCGCAAGAAGCAGACGAACTCGGCCTTCGCATTACCTTTAAAACCGAAAATGATGTTAACAAATTTAAGTAAATGAAACTACCCGAGTAGGCAGCATATTAACTATACAACTGGCAACATAGCTGTTATGCCTTAACTAGTAATCACCCGTCAACTGTACAGGAAAGCAGGCAAAAGGTGCAACTGATAAGTTATACAAGTTGACAAAATTAGAAATGTGCAAAGCTGCACATGTTTAGATAACATGTAAAAATGCAGCCTGTAATGTTGTCACACAAACAACTGGTAGTGACCTTTCTTAAGAAAATAATTGAAATTGCCTTTGACTAGCCAGCAAGTTAGATATCAGCTGCTAATGCAATTATTGTAAATCACTATTATGCAAGAAAATGAGTTGTCCCAGATGTTTAGTAGTGCCCCCTTTTTGCAGTGACAACTGCTCCTACAGCAGAAAATACCCTTGCTCTTGCAGCAGAAAATATGAGGTCACTAGAAAAGTGACTCGCAATGCAGGCGTGGTGAAACGAAAACCAAAGTTATCGGTGGCTTAATTTTTATTGAATGTGCAACCCAAGCCACACGTGCAATAAAAAAAAATTGTTTTGAGTTAAAAATTGCCAAAAATGAAAAATGGCTAAGGGGTTAAGCTCTTTCAAGGACCATGCACTCGCGTCCTTGGCTTTCGCGGTACTATACACAACTTCTGAGATCGAGTATAAAATTTCACAAACCTCTAACAAAGAATGACGTATCATCATCTAAAAATGTGCTATCGTCTTTCGAGACATCATCTGGTCATTTTTATGACGGAGGCTTATTGTGGAGAAGGCGCCGTGTAAGCGAGCTTTCGGCTGCACGTCAAAAGATCCCCAGGTGGTCGAAATTAATCCTCAGTCCTCCGCTGGGGCGTGCCAGATGCCCGTCGTAGGTTTGGCATAAAAAAAAACCAAATTTGATCTGGTCATTCCTCTGAGAGGGAAATCATGGCGGCTCTAAGATAAATACAAATACGCACCTTATAAGTTGATTGTGCTAAATAGGTCGTCAGCGAGCGTCAAACAACCACTCTGGCCACTTGACTTCATCAAATATTTGCCGCCATTTCCGAAAATAACTGATGCACCCCCGATTGCCTTTGACTGACTGCACACAAGTTTTAAGAAACACGCTCTATAGGAGAATTAAAGAACATCATGAAAGAATGTGCTGGAAAGTACTTGTACTTTAACTTCGAACGCACATTGTATTCACAGTACTGTACTTCAAATACATTGTATGCAGTGTACTACTAACCTTTAATTTCCTTTCTACTTTACTTCAAGTACTCTTTAGATGTACTTTAGCCAACACCAGCGCTTCCGTCTGCGACGATGCAGGGAACGGTTCCGGGAGTACCGGGTGCACTTCCAGTTCCTTCCGCGCAAGGCGTACCGCAAGACGCTGCACGCGACGCCGCAGCGCATCTTGCGCTACATGGAGACCACCTTCCTCCGGCGTCTCGTGGAGGCTGTCAAGAGGAAGCTGGAACAGGTCAAGTCCGCCAAGTGAGTGCCACAGGAGTCGTTTCGATGCTCCAGAAAATAGAGAAGCACTGAAATCATTCCAGAATTTATTTTTAATGTTTGGTGTATGGGACCTTTACCATAAAATAAAGCTTACATGGAAAAAAAAAATCATTTAGCACAGTATTTTTGTTACGAGACTCACTCAAGTTAGGAGGCATTTCAAAATGTGCTTCTATTTCAGTGTCAACGTCTCAAAATAGAAGCATATCTTAGAATCGTTCCTAACCCTAAACGTTTCTTGCGGCACAAATATTGCAGTCGGAAAAAGTTCTTCTGGGAAAAAATATCTTTTGTGACAAACAACCTTATCAGTCCCTAGAAAAAAAAACTTTTATTCTTTTTTGCTGCAAGTTTTTTTGTTTTTAGACTTTTTTGAGTTAGGAGCAACACTGAAACTCGTGTATTTCAGGACGTAGCTCTCAAAATATAAGTTGGCTTTGTTTCTGTGAGATCTGTTTCATGGTGCAAATATTGTGGTACAAATATTTTTGGTTGTAATTTATTTTGCGACATACATGACCCATCCAGGCACGCCCAAACAGAAATTTTTTTTTTGGAAGTTCAGTGTCTCTATGACTGTGAAAGCGTCTACCAAAAGAAAGTCGACGCTCGGGGTCTGGGGATTGGATTAGAGATTCCGAGTTAACTTGCCATCCCCCATCCCTTTGATACAAACGAGCATTGTATCGGCACACGGTCATGTAAATATTGTTATGTTATGCACGTTAACGACCCCAGGTTACCATTCTGAGGAGATTAACTTGCCACTTTTCAAACCCTCACTCGACAACAATTGGTCTCTGACAAGCTAGTTTGCATCTCCAATATTGATGGCTGTGCTCTTCTCGCTTTGTGTCCGACCGCAGCCAACACCGCCATCCGACAGAGCGGATTGAGCGGCGCTAAAATTGTGTTGTCCTGGCGCTCCTCGTCTTTGCACGTTTGTTATCACCGACTAAACAAATCGCTCGCAGAAAAAAGTGCAGGATCACTCTGCATTTACTGTGCTAGATCAGTTTAGTCAGCAACTACAAGCGCGCAAAAACAACGAGCGCTGCGATTACGCACTTTTGGCGCCGCCCAGTCAGTTTTGTCGGATCGTAGCATCGACCGCGGTCGGACTTGATGCAAGACGAAGTATGCGGAACGCTGAGCTCTGATTGGCTCTGATTGAAGGATAGTGGGTAGACCTCAAGGCAGCTTGCTTTGAGGTCTGCCCTCTGTCCTTCAATCGGAGCCAATCACATCTCGCATTCTGACGTCACAGCAACCCCTGAAAAAGAAGCAGATAAACTTGTGCTTTGCGTAGCATACAAGTTTCTTTTCGACAGTCTTTTTCGGTTGTGAGCGCGCCTCTGGTGGCGCCTTTTTGGCGCAAAATATTTTGGGGTCGAACATATTTTGTTTTTTCCCGTGCGTCAGGGTCATCCGGACTACAAGGTCTCGTGACGGAAGGGCGGGCGGTTCATCGGCTTCCAACAACGACCAGGGCAATGACGCCGCCTTCGACGAGGGATCTGGGGCGGCAAGAAACGCGGCCGATGTGGACGACGACGGGGGCGGGAGCTCCGACGAAGGGGAGGGCGACGGGGACACGGTTGCGCAGCAGGCGCAGTCGAGACACGCCCAGGACCGAGAGTACGAAGAGGCGGAAGAGGAAGAACTGCCCGCTGCCCTCTCAGGTTCGTCACGAAGCGACCCATTGGTGCCACAGTCGCTTTCGCGAGCGCAGGTCTACGCCCAAGTGTGTGTTTCCGGCAGCGCGGGCAAATATGCTTCTGCGAAAACTGTGCTTCGCACAAAAAAAAAGGTTGATGCTGTAGTGGTATTTGCATTCAGTATAATTGCGTAATTAATTTTGAGTATAATTGAATTGTTACTTTTTCATTTCAAAGGCACGGTTTCAATTAAAAGCTTGCTGGGCATCACCAAAAACTACTAAATAGTACACCCACATTACAATGATAGGGTAGCATTTTACAAAATTTTGGAAAAATGCTTAATTAGGACACGTTTCTATGGTTTTGGTCTCTTATCGGAGCACATCTCCGTGCAGGCAAACCCGCCCCCCTTGTCCCTAAAATGCGCAACGTCCGTGAAGAAGCCTTTTGGATAAAAAGTATTTTTCATAGGCAGTGCTGTCAGTACCTTTCTGGTACAAAGATGTTAAAGACAGACGAGCAGTCAGAAAGGAGGAAACTCTTCCTCAATTCCTTCTTTCCTTTTGAGAAAGAGGGAGAGCTCTTTTCTATCATGTGGGGAGAGGAGGAGAGAACAGTGCAAGAAGGAATGGAGGGAAGGAAACGGAATCGATTTTCTGCCCGGCAGAAGACAGTCTATGTCTGCCTTTAAGTGAAAAAAAACTTGAAGCCTCTTTTTGTAAAAACTTCTTTGATGTAAAGTATTGTGGAAAAAAACGATTCTGGTAAAAAGCCTCTCTGGTAAAAAGTCTTTCTGGTAATAGAGCCCTTTTGACAAGGCATTTTTTCAAGCAGAATGTCCATTCATACCTTTGAGAACCGGTGAAACTTTTTTTTTTTTTACTGCTGCGGTTAGGAGACTGAGTTTGGTTACTGGATTGTTGCAGATGAAGAGGCCGATGGCGGAGAGGAAGGAAACCTCGCCACAGTCCCAAAACTGGAGAATGCCGAGGAAGACGGAGCAGCGGACGATGAGGGTGACGAACAGAGGTTGGCCTCTCTGAAAAAGGGTGCCCACAAGGTCAAACACCAGAAGGCGTCGAGAACGGCGAAGGAGGCACGAGTCTTTGTAAGTACTCGCAAAATTCGCCGACGAAGCATTTCTATGCCATCTTACATTGGCGAGGACTCTGCATTTCCAGTTAAGATGAATGCACAACGTCGATCGGTTCTTTTAATTTAGCATTTCGGTAGTGTTTGTTTCTCAAATTTGTTTTAAAACAGTAGATGATATTTTTTTTTTTCACAAGCATGGCAACATTGTGGCTGCCCTTGAAGATTTTAAAAAGCGACTTAATTTTCCCAAGGGCCCAATTTTCGTGACTTTCACAACCCCAAAAATATTGCGAAAAATTTATCTTGCGAATCTACCACCCCCAATTGTAACGGATAGATAACGTATCGCTTTGGGTCTGGCACAGACCTTTAGACTGGGGAGACCGTAGCCTAGGCCAATGCACCTTGGGCTACCTCGGAGGAAAGTGTGGACTTGCATTGTCCGCAAAGGCTTAATTGTGAAGCCATTTACGCATTTCTGCTTTGCTTCAAAACCGTACACATGTTTTCGCATGTCACTGAAGAAGCGTGTGCAGTTCGGGGAGTCTACCCAGTGTAACAGTTGTGTTCGAGCAATGTCTTTTTTCCTGTTCGCTTCTTTAATTCCTCGCCCTCTCGTGTAACTCGACATCACTTCCAGGCCGTGACATCGTTCAACCAATGGGTCACGGGTTACGACTACGACGTGGATCAAGAAGAGTGGTGCTGCTACACTTTCAGGGTGAGTACTGCCATCTTGTTTGGAACAGTTTTACCTAGTCCCTTGCCGTTCCACTTGGGGGATTGTGCCGTAGTTCTAAAAGGCTAGTTGAGGGACTCTGGATCTTGCGGTACGCACCGTCCTGCCCCCTTTGTTTTTGCCGACTTCCGAATTCTAAAATTACCGCTTTATACCACTCGACATTTTGGCTGTTTTTCTCGTGCGTTCTCACAGCTCAGTTTAGAAGGCAGCAAGTTCGACTTCACCTCGGTGGTGGAGGAAGAGTCTGCCAAGGCCGTCTTCCATTCGGTACCGGGCATCTCGAGGGCCTTTCTGGTCAAAGACACCAAGGACCGTTCGGGCTGCGGCAAGATGCTCCAGACCGAAGGCGTCAACTTCGTGGTGAGTGGTCTCTTCGGTCTGCGCCACGATCCTCGAACCCCGTACAGGGAAGGAGTCGAGGATTACGGAATTCCGGACGCGGGGGCTGGAACACAAGCGACAGACTTGCACCTTTTCATTTTCCATCCCCCTTGTGGCGAACTAAGATAGATCAATTAACTCATTGATTGACTGCTTGGAAGCCTTAGCCAAAGCTCGAATGTTTTCTGGGAAAGTTTATTTTATGGCATACAAACTGTCTAAGCATTTAACAAAAAAAACAAAACCCGCTTCTTTGGAGTTTAGTGTTACTTTAAAGCTGGGGTCACACTGTGAACATATCACTCAAGAGACTGTCTGAGGGTTGTTTTTTACTTGTGTGGACAGTCCATTCACATTAGTTGCACAGAAACTGTCTGTGGGCAGGCTCAAAGGACGCGTATGTACGAAGCAAGCCTGCTTCGAACATGCCTGAGGTGGGTCCGCAGATCTGCGGCAAACGTCCCGTCTTTTGTACGGTGTACGAGCAGTTTCACTGCAACTTTCAAGTCACACAATATATGATTTTTTTTTTCTTCTTGGTACACTTGAGCTTTGTTTTGCGTCGAAGCTCTAGCTTGGAATTCCTTCGTGTTCACCTGCAGGAGATGTTTCGCCACGGGGACATCGTCGACATGCGGCGCATATACAGCAACGACATTCACGCCATCGCCAATACCTTTGGGATCGAAGCGGCCAGGACTGCCATCGCGAGGGTAAGTCATCTTTCTGTGTCTGGGATGTCTGTCGATGTGGGGGGAGAAGGGCGTGAGAAAGCCGGTGGCCATTGTAACTCGGCTACGGCTTGTTGAATGGTGTCGACGTAACATGCGTCTTGTGAAGGACGGCTCACCGCATTGCACAGTCCAATGCGCACAATTGGGGCATTTCAATTAGGTTTAGCTGTGTCCGTTGCTCGTACGCTTGTGCTATTTGTTGGAGCAGACGACATAATTAACTGGTGAATAGGCTGTTTCAATTGGGATCACTATGCTCTGGATGCTGGAGCATTGGAGTTGGAGAGGATTTACTCTTTCCATTGCTCTTTATTATCGGTTGCTGGAACAGACAACATGATAAACCGACAAGTAGGCTTTCTAATTGGTACTACTAGACCCTGTATTAATTTTTGCGTGCGACATTGGCTCGGCTTACATAGTCTTTGCAGCGACGCAGCCACACACGGCTGAATAAAAAGGGGTGAGGGGGCCAAGCCTTTTCCCCTTTTTACTCGGCGGTGCTGCTGCTAGTAAAAAGAAAAGCGAAAAAGGTATCTTTTGTGGAGACCACGTTTACTTTGCTGCAGTCATGCAGGAAAGTTGATGGACGCTGAGTGTAGTTTGAAGACGGCTGATGTCATACAGATACCACTATCACAATCTGTATAACTGAGGTGGGGGCGGGGGAGGGGGGGTCGGGGTCTAAATGGAAAATGTACCATGGTCGTAAAACCCTCATATATAATGCAAAACACTGAAAAAAAAGCTACATCTGATGGGGTACACTGGGCAGCAGATACCATCTTGAAGGATTCTCCCAGTTTATAGGGGTGAAGCTCCTTAGGGTCTAGCCTTGTCCGGCGTCCGTGCTCATATCAATTACCATCCCATTTGTCTTCTTAAAAAAAGAAAAAATGTTTGCGCAGTCGACAGGTTTGAACCTGTGCGGGGAGACCCCAATGAATTTCTAGTCCATCGCCTTAACCACTCGGCCACGACTGCGGGACGAGTAGGGCGCTCTGAGATGGGGTAGTAACTCAAGAGCTGGGGATGTCATGGATGAAACGTTGCATGTAGCCGCTCAACGTCTATACAGGAGAGGACGCTCCGGTGAAATGCATATATAATTGCGTTAAACTTTGCATGCATTGGCTCAACGTTTATAGACGAGAGGGCGCTGCGGTCAAATGCTTAAAAAATCAGTATCATCAGCACCACCAGAGCTTCGCCCCAATCAACATCATTGAACACGTGGAGAGGCAGTCATTTTTTTTTACGTCGCACTACAGTAAAACCTTGTTATAACAAAGTTAAAGGAATGGTCGTAATTATTTCATTATAGCCATTATTTTTATATAGCCAATGGCCATTTCTTCCCACTATTAGCAAGCAAGGGGAATTATGATTGCTTTGTTATATCCATTAGTTTGTTATATCCCATTTGGTTATAACGAGGTTTTACTGTAGTACAAGTTTCGTGGTGTGGTGAGGAGGTCGTGGGTGCAATACAACCGCCATTTTTTATCACTCGCTGAGAAATTATTTTTCTTTCTGCTCAGAGTAAGAACAAGAGACTGAGCGTTACCATTCATTTATTAGAAGTGAAAGTTTCTTTGATGTGTTTTGGTGATGCACTCGTGGCCACCTTGCTGTGAAAGATAAGCGAGTGTTCGTGGCTACATGAATTGAGAGGGTGGCGGTAGCATCATGCTGTTACTCTAAAGTCTATTCACGATCTGTCGCAAGCTTATGTAACACGCAGTGAACAGTTGCCGGTGATCCGGTAAATCCTGGCAAGTCCTCTGACTGCCAAACTCGCTAGCAGGTTGCACATGAGGCAGATAGGTTGCATGTCTAGAAGCAGTTTCGCGAAAGCAGGGTCCCGTTACGTTTTCCTGGATGATGCGAGCACATCATCTGTGTAGACTGGTTATGTAAAATCAAAAACAAAAACTTGGAAAATGTGTCGCGTATGTCGGAAAACCCGCATATCTGCACGGTAAATGTGTTTCTTGTAAACGGAAAGAAAGCTTTAGTTTGTGTAAAGTATTTTCCTGTGTATAAGTCACATTTTCTTTCTTTTTTTTTTTCAATTTCTGTGTACCATAATTTTTGGGCTATTGTCCGCACCGGGTGTATAGTCCGCAGGGGAAAATTTGGGGTTGAAAGTAAAAGTTCTTGCTTAGGTAGTCCGCACCCGGTGCATAGTCCGCCTGCCGTGCATAATCCCCACCTGGTGCTTAGTCGACACGAAAATCTTCTCATACATGGCTCACCTTAACAAACGTCTGCTTTCTTAGCTCACAAAGAGGCTCATATTATACATAAATCATCATTAACATACTTTTTCATCCAAAAAATTCGTTACTTCTCGTCATGATGAACGATCTTGAAAAACAGAATTCCTGTATAGCCAGCACGCGTAGGTAGTCCTCACAGTCTAAAATTTCACCTTTTAAACTTGTATAGTCCGTGGACTATAGCCCGAAAAATATGGTACGCGTTTCTTTGGAAGTGCGGATGTTAAATGCACAATGTTTGCTGGGGGGGGGGGGGGGGGTTGATATATTTATTGTTCAATATAGATAGATAGATAGATAGTCTTTATTCCACACATACGTATAAGTGCAACTTATACAAACGTGCGACTTATAGACTAGGGTGAGCTACTTACCAACATCACTTTAAAAGGGCACTAACAAAACTCCCAAAAAGCTTTTCTTTTTTTGTCAGGTTTTTGGAGAGGTTATTTAATAAATCATCAAGCAACTTTCGCTGAAAAAAGAAGAAAAAAAATGTTAGCACTGTCTTTACATATCAAGACCGATTTTGAAAGATGTGTTCTGTGCTCCGCCCCATGTGATTATGCTTTCGTGAGTATGTGAATTTTACCAACACGCCCGGTTTTTCATAACGGCGATTCTAATATTTCGGTACATTGGCCCATAATAGAAACATCTTTCAGAATCGCTACTTAAGGGTAACAAATTTAATGAATTTCTCCACAAAGTTGTTTCTTTAGGTACCTAAATGTTTGACAGATTTCACAAAATAATTTTTGTTGAGAGAGAAAGAAATATTAGGTGCAATATTTGAGTTATGAGATTCATTTTGAGTGAAGAGCAATTCTGAAATGCGCTTATATTTCGGCTTATAGTCCCGAAACGAAAACACCGCACGGTAATAAAAACGAGTCAAAACCTAAATATTCTGCTGGTTTTTTTTTTTCTGTTTTTTTTTTTTGGGGGGGGGGGGGGGCATTTTTTTTATATATACATTTATGTTCTATCCAGGCAGTTAATTTTTTTTTAAATGCATCTTAATTATTAAATATGCGGGTAAAAGTTGATTTCGTAAAAATTAGAATTTTGCACTCGTTTGATCATCAAGCACATTTTCACGAAGCTTTGATGTTAAATTTTAACGGTGAAATATATTGCATATCTTTATAATAGATACCCTGGCCAAGCAAAATTAATAGTAAACCTAAACATTGTATTTTTTTAGAGCGCAGCACTTAGGCGCCCGTTTCCGGCTTGAGCGGCGTTGGCGTAACCGCGCGTTGCATTGTGGGACGTTTCCCATAATGACGTTACGTGTGACGTCACGAGGGAAAAAGAGGAGGAAAAAGGAATTTTTTCCGCTAAATATAGCGGAAAAAACTTCCTGCTAGATTTAGCAGAAAACTTTCCCCACTAAATATAGCGGGAAAATTTCCCCGCTGAATTTAGTAGAAAAATTCGCCGCTAAATTTAGCACAAAAAAATTCCTCGCTAAGCTTCGGGGCAAATATTTTCCGCTACAAATAGTGAAAATTTTTCCTGCTAAATGTAGCGGGAAACTTTTCCTGCTAAATTTGGCGGAACTAGTTCCCTGCTAAATTTGGCGCGGAATTTTTTCCGCTAAATTTAGCGCGAAATGTAGCAAAAATTTCCCGCTAGATGGGAGGGGAGCAGGAGAGGAGGTAGAGCTCTTGTATAGACGCTTTACACACGCGCCAGATTGAGCCGCCATAGCTGCCCTTCTCTTGTCTTACCGAGATGCCGAGCCACTGAAGCGGGCGTTGACGGGTCTTCACAAGGGTCTATGCTGGGCACAAGAACACGGTAGAATCTAAAATTGCAATAACCTGTCCTACTGTGGTAATGATGAAGTGAAGCGAACGGAATAAGAGGGAACAAAAACGGAAGGTCAGTTATGGCGGCGCCCATGCACATATGCTGTAAAGCGTCTATATGCTACCTACGGTAGCAGAGTTGCGCATTCAGCCTCGGCGCGTGGCCGTAGCGCCGGCTTTCCCGCACGAGCTGGATGCTTTGCTCCTCACGTGACTAAATTTGGCGAATAGCGGCGCCGCGCGCGCCGCCGCGCGTGGAAAACAGGAGAGGAGGAAAAGGAGGCGGAAAGCAGGGAAACATACGCCGGGGCAAGGGAAACGTCGGCGGAGCGACCGTAAAGGAGGCTTTCTTGCACGCCACCGGATGCTTTGCTCCTCACGTGATGGATCTCGGCGAATAGCGGCGTGGCGGCGCGGGGAAAACAAATGCGCAACTCTGGCTCCCGTAGGGAGCCTATACAGGAACTCTAAGAGGAGGGGGAGGACGGGCATACTCGCCCCTCCGTACCCTCCCCTCTTCCTCCCCAAGAGCTGCGCTCTAATTCGGCATTACAGGGAGCTGTTAACGTCTTTATTTTTTTTTTATTTTTTTTCTTCTGTTTGGTGCTTTGGGACACAAATCGCTGTTCTGCAGAGGGTTTGAGCTTTTGTGTTGTCTTGACCGGTTTTTTACCTCTCAGTGTCTCAGGGCTTAAACTATGTTATGAAATGTTAGTTTTTTATGATATATCAATAAATACTATAATTGGTTATGTGTCGAATTTATATACTAGATGCAGTCTGCTTTGCTTTGTCATTCATCGTTGGAACCAATAATTTCGGAGAAAGGAGTATGATCTCTAAAGGTGCCACTTCCACACTTCGTTCGCCAACTTCGTTC